ACAAATACAGATATGCTTATAAATCTGTAGAAAAATGAAGACATATGTTAGTAATAAAGCAACTTGTCACATTTTCAGTAAATAAGCACTTCTTACATTGATTATATTTTATCTTTATAGAATTTATCTTTTAATAAATATTGATATATTCAAGTATTTTGGCTGAGGTCGTATGCCTAATACATGTTATTATTAGAAGAGACAAAGACTGTGGCCTCCCCTTCTTTCCCCTCCATCTTACTTTACATAATTAAATACTATTTGCTTAACAATGATAATGAGTACAGCATATACCTACCAATAATCTATTTCGAAAGTTTTGTATAAATAAATAAATAATACAGGGCTTTTATTTGGCATTTAAAAAAATTGAGAAATATTTAGACAAAGAGAAATTGGTTTTCAGGCAAAGTAGATAATTATTCAAAAATATTGCCTGCAATCGTCTAAATGTTTCAAAGAGACAAGGTGTTTACGTTACAGTGACTGTATCGTCACAGAGGATTAAATGCTGGTCAAAAAGAGATGCTCAATTTGTGTTTATTTTATAAAAGAACATTTGAACTTTTTGACAATCTAGAGCTGTACTTTATTTACTGGTTTTTAAAGCCTATAATACACTGTGGCAATGACATGTTAATGCTGTAAAAAATATGACGACACTTGCTTTGTTAACTTGGAAAGGAACCCATTGACCAACAGTTTTCCAAAGATCTGATAAAGGCCAACAAACAACCAGCAATCACCACATCAATACCCACAGCAGCAACAATAAAAATAAAAATCCTGTCAGTGTATCGAAAACAGTTTGTCCCTCTGAGTCGCTTAGACAATTACAGGTAAATATGTAAACATCTACGCCTACTTTGAAAACTAGTTTCTCTTTGTCTAAATTTCATTCTCGTTTCGTCCACAAAAGGTAAACATATTGTCTACAGTTACATTTTGATTCGTCTAAAACATTTCTCAAATTGTCTCAATTTCAAGTAGAAACACTTGTTGTGGACAGACTAAAAGTTCAAAAAAAAGAACAAAAATTTTATTCAACTCTAATTGGCTAGTCTTCTTAAATTGCCACTAGGATTGAGAAGAAGAGCATTTTTTATGGAGACGATGTACCATAGAATGAGATGTCAAGAAAAAACTCTCGATAAAAAGTTTTCATTTAATGACAAAGACGGCGTGATAAGCACAATCGTATCTAATATGTACTTGAACTAATTTTGAACTTTTTTACCCTTTTTTGGTTTTTTTTTTACTTTTAGTCTGTCCACACCAAATAAACGTTTATTAAGAATTATAGCTTCAAAAATAATTGGATTTGCTTAGACTCTTGTAAAACAATACTTTTGGAGTAAAATTAGAATGTCTTTAAATATGGTCTTGTAAACCAAAACCAAAATCAAACTCTAGCCACATTATACCTCTATTATAGAATTCAGAATAAATGCTTCATTCTATATATTTTACTGTAATTCTTAAATAAAATAGAAAAATATTAAACACATATACCGATATATTTTTTAGATTACACACATACACATACACACACATACAAAAAGCAATTGAACATGTACATCTACCATGTCTTTGAAAGTAAGATGTACCAAGTTTGAGTCAACAAATTCAAAGTCACGGACTTGACAAGAAGTGAAAGAAGAAATACACTGGTGCAAGCGGTGTTACCCATACATTCATTCCTACAAACATGCCATTCTCGTATCATAGTCATTCCGGCCAGTTTTGTCATCATGGCTACGGAAAACTCGAGGATGTTGTTAAGCAAGCCATTCGAAAGGGATTCAAAGTTTATGGATTAAGCGAGCACATGCCTCGGTTTGATTCCAACCATCTTTATCCAGAAGAAATCCAAGTAATTAAAAACATACACACACATATCATGTCAATCATCCACCTCCCTCTCCTTCTCTCTGTTTCCTTTTTTATATAAAAAACTGATATTTATTCCATTATATTTTATTTTGTAGGCTAACTGCACCACCAGTACTCTTGCTACTGCTTATTCCGCTTTTTTGGTTGAAGCCAGACGCCTCCAAGAAGTTTACAAAGATCAAATCGAGCTACTGATCGGAGCAGAGATTGAGTTTATTGATCCAAGCTATGCTAACCATGTACGCGACCTTCGAAAGTCCCACACGATCGATTACGTTGTTGGCTCTCTTCATCACACACACTCTATCCCAATTGATTTCTCTCCTGAATTATACCAGCACGCCCTGGAACACATTGGCAAGGGAAAATTAGATGCTTTGTTCAAAGCTTACTTTGATGAACAATACAAAATGCTTTTGAGCGTGAAACCCGAAGTAGTTGGCCACTTTGATCTTATCCGTATCTTTGCGGACCAGACCAAAGCTTCGGTAGCATTAAATCAGCCAGAGGTTTGGGAAGCTGTGGTGCGCAATGTGGATTTTGTGGTTTCATACGGAGGCGTATTTGAAATCAATTCTCGTGCTTGGAAAAAGGGACTTTTGGATGCTTATCCTCAACGTGAAATCATAAAGGTTTGGCAGTAAAAACCATAAAGCAAAAAATGATTCTAATATTTTTTGGGAAACCTTTTTTTTGGAATAGTTGATTCAATCAAAGGGAGGGAAATTCACATTATCGGATGATTGTCACGGTCCTAATGATGTTGGCATGTTTTATGACAAGCTTCATCAGTACCTCAAAGACACTGGAATTAAAAACATTCACTACCTCACCAAGCGTAACGGAGCAGTGGCTGTAGAAGAACTAGAAGATATTGTCACAGACCCATTCTGGGCCAAAATTGAACATTGGTAGCATGTTGTATGTACATATTTTTTCTTGTAAAAGAATCGTTTTGAAGGGAATAATAAATTTTTGTAAAAATGCTGTTTTTTTTTGGTATTCGATATGAAGTTTATGGAAAAAGTAAAAGTAATGAACCGTGGTATGAACCAAGTTCAACAAACCGATTTGACTTAGTTGATATTCCCGCTATGCATCCCGCTTCTAACCCGAACATTTAGACTTCTTATAGCCTGATCCCTTACAGCTAAAGTTTAATATGCTAGAAAGTGTGTTGACTTTTAGAAATTTCTCATCAAGTTCTGTTATAACACTCAAATAAGGAAACACAAACATTCAAGTCTGCTGAGGCAATTTACAGCCAAGCAGAATTGGAAGATGGTTTACATATGCTGAATTTTTAAAAGTATTTGTTAAGCTAAACAAAATTAATAAACATATAGTAGAGTAAACACATCCCTAGACACCCATTATTTTTCCGTAGTGTTAGTCCAAAAATAAAGTAGTGTGCTTGTATTATATGTGTGTGTACATTAACAGTTAAAATAATAAATGATAAAGAGTCTGCTCTAGTATAAATGATCAATGATAATATGTATGTGCGAAAAGTAATAGAATAATAGAAAAAAATAGTAATAGTAATGGTAGTAATGGTAGTAGTAATAAAGATAATAATAAGTAAAATAAGTATGAGCATCAACTGCAAGCAATGTAAATTGTTGCCAGACTGTACACTGCTGCAGGTTTTTTCTATGATGCCCCCCTTTATTTTTCACAGCTATTTCGTACTGACTTATTATCAGGTGGGTTAGACAATAGGCCCAACAAGGAGCTTTCGGAAGGCGAGTTTGGTAAGTTCATCGGCATGTTCACTCCTGATAAGACATCGACACTGTTATCAGAATGAATAAGGTCATTTGTGGGATTAAAAGATGCATTTTTTGGTATTGGAAAGTAAGATGGTACAGCTGAACGAGCTGTAGTGCTTGGCACTTGTGGAGGATTCATTTGTAAAGGACCGAGGCTTTTAAAGTTATGCACAGGAGATAAAAGCCGCGAAGGCATTAACGATGTAGAGTCTGTGTATTGTGGGTTTGGAAATACATTATCAAAAGGCTGGTTGGAGATGTAATTAAGCTGTCGAGACTGGCTTTGAGGCTGTGATCTTGGTTGTATTTCTGGCTGTAGTGATTGGTTTTGATCCTGCTGATGATGATGATTATTTTGTTGTTGTTGCTGTGTATAGGTTTGCGTTCCTTGGTTTCCAAGATAAGTACTCCACTCATTCATATCTAGTGAGGAGGGAACCCCCCAAAACGCTGACCCAAAAGGATTGAATTGTCTATTCAATGGTCGGCTAACAACAGTATTAGGTGCGGCAAATGGATCCGTCAAAGGCGTCATTACAAATTGAGAATCTTGGTTATTAAGAGAACTCTGCTCACTCCAAGATGAAGATGGATGTAGGCTTCCTCTCTTGTCCTCTGGTATATTTGACTGACTCATATAGTTTGGCAAGTAGCTATGATTTCCAAAATGTGGACTGTCATAGATGTTGCGAAGACCAGCATCAGCCTTTACGGTGTTCCTTGTCTCTGAATTATTATTCCAGCCCCTTGAATCTTCGTAAGATGATGTTTGATTAGAAGGTGCTGTGGCTGTTGTATCCACAGTGTCTTCATAAGATATATTGTTATGGTTTCCAAATGCATCGTTGTTATCTGGTATAGATTCAGGACGCGAATCTTGGGTTCGTTCAGAAGAATCATATCCAAGATTAATTTCACGAAGTCCGACCAGTTCGGCAAGAATCCCACATGTTCTTGAAGCCGTGGTCCATGTGGTCTCGATTTCATCTAGGGAGCGTAAGATCTTGGTGATACTAACCCTTGCTTCCAATGCCTTTTCTTCTTCGGGCGAGGATGCTGTCTGGACAAATATAATAGCAGCGGTGAATAAACAGTATATTATATAATGCAAAGTGTATCTTAGGTAATCCTTTTCGAGCATTATGTTAACAATAGACAGTATTGAATTGGCAGCCGAAAGGCATATTTCATTGGAAGGAAAAGATATGATGTTTACTGCTTGTTTCTGACCGGGAATAAATGGACGGTGGAGAAGAATAACGGTGGTGTAGTACACCATGTGTAATTGGCCAACAATCGGTGAGAGAAACTCGGGGATAGCGGAATTGTGTGGGTTGGACGGATCGTACCGTATAGAAAATGGCAAGTTATCGTGCCATTTGTCAAGTCTTTGATTAAGGGAGGAAAGGATGTGCTCCACATGATTTATGGAAGCATGATAGAGAGATTTTGCGTAATATACGTTTTTCAAAACGTCTCCAAGGATATGACACAGGGATATTAAATGCGTAAATGCAATCATGATCCGAACAGGTGGTTGTGCATTTTCAGAATCGGGGTTTGTCTCAGGCTCATCTTCGTCATCATCATCATCAACAGTTGGAAGCGGAACGTCGCAGTCTCTTTCTTCAAATGTGGCCGAACGCCCATAACTTGCACTCAGGATGCGATCAAGAATATAACAGCACCAGAATACTCGCTTCCGTCGCTCACGTTCTTCGGATGGTATATCCCAATGGTCACAATTCCGATGTAAGCCTAGATCCTGTGCCATACGGAAAGCCTACAGAGGAAGAAGAAAAGAGCCCATTAAATACACAAGAAAGCTTCATATAAATATATTTAAAAGGTTATATGTACCATCCCACTGTACAGCCAAGCTCGGGCTGGTTTCATGGCACCATGTTGATGCGCTGCGAGTAATATTAATGCTTGTATGGTTGATATCCGTGGTATGTCATAGTAGTCATCTAAAAGGCACCGGGCCCTTTCGAAGTAGACGTCTCCTGCTGTATCTGCCGACGTAGGGTCCGATCGCACTCGGACATCGGGTGACATACGAGAAGCGACGGCGTATATGGCATTTAATAGCAAAGGCGACAGCATTTCTGCAACTGTGCATGTGGAGGACACAAGTCTTTTCTTGTAAAACAAAGGGAGGACAGGGTATATGTGGCGAAAGTATAACTTGACAAGATTTTCAGATAGATCTTTTGGTGGTAATTCCAAAGGATCAAAAGAGGAGTTAGTTAGGCTAGATTTACTTTGAGATCCTGAGCGTTGATTTCGTCCCGTGAAGTGAAAAGCGCCATTTTGGTAAGTTCGGCTGTTTTGAAGAAGATAGAATCCCGAGGACTTTCCCAAATATCGTACTTCCCCACTCTCGCCCATTGATAGTTGACCAGTATTATCCTCAACACTTTGAGAACTGTGTGGAGAACCTACATGACTGGCTACAGGACTGTCAATTAGCGATAGTTGGGGAGAACATGGGGTGGTTTGCGGGGAGTTTGACCGAGTACTGTCTTGCGTGTTTTTTCTCGACTTGTTTGTCCTTTTTTCGTGTCCTGGAGTACCATGTTCCCCACTATTCTGGTGTCGTCTAACGGGACGTGACCTTATTTGCTCGCCACCGGCGGTTTTCAACGGTTCACTCAACTCAGCGCGAAGAATTTGGGAGCGTGGATCATCGTCTTTTGAGATATCTTGTAAAATATTCTCCAGTTTGTACAGCCTGTTTTCAATTGCTTCAATATATCCTTTAGGAGGCCCCCTCTGATAATAAACCATATCAGAAAATAAAAACAAATGAAAAAAAAAAGAAAAACTAAACGGAGTATAATATAGGCCTGCATTTGCACACAAACACGCACTGAAAAGGGACTCTACGAACCTTTTTGGTTGTATCTTTGTAACTACATTTGAGGTGAAAGGCATTGCAATTACTGCAGATCGGGATTGTTCCATCGCATTTAATTTTTTTGCGACGGCACAAGTCACTGTAATAGTCCAATGAGCAACGCATCATTAAGCCATAAAAGAAAAATAAAAGAAAAACATATGTATATGCGTTTTTGTATGTATATATACATGTATGTATATATATATATAAAGATAAAGAGAGATAGAGAGGAAGGAAGAGAGCTGTAAAAAACCCACCAGGCTTTGCTCACTCGCTGCCGTTTACTGTTAGATTCATCTCCACTGTTTGACATTTAGTTTTTGTTTTCTGTTTGTACTGCCTGCCTCCAAAAGTCACTTTTATTATTATTATAGGTAATGCTATTCTATGTGCCTTTATTTTATTTTAAAGGAAAACCAAGACCCGGACAAAGGGCAGACTTGGCACAAAAAAGCATTTGCAGTTGAAGACCTTAACTTCCATGTACAAGAACACGTCACATGTGGGGTTCTGAATTTACTTATTTTACTTTTAATTTGGGGGAGTTTTTTTTGGTTTTGTTATTTAATGATAAACATCTTTCTTCATTTTAATATCTTGACATTCATTCTACACCTATTCTATTATAGACATTCTGTATTTAATTAACTATAATCTAAATTTCTTACTATTTCAATAAAAAAGTCTGGTAATTTGCTTTGAAATACCTTTTTCTTTGGTTTGTTTGTTTGCTTGTTTCCTTACAAATCTACTTTAAAACCATGGTTACAACAATGTTGTTATTGAATTAGAGTTTTCTAAATCTATATATACTTTTTATTCGCCCTCTAAACATTATTTTTAGCGGTATGTTCAAGGTTTTTGTCAGACATGAAGATTCTTATAAAATTTAATATTTTCTTTAAACAGCTATATTCTCTTTAATATAGTTACATTCTACTAAGCACTAATAAAGCAACGAGCCATTATCAAGAACAGCTTGCCAGGTGCAATTGATTGATGCTACAACAATATGCGGTATTTTTTTTGGTATATGTAAGCTGTTATGTACTACATCGAAAGGATGGCACAAAATTATATTTTATTTGCCGACATTAATCATAAAACAACGCACAATTGTGGAATGGAAAGACATAAACCATTTTCTGTACTCGCTTTAAAGTATTGAGGCTACAGTAAAGAAGTTGCCCTTATGGGCTATAATTATTTCGTTGTGAGTACTTCTCAATTACAAAATTTTTATATCAACCTGTACTGCTCAGGATGATTGGATTTTAATAATAATAATAATAATAATAATAATAATAATGCTAACTAGGAAGCGGCACAAATTTAAGAAAAGAAACATATCAAACCACAACATTTATTATTTGGTTTCTCGCTACTAATGAATAATTTACACAGTGGGTGGTGTAAGCATATGAATAAGAGCTTACTCAAGGATTTTATTGAACAAAAACTTGTACAGAAAGTGGTACCAGGAATATCCCAAAAGAAAATATTGTTAGTCTGATTTCTTTTTTGTACTTGTTCTTTCACTTATTCAGTAAAATTTAGACAACAAACCTTGTCTTTAAATCCAAGAATCTCCTGGTTTTTTCTTGGGTTTCCCAAAATATCGGTTGTCATCAACTACGGCTTTATTTTTTATTCCTTGTATTTATTGGTAGGTATAACACAAAGTATCTGGTTATTTACCTTATTAATTCCGATGAATATTCTTATCCTTCTATCTGTGTATGTGTGTATATTCGTGCCCGTTGCTAGACTATATTTCCACTCAAATATTATACAACCTTGTTAAGTTGCTCTACTAGAAAGAAAATAAATATCGTCTTTAGCAAAAGTCTAGTGGGCGTCAGACAGCTGTAATATAGTAGGACAATAGTAGCACTATAAGACGGATATGTTTCTGACTGGATAGAGCTTGTAAAAAAAGGGAGGAAAGAGTCTGACACTGTACAATTGTTCTTATTCTTTTACTGTCATACTGACTCATTTAGCTGATAGCGTTAAATCAATGTACATTTTTATATATTCCAACGGGAGAGTTTTTTTTTAGAGAAAAGAAAAAGAGTACATTGAATTCCACCTTATTTTATTGTGAGTTCTCATCACATATCATCTATTTGATTATTTATTCTCTAAAATAAAATCCAAGTAGCATCTGGTTACTTGGATAAAAGTGTGTGCATATAACATATTTACAAAAAAGAAAAGTATTTGAGTATATATAAATCATTGTCATACTGTAGCTCATATGACGTAAAATACAAGATCTAGTACACAGTTGAAAGGGCTTATGGATTAACAGTTGACAAAGCCTCGATGTTTCTGTCCTTCAAACATTTTACTAGAATAACCCTGATTAAGTTGATTATGGATTTTTGTTTGCTATATCAATACAGTACTTACCCACATCTGATAATACAAAATTTGTTTTAGTTGATGTTCTAGTGTATTCATCGAATGGCCTTTATCTTATGAACTTGATTACCAGTAGCTCTTGGTATCGCGCTCGCTTTTAAATATTTAATATATAAACGATGATAATGATAAAGATATCTACAAAAAAAAAGAACTATTGGTTAGCTGATATCCTCTGAAATGTATACACATCTATGGCAGGCGTAAACACATGCACTATTTTTTGTATACTATGCATTGCTACATAAACGTTAAAAAACATATATTACTTCACGAAATATATGTAGTCGTACAATTATATAATGAACCATTTATTTATTTATGTATTGATGTATTCTACGTGTAAAAATTATATTTTTTAATACGTTCATTGGTTTGTTTTACTTGATTGATTAATAATGCATATGATCTGTAAAAGAAAAAAAGATCCGTGACCAACGCCAATACACACAAACGTGTATATAGCTGTTTTTACTTTCCAAGATTATCTGGTAGTGATACCATGATAATTTATCTATTTTTTTTATTAGATTTAACCAATGCGCTCTATTAAGATCTTGATTCTTGTTATCTTTACTATGTATGCTTCCGTTCTTTGTGATAAAGAGATAGAGTATAATTTTAACACAAAGGAGGGAGGGGGATAAAATATACGGGGATGTGAAAATTAGATGTGTAAGAATGTCATCTTTTGTACCCTGGTGTACAAAGCCAGTGATGCTTTCACTAGTACGATAAAAGAGAAAGAAAGAAAAACAAAGAACCTTTTTGTTTTATTTTATTTTTGGTTAAAATGTATATATAAAATATCGGGATTCTTTGAAGCAGGCAAAAATAAGTATATCGATTGAGATATGACTTGAAACGTAGATAAAAGTATGGGCCCCTTGGAAAATACGGTTAATACTACATATATACATATGTATTGAAGAAACAAAATATTTGGTAAAACACACGCGGAACAACATGAATTGTTATAATACTCGTAATAAAAGAGTGGTTTGTTCCACGGCAAGTAATCTGAATAGGCCCGGTTCTTCAAGTTTGTCCGTTCAATTCATTCATATGTATTTATTTGTATATTAATTTCTTTTTGATTGTAAGAAGCATTTGTGTATTAATTATCAAACCTAGCTTTATATATATAGTTTGGTATTTCTAGCAATATATTACATGTCTACTAGAGGGTTGTTTTTAAAGGGTAGCCGGCTTGACTAGTTAATCATAAAGGATAAAGCGACGTAGTAAATAAGCAGCACAAGGGATTTTTTAGTACCCCAATAAAAAGTTTATGTGCAGGTGAAAACGTTATTATTACGAGGTTTTTCTAGGCCTTGTGCACTGTGACATTTAGACAAACTTTACACACAGTATTAATAAATACTAAGAGTATTTCTGCCATGTACCATAAAAATGCTTTCAGTTTAAAGCATAAAAACACAAAACAGTATTGACAAGTTTGAATAGAAAGTATATATTTAAAAATATTTTTATTATAAAAATTGTAAAATATAAAAGTATCCATTTAGATAACCAACGAGAGAAAGATATATGTGCCTACTAAAGTAAAGCGTAAGTATATAGAATTCAAAATACAAATGTATAAATCAAAACATTTAATACACGCGTTTTATGATTTATCTCGAAAAGTTCAGAGAGAAGATAAGGTTTATCGATCAACAGCTGCTCTTTTAGCAGCTTCTGGATTTTCAGTGTGATACTTTTTTAGTCATCACCACCTCTCGAGACAGGAAACCACAAAACAAAACGCGTACAAAATGATTGAATATGGAGAGTGATATCTTACCTTTTAAAAAAATTCCTTTGCGTGCGCGTAACTATTCTAAACTATTCTTACTGGATCTTATAATTTTATAGAATATATGTATAAAAGAAAGAACATCAATAATCTAAAAAAGACGAAGAACAAAAAGGTCCTTTTTAAAGAAGTTGGTTATCAGAATAAATTTTTCCGTCTTAACAAGGACTGTTGTTTATGACTCGTAATTAATAGCGGTGATGAAAAGTGTGACCTTTTTTTTTAAAAAAAAAATTGAAATATAGTAAATTTTAAAAGGTCTTGTTTCAATAAATAAAATTAACTAATTAATACACTACGTTAGGATATTTTATACTACACTACACTACACCACACTACATGTGATAAGAAGACGTGTATTTTGCTTTAGTATTAAATATTTTTTTTTGGGTTGATTGAAGTTGAGGAAGATAAGTATAAAGATGGTATCAGCTGATGTTCCGCCACTCAGATCATCTGGGCAGTGCCATTTTCTTTTATGTTTGGCAAAGAAGTGTTTTGCGGGTTAGCATGTGGCCATTACTGCCAAAATAGAAAAATACAATTTGAGTAGAGCTTTCATACCTTCATTCAAAAAAACCACTTTAGTATTTGTGTATCTTTCTACAACTTTTGATACGTTGATCGTCGCTAAATGTCGTCCTCGTCCCCCCCCCTCCCCCTTTCACTTTCATTCCTTTTTATTTTTGTCACTATATTTATCTTCTCGGATATTTTTTAATATATATTTAATTTGTTGTCATGACATTATTAAGTTTTTTTTCCTTGTATCTTTAACACACACGCATCTACTTATATATTTGCGTAAAAAGTATTTGTATATATATATAAAGAGGGCTCTGAATCATTTTCACACAAATATATAGTATATCCAAATAAATAAAAGTAAAAATAAAAATTGTTTCACAGATATTTCATGGATATACAAGACGTGAGAGGAGGGCTTGTGCTCCAAACCTTAAAGCCCGGGTATCGCACCAAATGACTGCCCACAGCGATGACAGAGCCAACAGGAATCGGCCCAAGGGCTGATGTCCAACTCAACTTCCAAACATATCTAATGTTACTTCCGTTTGTCCAACCACTTCCTCTTTTAACTTTGAGTTCCGGAAGAGCAAGTCCAATTCCCCAAGCTAATTTTTTATATACATAGGAACAGAACTTCACTTCACAGCACAGCACAACACAACACAATACAATATCATATTTTTTTTTTACATATTCTACTTATCATAAACCGACACAAAGGTTCATTGTTATATATGCATATATATTAAAAAATAGAGAAATATATATATATACAAGCCATGGTTTGAGAGTGCAGGATATTTTGGCTATCATTTTGATCTGTCGGACAGGGCCAGTCCTTGTTTAGTCCAGTTGAGTCAGACAACCGGTTGGTCAGTTAACCGGTTGGTCTGTTAGCCGGTTGGTCTGTTAGCCGGTTAGTCAGTCAGCCAGTCAGTCAGTCAGTCAGTCAGTCGGTCTTCCTTATTCAAATTCAGCCAAAAATAGAGAGGAATAAAATGCTTCAGTCAATGGGGATCTGTGGCGCAAGGTCGAATTGGGCTCGTCATCGTGGTCATTGTCCAGAAATAACAATGCGATGGTCATGAAAGGAAACAAGCACGAGACATCCCGCTCGGAATCGAAAAAGAAAGACCAAAAAAAAACAATGGGTCCTCCGCATTTTCTTTTTTGTCGTAATGATCTTTGTAGTGGAGATCGCCGGGTGAAGTAAGGTTGAGAGTTATTTCATTGTCCTAAGGAACATTCAGCTAAACACAGACCTACAAAGTCTACAAAGTCTATCAGCTAAAGCTATACATCTATATGCTTATACACATATCAACATCTATATAAATACACACACATATCTTACATGCTCTATGACTAAACCACTCTTAATAGAACGTGTGCTTAAGCAAGGGCTACACAAAACACAAGCATGATATTTGGTCAAGGCCCACGGGTTCACAAAGAAAGCGAATCTCGGCAAAAATACAGAGGAGAAAGGTAGGAGATACGACGTTGAGGTAAGGGGGGGGAGGAGAGATACAATGAGACTCAGCTGTGGCTGCCATGGTAAAATAAAATAAAAATTATAGCGTGTGGATCTGGCAACACACTACACACACTATACACAACCCACAACTCACCAAGGATAGATTACTCGCCCTTGTGCCCCTTTTTTAATTTTCATTGGGCAGAACCTGTCTTGTATTTTTTTTTGCCCCGCCTCCCCCGTCCTTCATCCCCTTCCTCTCTTTCTCCTAAGCCTCGTGTTTCACTCTTCCTCATGAACGGCACCGACCACACAATCCGACACGTCACTGTGGACAAGATGAGACGCAAGCGACTCAAGGTTGTGAGTGCATGCCAAGAATGCAGACGTAAAAAAACAAAGTGCAATGGCGAATTACCATGTATGAGCTGTGTCAAGGGAAGCATTGAATGTGCATACACCCCCCAGTCCAAACCTCTTCCGCCACTCTTTACAACATGTCCTGGTCAAGCAACTCCCTCACCAGCTCAGGCACCAGCTCAGGCACCAGCTCAAGCACCAACACAAGCACCAACACAAGCACCAACACAAGCACCAACGCAAGTACCATCGCAAGCACCAGCGCAAGCACCAGCATCAGTGCCAGCGCCAGTACCGGTACCAGCACCAGTACCAACACCAGCAGCAACATCGGTACCAACGGCAGCGGCAGATACGACGGCAACAATACCGGCAACGATGTCGGCAACGACAATAGTGTCGTCGGCAACAACAACATCACTAGGAACAACAACAGCAGCACAAATAGTACCAACAACAGCAGCACCATCGTCGTCGTCGTCGTCGGTGTCGGTATCGGCGTCGGTTGTGTCATCTGCAACATCAGCCCCAATAGTAGTATCAACGGCAACACCTCTACCCACATCAACCGGACCCGTTAATTCACCCGCCAATTCACCCGCACGTACGGTGTCTGGACCAACACAGGCGCACGCCATTGATGTGATTGAAGATCGGCTGAAAGTGATTGAAGATGTACTGCGCTCGCTCTTGGCTACGAGCGGAAGGGACCAGCATCTACTTGCGGCACTGAATAAATCGCACCGGATCGAGTCTTCTCACCCGCCCAGCTCACCCTCTTACCATAACCACGACCGGATAGCCGAAATCAGTAACAACAGTAATCTTAGTAGTAATATTAGTAATGGCGGTGGCGGTGGCGGTGGTGTTAGTGGTATTGGTAGTGGTGGCGGTGGTGGTAGACCTCCAGTTCTTATTCAGTCGCGCGAGAAGAGGGCGTATTCTGAGTCTGAAGATTACGGTCGCCACAGCTACGCTGGGCCGGAAGCGGAAAGACAGCCAACCCGGTCATCGGAATCCCTCACTGGTCACGGGTATCCGGCAATGGACTCCATTGACTCGTCTTCATCATCCTTCCGCTCCAATGAAAACATTAAATACTCAGCATTTACACCTCGTGGTTCAACTTCTTCCTCTCCCCCATCAAAAGGTGGAAGTGGTGGAGGTGGAGGATTATCTATTGGGCCTTCTTCGTATCGTGTTCGATTGCCTCCAATACAGAGCACGATTTCTCCAATGTCCCAATATTCTTCTTCCGGTTCACCTTCTATCCGAAACTTACTCAACCGTAACGATGCCTGTACATTGCCGTCTATCGGAATGTCCAGATCGGCCCCACCTCTTTTAGACACCCTAGAGATCGATTCACCATCGCCTCCAACACAGCTTCCGAACAAACCGGCTTACAGTGACACAAACGGCCGGCATTTCCTCGAGCGGCCCACTCCACGATCGCCCTCAACTTCTGGGTTCTATCGTAGCATTACTTCACCCCACGAAATAGGCACAGGCTCTTCTTCTTAAATATTATTTTTTTCTTGTCTTCTTCTTCTTTTATATATATATATATATAACTTACAACATACACAACCTCCACTTTCCCCCATTCTTCAATATCTTCTTTCGTTCTCGTTCTCTCCACGCACATACACATACACAAACACGCAAAAGCACACCAATCACTCACTCACGCACATACGCAACACATCAATACACATCAATACACAATCACTTCAATCAATAATGGATCACACAAAATAAGAAGAAGCAACAGTATCAAGAAATTAACCAAGAAAAAAGATGTCCTTTATATCCTCTTTTTTTGTAGCTGTAGCCATAGCTTTTACTGTTGTTCAACACCTTTTATTCTCTTTCTCTCGATAGTCTAATGCCCCTTTTTTTGTGTTGTTCTTCCTTTTATTTTACCTTTATTTTCTGCTAATTGCTTCTTCTTCCTTTTTCCTTTTATATACGCTGGTCGCTTGACTTTCTCAAATATTATCTCACAAACCACCTTTTCTACCTATTATATTTTATTATATTATATTATATTATATTATATTATATCTCAACATTTCTTGTTTTTTTTTTACCTGCTTCAGAGAAGTATTTTCCTTAATTCAATTTTTGTCTGTCTGTCTGTCTGTCTGTCTGTATGTATGTATGTATGTATGTCTGACTGCCTGCCTGTTTGTCTATACACTCTCAACAACCCTTTCTTTCTTTTCTATCTTTCTCTTTCTATTTTACTGTCTTTTTTTATTTTTCTTTCTCTTTTTATATATAAATCAGAGCCCAACCATTCCAAATACACACAAAGCACCAATATATGGTACTAGTACCGTCTTGGCCACAAAATAAAACAAAATTCCAAACGCAATCGAGATCGGAAGTGCCGGAAGCGCTTTTTTGTAAATCGCCAGCAAGAAAATCGTAGTCGTAAGTCCAGTCAGAACAGCAACCGTGCAGCACACCGTAGTGATCCAGTCATACATGGCTACATAAAATACACACACACACACACATACACACACACACACATACGCATGTTTGCATTTGGTATTTTTTGTATCAATACACAAACACACAAACACACAAACACACACACACACACACACACACACAGATGCAAACAAAATGATATTCCAAAACATTTTAAGATTTTTTATCACTTTTATTAGTTTTGTTGTTGTTGTTGACCATGATGTAACTATCATTAATTTCTTACCTGCCCGAGCCACCAATACGCTGTAAAATACAAAATCGCCCAAGCCCAGCTTTAGGCCACTTCGTTCAGCTACCAAAAACAAATAGGAAAAAAAAAGATGCACACAGGCACACAGGCACATAGAAATACGGATATATACATTTTTTTTGTTAGTTTTCTTTCTTTTTTTTTCTTTTTTTCTTTTTTGTATCTTGTTTTACCATCTTCTTCATCTATTTCGTCTCGCTGTTCATTATGATCATCAAGTCTTCGGTTTGATGTGCCTAACTCAAAGGTAGAGCCTTGTTCAGCCTTGGTATTATTATTTAGAGTGCTTGTGAGCGATTGGGTCGACGGAAGATCGCGCGAAATCGGAGAAGAGTTCTGATTCAAGGGAGCAATTGAGGAGGTAGAGGCTTCGTATTCAGAAGAATTGGTATGGCTGTGGAATGTGTTTGCAAACGAAGAGTGGGTGAGGTTTCGTGAGCGACGAAAGTCAGGTGAGAATGATGAAAATGGCGAGAGAGTGGGTTCGGGACTAGTGATGACCGTAGTAGAGGAAGAAGAGGAATACGGTATTGTGGTTCCTGTGGTTCCTGTGGTTGTTATTGTGTCTGTGATTGTATTGGCTATACTGGTAGACAGCCGGAAGTGGTCGTTTGGGGCTACCATAAACCACACTGCATTTACCGAATACAAAAGAGCAGGAACCTCTCTTTGTTGGGTCTTTGAGCTTTCGATTAATAGTCGTAATGGCCCAAACGGACAGAGAACAGCAACAAGATCTAAAAGCAAAAAAAAAATGAAGTCAAATGTTATTATTACTATTATTATTATGATAATAAGACTAATAATAATTTTACCCCACACTGCCAATAAACCCAACAAGATCCAGGTAGTCCACTGCTCTAATCCGGTTAATGAAAATGCCTACACACACAAAAACAAAGGTATTGAGAATGTATTTATATAATAATAATTTTTTTTGTTAGTTTAATTAATTAATTAAAGTTAAAGCCAAAGAAGAAGAAATCAATGTATTTGATTTTTTAAAATCTACGTGTATGCAGGGAATCTTACCATTAAAGAACTCATGATCGTAAGATAAGACTGCTGTAGCCATAGGGGCCCTTTCCAAAAAATAGAAAGAAGCCCAACCATTGCAAAATTCCACAATGCAATGGCCAAGGTGATATAGTCCAAAGGTATAGAAAATACTTGGATGAGATTACTAATCGATTGTTTTATCAAAATTAGGTAATTTGTTAGTAACATTTGACTTTTGATCATTCCTTCATTCATTCTTCCTTTTGATCTTCCTTTCTTACATCCCAATTGATTAAAATAGAAATATAGTATATACTTGCAGTAATAATAAATAGCTCATGAAGCCTAGCAAACCAACTACCACAATCATAAAGAAGCCGATCAATATCTATTAAATATACATATAAAAAAATTCGTCAAATTATTATCATTTTTTTTTGAAACAAAAAATCAAAGCAAGCCAATATACCCATATATATATATATATAAGATTGATACGATAATAATAGTAATAATAATAATAATAATAATAATCCTAACCTTGATCCATCCTTTCTTAAAGATAAAGACAATAATGATGGTCACCACAATAATCTGTCCAATAATAATGGCAGCATTGGCAAGTGAATTGAGTGCGGCTGTTCCACCAGTGGAACTTGAGCTACTGCCACTTGTTGTACTGCTACCACTGCCTGTATTCGGGGCCAGGACAGCATAGGTTGGTCTTGTGGGACTATTATTATATAATATAGCAAGAAATTAATAAATTAATTAATAAATTAATTAATTAGTTAATTAAAAATTATATATATATATTACCTGTAATCACTTTGGCCACTAAAGGACACCTTTACCCAAAATATACTCAATACAATACAGACAACCACAGGTTTAATGATAAGATAGATCTGGTGCATGTAAAACTTGAGGTCATCACCATAACGATCTTCATCATCGTCATCATCGGTATTAATTCTATTCGGTCTTGTTTCGGTATCGTTTAAGTTCTGAAGAGGAATATCAGTTGTTGTAAAACTAGATGATCTTCCTAATGATGAAATCCACAAATGAGTTTATTTAGTATATTATAACCAACACAAAAATCAAAAGTGAAATAAAAAAGAAAAAATAAGGGTGTGTTACACTCTGCTCTTGGCACTTCTTTTTCTTTTCTTTTCTTTACTTGGAATATATTACATTAAACATAACAACAACAATAAGTACCATGTCTTTGACGATCTGATCCTCGGCCAGATACGATTGCTGCTGCTGATGTTGCTGTGGTTGTGTTTGTGTTTGTTGATGATCTAAATCCTGTTTGGGAATCCCGGACTGCTCGGGATCTTCTGGCTTCTTTTGTAGCCTCGCAAGTCTTATAGTGGCGATGTTTCCAGTGACTCTTCTGACACTCATCGGAGCAATATCGAGGTCCACTCAACCCGCAGGACGAGCACATAAATGTGGCAGGTAATGTGCAATTAGAACATTCTGATGGTGTTGATTGCGTAACTTGAGTGTCATCGTTGTTATTGTTATTATTAATAGTTGAATCCATCCCGTCCCAGGTTTGGGGATTGGGGGTTTTAAGTGAGGAATAGTGAGTTAATTAAAGAAAAATATATATATATGTGTGTGTGTGTGTGTGTTTTTGTAACTATGTTATGTAGTTAAGAGAATGATATATATAATATTATAATATTAAGGCGAATAAAGATAAGAATAATTATAGTAATAAAGGGGAAAAAAAGGGTGGGTCGAGATGATTTGCTTCAAATGAAGGAATGTCGTGTAATATATAAGAAGGGCAAAGTGACAGGGACCATGGTGGTGTGTGAAAAGTAATTGAGAGAAAGAGAGAGAGAGAGAAAGAGTGGAGTGAGATAGAGTCACGAGTTTGATAAATTGAATAGTGTTTCAACTTTAAATTTGGACGATGTTAATTTCTTTTGGGCGAATCAAAATTAGCTTTCAGATATTTAGCTTACCTTTTTTGGATAAAAGAATTAGTATTTAGATTAGAGAGGGTGTCTTCGAGCCTGAATTGCAAACGTTTGCAAATTTTTATTTTACGCGGCGAATTAAATTCCAATACTTGTTTTGCAAATTTCATGGTGGAGGCCATTTAGTGAGCATTTGAAGCCAAAAGTTAGGTAATCCCTGATTTTTTACTTCAAATGCTCACTAAATTTCTAGTAAAAATTGGGCTTATTTTTCCCACTCCAAAACAAAATGTATGATAGCCAGTAGCCTCTTCTTCATACTTACTTAATAAAATAGGCCTTGGAAAGTCAAGTTTATTAAGGTCTATTTCCTCTAAATTTCTTAGTATCAATGTTTTCAACTTATAATATTCATAACTGTGTCTGAGCTTTATTCCTATTTTTGATTGGGTTTTACAAATAATTATTTTTTAGTCATCTTGAAATTATCATAACTCGACACCCTCTCTATTTATTGAAAGAATAAAAAAAATAGCCACCTAAGGGCCTTCTCAAGCACTCGCCAAAGTCCTAAAAGTTGGCGTTGAAATCCAAATAAGTATTAGCCAAGATTTTCTAATTTAGCCAATCTTGTTGGCGAAGGTTACTAATTTAAGAAACTCTCGCCAATCCGTATATGGAAATCACCGCCAACATTTAGGACCTTGGCGGGTGCTTGAGAAGCCCCTAACTGACTGTTAGAAAAAGTAAATAAGGTGGACAATTACGTACCAAAAAATATCTGTGGACAGACCAAAAGGGCAAAACAACTTCATCCAGAACTTAGTCAATTAGACTAATTTATGACTGTCCACATCTTTATTTAAAAAAAGTTCAAAATTAGTTCAAAATACATATTTGATAAAATAGTGCATATAATCCCGTCTCTGTCATTAAGTGAGAACTTTTTATTGCGAGTTTTTCTAGACCTCTCATTATATGACACATCTTCTCCATAAAAAATGCTTCTCTTCTCAATTCTAGTGACAATGGAAGAAAACTAGCTAATTAGAGTCGATTAAAAATGTTGCCCTTTTTTTGCCCTTTTTTTGAACCTCCAAAAAAAAGGGCAAAAAAAGGGCAGAATTAATTAAAACTCTCGCCCAATGATATGACTTAAATGTTTGGTCTTTTTTTTCCTTTTTTGAACTTTTAGTCTGTCCACCCCAAGTTTATTGAAATGTGTTCATTAGTGATTATATAGGATCATCCAAATATGGTAATATTTTATGACCTAACGCTGATCTCCGTCACAGAGTATATACAGCAGTCACATCTCAACTATCGTGCGATAAATAGCATCTGCCGCAGTTATGTTATTAGGTTGTTCTCCATTGATGAATTTGCCGTGTTTAACATGTTTAACAAAACTGTTGACTGCGTACTAGTTATTCGAAACCATCAACTTTAAGATAAGTACACATGTTTGCATCTTTCCTACCTTATTCCCTTTCAAAGTGCGCCCAACTATGATCCACATGTTGGAGCCACACCAGTCATTAGAACTGGAGCTTACAACAAGACACGTTGGGTATTTATCATTTTCAGGACAGAAACTGCACTGCTAATAAACTTGGCTTTGCACGGTCTGCTCCCCATTTTGATAAGTACTTTGATTTTTTTAAAAAGAATTTGCGCGCCCAACTATGATCCACATGTTGGAGCCACACCAGTCATTAGAACTGGGGCTTACAACAAGACACGTTGGGTATTTATCATTTTCAGGACAGAAACTGCACTGCTAATAAACTTGGCTTTGCACGGTCTGTTCCCCGCTATGTTAAGCGCTTATTCTTTTTTTTCTGGCTCTTGATTTCTTTACAGAGACGTGTATTTTAATTCAATATTAAATATTTGATTCTGTAGCTACCAGATATTACCTTTTTAATTGTTAGCATTATTTCGTTTCTCCTCCATATGTACCGTCTACTGCTACAGCCAAGATATTGGCTTACACTGGTAATTCCCCACTTTTTCTTTAAGATATAGCTGATTAACCAGGTTTGTATAATCACATTCATATGTATTCAAAAGCTTCAAATTTCACAGCTAACTTGTACAAGTTTTAAGCTTTCTCTTTTTTTTGGCCATTTTCTTCTTACATTACAATCGGCTCTTTTAAATGCATATATATCATCTAGGTATGGCCGACATACGGCTTCTACTGCTACATACACTACGGGAAAAAATGGCGGTTTTTTGCTTTTGTGACTATGTTTTCGGCCTATAATAATTAAAAAATCACTAAAAATCCAATTTGAAACTAGAAAATCTCTGTTTTTTGAAAAGGTTGACAAAAAGCAAATTGACCACCTAAAATTAAATTTCCTGATAGACAAAAGTAAGCTTTAACTACAGACTTTACATTTTTAGTAAATGTAGATTGCATTTGATGACTATTAAAAGTCAGAAGAAAAAGAGAAGAAAATATCTAAACTTTCTGCTGAGAAAATAAAATATGTTAAGACTTTGAAAAAAAAAATGTATTACAAAAAAAAAACAAATTATAGGTCTGCAAGAGAACCAAGTGACAATTTTGGGCCGCGGTTAAGCTCTGACCACACTATGTATGTTGTTGTTGTTGTTGTTGTTGTTGTTGTTGTTGTATTTATAGTCGCGTCCGACTTCACCAAACCAACCAATTCTTTGACATCTGCCAGGTGAACTACCTTTGGCTTCATTTGCCCATTGTTAACAACTGGTATACCATTTACCAAACGGACTGCCGCAATCTCTACAAGAGCAAGCGGCCATCTCTTGTTGTTGAGCTTGTGCTCAAAGAAGACAACAACTTTTCCGAAGAAATCCTTGTAAACCGGGGAGTATGCAGAATTTATGTTGCGGTTTTCATCAACCTGAATCTGTAATCTGATGTTATGTGCCTCCCTTACACAATTTTGGTTGAGTGCAGAGTCAATCACACAACCATTGACAAATGCCTTGCGGCTAGTTTGTATAGCTGCTTCAATCATACTACACTCTTCCCCCTTTGATTCGTAGAAGTCTTCAAGAAGTTTCGAAAGACAAGAAATGCCTTCAAAACTATCTCGGATCGTTCTATTCCTCAAAGGCCCCCAGAACTCACTATCAGACCCAGCACCAACACGCTCACCCTCATCTGTCAACGGCCAACCAGCAGTGGAATCTTCATATTGTAAGTGTCGTGCTGTTCTTGCTTCTGTAATCATGACAGTGGCTCCGGCCTCTGCTTGTCGTATTTGTGCTAAGCCAAGCATGATATTGCCAGCGTTAACATTTATAGCAGAATTACTCTTGATAGCCCTTGAGTATTCACCGATTGCCCGTTCCACGGATCTGGCGCTATATGCACGAGGTGGGCCGTATGCGTCAATCATGAGAGGATAGTGCTGAAGAAGATGCTGGTTTATAGTGAAAATATTGATTTTGATTTTTCCACTTGTAAGCAGCGATTCCAGGTACATGTTCCATATTTCAAGTTTACTGAAGAAAAATAGTTAGAATAAATAATAGAATAACACATAGCTTTTACTAAAATATACCTTTTGATAGAGGTTTGTTCCTCTGCTGATAACTCCCAGCTCATGAGTAGGTTACATGCTTGAACCAAGCCAAGTAACGCGTTCCGGGCAGTTGCATCTCCAATACGCTCTGCCACCAGCGTAGGGACGACGAACAGAAGAAAGTCTGCCCAATCGACGGCCTTGAACGACCCGGGGTTCTTGTATACATCCCTCCAATCGCCATGGAAGGATGTAGGGATGGTATTTCTTGTTTTGTACATTGCTGTACCGATCTCCTTCCGAACACCAGAAGAAAGAGCAAAACAATGGTCTGTTCCGTAGGTACCAGAAACCAAACCCCAGACCTGCTTGCTTATTCCATGGCAAAGTCCATGCATCTCATCGAGGGCAAAAAACAATGGTCCAGAGAATACCTTCAATGTTACCAGGGGGGATTGTCCGTTTAACCCTTTGCGGCTGGATGCACTGGCCTGGGAAAAATTCTGGAAACTTTCCAGCGTACGGATATTGGTGCTGGGCAAAGTTCTGAAGTATTGTCCGTGCTTGGGACATTGGCCGACAACATGACAGATACGGCAACCGTCTTTGCTCATATGTCCAGAATGACATGCCAACTTTGCTAAGGCGGGAATGTCACCAGTGACCATTAAGATATGTACCTTGGCACGAATGGTCTCGTTTGGTGTCTTGACGACCATCCCTTCGCTCTCCAACACCAGGAGCTCTTTCATCGTTGGTTCCATGAACGACCAGAAATTGGCAGGTGCACCTGGACCTGGGATCATTGCGATCTGGAGTATTCTGCTTCTCTCATACCGGACCATGGGATTCAGGTTAAGAATGGTGGCATGGAGGATCGTTACAGAACCAGGAACATTGTGTGGCGTGAATCCATCAACAGACAACGAAATTGCAATGTCATCTTTTCCGGAAAACAGATGTTTTGCTTGCTGGTAAACCTGGCCATCAAACACATCGGTTTTACTTCCATCCGAGCTTGACTCATGATTATGGCGGTAATGCATATCTGCTCTTGTATCCTCGTTGGCTAACGCAAGAGCAAGTTGTCTCGCCAATGGAAGCTGTATCATTGTGGCAGTAGCAACCAGATCACCACCCTCGGTTTCTCCACGTCTTGTTTTGTACCGGCTTTGTCCACAGTTGGAGCACTCAGTCTGGGATAGACTGGTAAAGAGCATACATCCCCTCTGACAGATATCATGGACTGTCTCTTCAACACCAGAGAAACGCTTCAAAAGCTTTTTGCTGAGATGAGGAGTACATGCTCTGTATGTAATACAAGTCGACGTTTCCAAAATGCTGTTGAAATGCTTGACTATCATTTCATGGGCATTGCGGGAGATACCAAAATCCTTAATGATCTTGAGAAACTCAAGGTTCTTTGCGTCGTCTTTGTCAGGGGTAGGTGTAGGCTGACTGAAGTCAAAAACCAAAGGAGATGTTTCGTTTTCAATGATATCCATGTCGTTGCCAAGTTCCGCATCATACTTTAACAAGGTAGATAATAATTAGCATTATATAATAAGACATGTATATCTATATATATATCTTACCATAGACTCATCATTATCATCATTACTAAAGATATTCATAATTGGATCATCGTTATCTTCGCTGTTGAGTGTATCCATGATCTGATCTTTGATTGCATCAGCACGTTCTCTGCTTGTTTATGAAGGTAACAATATAATTAATTACACTTTCTAATAGTATGTATGTGATTTGTAGATTTACTCGATAGTGTCATTTGAGACAGTGTTCAAAACAACACTGACTTGTCCAGGAACAAGCGTGGTCTGTGAAGTCTGGATATCATTATGTCTTCTATGACGGTTCTTAAAGCATTGAGCTCTACAACTCTTGGCTTTTTTTAAATTGGTGTGGCGCTCTTTGCATTGATTGCATTGGTAACTATCAAGGATTGAATTTGAAGACATTTTTTAGGTTGGAAATAAACACTTAAGAATAAAGGTATGAATATTGATAATTCCTTTTAAATAATATGCCTTTATACTTAATAGCGTTGAGATTTGTATAGACTTATTGTCTACTTGTAGTCATTGACATAGATGATACAAATATAAACTCAGGAACAGAAGCTAAAACATTGCGTAATAGCTGTTATTAGAACTACAGTAGCCCAATAATAATATTGGCTGGACCAATAGGTTAAACTCATTTATATGAAACTAATAATAGACAATAGAAAATTTTTTCGGCCTTTATCTTTCTTTCACAACAATCCTTTTTCTCAGGTAAACCAAACTCTCAACATGAATAACACAGATAACAATTCCATCTCTTTGCTACACACCATGTACAATGAGATACTATCTTTGAAGGCAGGCCAAGAAAAGGCCAAACTTGAAATGAAGGCACAGATCGAAGAGTTGAAGCTCGAAATGAAGACGAGCAGTGAAGATTTGAATTTGGAGATTACTGCTCTCCAGAGCCAACTGGAGAATAGAAACATTTCCAACCAACACACTTCGCCTTCTGTCTCTGCCATTGTAAGACAAAAAATAAAACGAGTTGAATATATATTAATATGTCATTTAATAGTCTAGTGCTAATACCATCCGCAAACCGGTGAGCATATTCCGTGAAATAACTTTAAAGCATATCTTCAAGATGATAAGTGAAGACCTTGGCATTGAAGTAACAAGTAACGAAAAGGCCACACTCGATATGTGTACAAAGCTTATATGTGATGATATGGCTGCCCATCCTTCAGTGATCGCTCTTGGTCCTAATCCTAGCTGGGGGTCTATACCAGTAGCACTTAAGAAAGAAATGTGTGCCAGGCACGCAAATATAATGAAGGATTCTGGTATAGACTTCACTAGATGTCTCGGAAACTGGGCATCAACTGCAAGAGTTGCACATCTCTGGAGGGACCGCCATAAAATATTACAGTCTTGTAAGTAATCCAGTGTAGTGGAATTGAATAGGATATTTTACTATGAAAACCTAGAATATTAAATAGTAAATAGCCAATAAAATGTATCTATAGATTTTTTTATGCTTTAACAGCCAATAAAATAAACAATATTATTTATTTTTCTGTCATAATAACCAGTAAAATGAACAATATGATTTTTTTTCTGTCATAACAACCAATAAAAATGATTAATAAAAATGATCATCTATTGTAATAACCAATAAAAATTTGTATTTATTAAAATGATCAAACATTTACATGTATATTATCCAATAAAAAACTGTTTTCATAAAAGTAACATTAAAAAAAAATTACTAGTGTCCAATAGAATTCCTTTCTAAGCTAAAATATTAAAGTAATAAATGACATTTAAGAGAGTACCCAATAAAAGTAATCGATTATATAATATACTTTATACAATAAAGAATGAAACGCTGTCCAATAGAAGAGCCAACAAAGGAGAATCAGAAAGCGGAGATCTGTAATATGTATTTAAACTCCAGGGGGGCAAAGTGGATATTTGGCAAAAAACCGCCACAAAGCCGCCCTGTCAAACCGCCATAAAGCAGCCATAAAACCCCACTTTTTTTTCCCGTAGTGCGGATAAATCGCGTCCAAGAAACAAGGTGCCTTTCATTGTAATGGGAGATTTTGTGTTTGGTAAAGATTTAGTCAAGCTTAAAGGAAATCGATGCGGCGTAACTGGAGTTTTGTAGCATGTATTAAGAAAAAACGCGAGACTGTTGGTGAACTTTGTTGTGATTACGATTGACAGGTATAACACCTCCAGTATCTGTAGTATTCTTTGTACAAAGACCTTAGACCTTGCAACCCAACTTTTAGGTCATAGTGTGTCTGTTTGTAAAAAAAAAAAAAAAAAAAAAAAAAAACACACTTGGTGTGGACAGACTATAAGTTCAAAAAAGGGACAAAATATTTTGAAGCACTCACCAATAATACAACTCACATTTTTGCCACTTTTTTTTGGAACTTTCTGTCCACACCCATTGTAAGACTTTTCGAACGTGTATATTCCGCTCTTCGCCTTTAACCAAACTCAAGGATTTCTGAAAAGAAAGGAGGGAGTTACAAATTCAATAAAGGTACCTTCCTTTATATCAATCCTCGGTGCATAACTGTCAAGAATCGATGTGCAAGTAAGCCAAGATATGCCCTTTCAACTCTTGCGGTTACACTCATAGGTCTAAGCTTTGTTATTTTTGGTGCCGTAACCCTCTCCTTTTCTTACAACGTTAACAATCTAACAGCTGAATATTATACAACATTAACACCTGACTTTTGTACAAGAAAGAGACGATTTGACAGCTTACGTTGCAGCTCTGGAGGTAAATATCATTGTATGGCACCAATACCTGTATTAATTTATATTTTGTCTGTTCCCCCCCTCCTTTTTTTTTGTTTTATCGTCTGTATGTTTATATGTCTACCAGTCTATGTGCGTGTGTGGGCTTGGATATTAATTCCTTTATAGATACTATTCTTTTTAATAGAATATTCTAGAAGCTCAATATATATACATAAATAATGGCTAAAATAAAATAAAATAAAAAAAAAAACCATTTTACAAAAGGTAAGAAGCAGCCATAGATGCCCTGGAGCGGATAAATGACGTGGCAAATAAACCGTCACAATTGACAAAAGTTTCGTCCTAGTCTGCAACGCTCGATCGCAAGATGGCATCTTGACTTGTTCAATGTGGACACCAACAGGTTAGGATTAAGATTTGATTATAGAATAAAGATTAATGACCCCCACAAAAAAAAAGAACTACGAATGCAGAAAAAAAAAGTATATACAAAATCTAATCCTTGTTCTTTTTCTTCTTTATCCTTGTTCTTTTTTTTAAAAAAATTTATAACAAAACAAAAAATATCATCAACAACAAAAAAAAACAAAATTTATTATTACTGTTATAACAATAGGTACAAACGTGATTCCTCTTGGAAACAAGAAGAGACGCTACGATGGACAACATGATGAGGAGCCGATGGATCAGCCCTATCCAATCAAGCAGGAAAGCTATTCATTATTGGCTTCTGAAATCAACATGAAATCCCATGTACCCCGTTCTCCCATAGGTAAAAAAACAAAACAAAACAAAGAAAAACAATTGCTTTGTGCTGCTGTTTTACAATTAACTAGTCTGATTCCTTAATTACTATTGGCTATTTACTTTTCATTGTGAAATAATAATAATAATAATAATTAAGCTATCTAGCATAAGAAGAATAAGAATAAGAACAATTCTTTTAGATATGTATTTTGTATTTGTATACTAAGATTATAATTTTCTTTTTTTTTCTTTTTCTTTAGCACCTGATAGTTCTACTAATGGCGCTGATGGCGGAAGAAGAAAGAGAAAGAGTCGATGGGGTGATGAGGATAAAAAAATCTATATTCCCGGTGTACCCACAGCTCTACCAAAACTTAGTCGTGACCAGACTGACACCTATGTGTGTAAGTAAACACATCTCGACTACACCATATATATATATATATATATATAAATGTATATTTATTTTATTTTATTTGATCAGTGCAAATTAGACTGGAAGAAATCAACCGTAAATTGCGTACTGGAGACTTCATTCCTCCAGAGCGTGAAAGGTAAAAAAAAAAGGGTTGCAGTAATCATAAATAATTTGATGTTCTTTCATAAAATAATAATACATATTAACCCGTTAATTTCTCTCTTTTTCTTATATATATATATATATATAAACGCACATAAATACGCATATGAACAATCCATATACATACATGTGTATAAATCTGTAGATCTCCTTCTCCTGAGCCCATCTACAATGCAGATGGTAAGCGTGTCAACACCCGTGAGGCCCGTTATCGCAAGAAACTCGAGGACGAACGCCACAAATTGATTGACAATGCGATAAAGAATATTCCTGGCTTCAAGCCTCCGCTTGATTACAAACGTCCCAGCAGACTCCAAGAAAAGGTCTACATTCCAGCCAAAGAGTTCCCCGAAATCAACTTCATTGGTCTCTTGATCGGTCCCCGTGGAAATACTCTCAAGGGAATGGAGTCTGATTCTGGAGCAAAGATCAGTATCCGTGGTCGAGGTTCGGTAAAAGAAGGAAAATCACGCACCGATGCTGCCTCTAGTTCAGCCCCCGAAGAAGATCTCCACTGTCTTGTCATGGCTGATACCGAGGACAAGGTCAAGAAGGCTGTTAAGTTGATTGAAAAAATCATTGAAACCGTAAGTCTCGGAATATATATCTTTATACAAAGAAAGAAGGGAAGAAGAAGAAGAAGAAGAAGAAAAAAGATTAGTAAAAGCAGTAGTAAAAGTAGTAACTAGGGAGGGTGGAGATTAAATACCTAAACATACACACACACACACACAAAACAACAATAATGGTAGAACAAATTGCGTGTGTATGCATGCATACAGAAATGAAAGACTAACAAATATGTACTTACATATCTATATGCATATTTTTCTCTCTCTCTCTCTTTTTTTTTTTTTTGTAGTCTGCTTCAACACCTGAAGGTCAAAACGAACTTAAGCGCAACCAACTCCGAGAATTGGCTGCACTCAACGGAACTTTGCGCGATGATGAAAACCAGACTTGTTTGAACTGTGGTGCTATTGGACATCGTCGTTACGAATGTCCCGAACGCCAGAACCTTACTGTTAGCTTGACATGTCGCATCTGTAATGGCCATGGCCATACTGCACGTGATTGTTTGCAGCGCAACAACCCTGAATATCTCGAGCAGGCAAGAGAGCGTAACCAGCAACTCGACAGCGAATACATGAACTTGATGGCAGAACTGGGTGAGAATGTACCTGAAGGACAAGGCAGAGAGCCTTATGATGAAAGACGACGACAAGTAAGTCTAGAGTTCTTTTTTTTATTATTATTTATTTATTATTATTATATTATTGCTACAATTTTAAATGCACAATGATTTATAGCATAGCATGTCTATTAATTTACACACCCATAAACATACGCACACATGTATATAATACATATATTAACTGGTATTATTATTATTTTAAAAAAAAATTGTGTAGTTTGGTGATCGCGGTAGTGCCCCGGTTGGTAATGGCGGTGGTGCCGGAGCTGCACCCTGGCAAAGACCAGCACCTACAGCAGCAGGTGGAGCACCACCATGGCAGAGAGAGAGTGGTGCGGGTGGAGGTGTTGGAGTCGGTGGAGGTAGCGGTGGTGGTGTTAGTAATGCTCCATGGGCAAAGCCTTCTGGTGCCGTTGGTGCTGGCGGCGGTGCCGGTGGTCCTTCTGGTGTTAGTGACGGTGGAGCACCTGGAACTGCACCCTGGGCTAATCGTAGCCATGTCTCTCCTTCCGGTGGAGGCGGTAGTAACACCTATTACAGACCTCAGTACGATGGTCAACAACACCAACACCAATCACACCATCAGTCACACCATCAGTCACATCACCAAACCCACCACCAACAGCAGCAACCGCAGCAACATCACCAGCAGCATCAACAGCAACAACAACAGCAACAACAAGATCCCTATGGTTACGCTGCCTACGGCTATGCTTCATATGGATATAATGCTTATCCAGGATATGAAACCCAAGTTCCAACACCATCAGGATCAGCTCCTTGGGCAGTAAGTGCATATTTATTTATTTATTTATTTTTCTTTTATAAAATTAATTAATTAATTAATTGACATTTGTATCTTTTTGATTTTAATTACTTTAGCAACCTCCTGCTGAAAACACATGGACTCCTCCTCCTCCTCCTCCTTCTGAGCCTGCTCCTCCACCACCACCTTCCACACCTGCTCCTCCTCCACCCCCTCCTCAGGATTAAAAGAAAAACCTAACAAGCAAACAAACAAACAAACAAACAAAACGCAAATCAAAAAAAAATCAAAAAAAACAAAGAGGTGTTTATTAAGAATGATATTTTAGGATTAACCCCAAAGAAGACCACAAAAAACAACCACAAACATATATATGCACAAACACACACAAACACAAACACACACAGAAAGAGAAAGAAAGAAAGAAAGAAAGAAAGAAAAGGTAGAGACGTGAATATTAACTCACTTTCTTTATTCCTTTTTTTTCATAATCTACATTATTTTTATACTATATTTTGGTTTTCATTTGTTTCTTTCTTTCTCTTTCTCTTTCTCTCTTTTATATGTATATTCAACAGTAGTCTGGCACTGGTTTCTATCTTTATATATATATATATATACGCACATTTAACAAACATACTTACAAATACTTACACACTCAAGAAACTAATGAGAATAACAAAGGTGGGGAAGTGCGGGGGCTAACATACATGAAGGTGTGCCTTGTTCAAGTCACTCTACTCACATAAAAACTCACATACATAATTGATATCATTTGCTGTTAATGTTAAACATTTTCTTCTTTATTTGTCAATAGCTTGTCCTATTGTGTGCGTTTAGTAAATATTCAAATATTCAAATAAAAAAAAAAAAAAAAGAATTAATTAATTAAATTAATATGCACACTCACAAATGGTCACAAAAAATCTCGCTTTGTACAGACTGTCAAATCTGAATTTCTATTCACACACACACACACACACACACATTATATATCCAAAATAAAATATATATATATATATATATATATATATATATATAAAGGGAGAGGCAGTGATAGAGATATTTTGACATTATGCCAAAACTAACATATGGCAATACATTTGAAAAGAATACATTCAGTGTGATCGAACTTCATTCCGAAGACCTTGTTCGAGCATTTGAATCTGGAAAGTACGATGTCACAAAGATTACCATCATTACTATTATATATATATATATATATATATTTTTAAATAATAATAATAATAATAATAATAATAAAATAAAGTATTACGATCAAAGGACTTGCCGAAGAAGAAGCAGTACTTTGTACAGATGCAGCAACTTATATTGTACGACAAGTCAATACATCAAACTCGATGCTTCTTGCTCTTCCGGAATCAAACAATGTAATAAGCGTTGTTGACGATCTGTCGAGTTCGATTGAGTTGATTCCATGTATTGCTCGTCTTCAACGCATCGATTCTTTACTCAGGGACACAAGCTATGCAGGTCATCATCGTGAATCTAGCCTGACAGACAAAGTAAACAAGAAGAATATATATATATAAACATTAACAAGTGATAATATTACAAGTCTTGTTATGATTTTTATTTGTATTTAATAATAATAATAATAATAATAATAATCTTTAGACTTTTTACACTTTCAATGATTTGTTGTCTCTTGTTCAGGCCAGTGAAGCAGAGTTGAGACGAGGACTTGAAGAAAGATATGTATTTGAATTGAATGGTAAGAAATGAGCATTAAAATTTAGACTATATACATACATTCAATACATAAATATATATTTGTAGGATATTGCCGTATTGTGGATCAAAGCCATTTGCATCGTTTGATCGATGTCCTTGTGACCTACTGTGTTCTTCAAGACATTGATGTAAAGGCAATTCCGGTCGATATTGCTAAGCAGATGATCCAGGAGGGTGTCCGCCAAGATGAAGAGTATGCGACTGGACAGATCCCTGATCAGGTTGTTTTGGCATGTCTGAGATCCTTTGCAGCAGATCCAAAGTTTGGTTTGGACAAGGATAGTGTTGTTTGTCTTGATGAAAACAAGGTCTGCAGTTTCCTTGGACGATTTATTCTGGAGAGTGAAAAGGTATGATTAGTACCTACAAAAACAACAATAAAGAGGTATTGAGATGTTTGCTCTATACTTTAATATTCTGTAGGGAAAAGAATGGCTGTACGAAGATTTTATGGAAGTTTGGACAAAACTTACACCAGACGTGTTTACGCCTTCATTGGAAATGTTAAAGGTAAATCAAGACAGATTAGAAACTTCTTCTTTTTTTTTTTTTAGTATACGATGATTAATGTATTTGTTTGTTCGTTTTGTAGGGGCTGTATATTTGTAATGAGAGAGTTGCTGTTCATAGAACTCAGGTTTATGTGTCTTACTTTCCAGTAACTGAATTGTCTACTGATCCTGCCCAGCGATTTGCTGCCCTGTTTGCTGAAAAGAAGCTTTGGTCAGTGGATGAAATCAAACCTTATATTGAAGATCTTGCTTCGGATAGAAAGAAGCAAGAGGGACTTTTACTCAAGTTCACTAGAATCCAAAAGACCAAAAATAAGATATTCCATGGTAGTCGAGTAAAATAAAATCAAAGTAATAATATTGAGCGCACGGACTACTTTTTTTGTATTGATCTTGGAGTAAATGGGGGTCTTTAAGTCCAACCCGTATTCCTCCGTCAAATTGACTTGGGTGTAACCTGGTAATTATAACATTGCCCGAGAAAAGAAAAAGATGTGTCCCTGGAAATAAGGTGGATTTGTGTATGCGGGTAATCGAGTACAGAGTCTACTGTCAAAATCAAAATCAAAAAAGTCAAATAGAATTCAGCCCGCTCTTCTTTACTATATAGCTTATTTTATTCTATTTTATTCAACCCCTCATCTATATCTAAGGACATATATACAAAATTCGTTGTAAAGGGCCAATGACAGGACCCTTTTTTTTATTTTTTTGGTACTCCCTTAGACAATATGCTTCTGGAATCCTCCACATCTCCTTTACACAATAACCCCAAATGTTACGGTACTTTAAATTTTATTTATTTTTAAGCCAATAGATTATCCGTATGTATATATAGTCATTTTCTTTAAACTTTTTTATATATATACTTCCCCCCTCCCTCCACCTGTCTTATCTGCAAACAAATACACAAAAGCATTAATTTTAATTTTATTTGCTCTTTAACTTTGAATAAAGTTTATTATAAGTAAAAAATAAATAAAATAAAAGGATCATTTTTTATTTATTTATTGATCGTACAATAACAAATACAATCACTGTAGAAAATGAATGACTTGCAAATGCCTCGTCATCCTTTTTGTATTTTATTTTTATTTTCAGCTCATATATTATTATTTGTGGAATACTGTCCACTGTACTAGCCATTTCTTGGTGATCCTTTAGATATTCAAGTATTTGACATGTATATATATATATATATATGTGTGTGTGTGTGTGTTTATAGCTAAAGATAGTTGGCTGTGTAATAGTGAGTCAATGATTATTAATATACGTCGCAATTTATTTATTTATTTATTTTTTTTAAGAAAAAAAAAAAAAAAGACTGTACAAAGTATGAGTCAAAGAAAATGATCTTTAGTAGTTGCGATTCGAATACGTCCTGACTTGCGATATAACAAGCACAAAAGAATCAAAGTCTATAGATTGTTTATTTATTTTTTGTATAGTGTAATGATGTTATATGTATATTCAATATAAAGTAAAAAAAAAAAGCTGATGAGATTTGCGACTTTTATGCGCAGATCTAAATGGCAAAAATAAATATAAAAAAAAAATATGGCAGAGTGGAAGGGAGAATAGAGAGGGGGGGGGGGGTTTGCAAGTAGATGGACTGGGCATGTGTCGTGACTCACACAGCCCAAAAATTCTATACGAAAAATATATAAAATAAATAAAAATAAGAAACCGTTTCACACAATCACGTGCGGTTAAGCCTTCTATTGGTCTGATTCCCCTTTTTCTTTTTTTTTTTCTTTTTTATACAACCACACATAATACACATAGCAATTTTTATTATCTTTTGGGTTTTTTTTTTGTTTTGTTTAACTTTTGGTCGGACTTTATTATTGTTTTGCCCGTCAGAAAATAAAATAAAATAAAATAAAAATAATTTTTTTTTTAAAAAAAAAAATTACATATAAAAAACAATCTTTCAAGCAATTCACAGTTCCATCTGTTTTTTTATTTTATTTAACAAATCTAGAAAAAATAAAAAATGTCTGAGAACTTCTCCGTCCCTGCTAACCTCCACACCAAGGAAGCCGCTGCTGATAACACTGGCAAGAACAACTACAGCATCAAGGCTGGTTTGGCCCAGATGTTGAAGGTAATAAAAAGAAACTTTAAAAAGAAAAAAGATGTATTATATACTTTATATACATATATACAATAGAATAGAATATATTTATTATTTTGGGAATAAAGATAAAGGATAAAAAGCCAAAGATCTAATTGTTATATTTGCTGTATTTGTGCCTGCTTATGCCTGCCTGTCGTATCATATCATATCATACCATATCATATTGTATTGTGCTTTTTAGGGTGGTGTTATTATGGATGTCATCAACGCTGAGCAGGCTCGCATTGCTGAGGAGGCCGGTGCCTGTGCTGTCATGGCATTGGAGCGTGTCCCTGCCGATATCCGCAAGAACGGTGGTGTTGCCCGTATGTCTGACCCCCAGATGATCAAGGAGATCATGGCTGCCGTCACTATCCCCGTCATGGCCAAGGTCCGTATCGGCCACTTTGTCGAGGCTCAGATCATCCAGTCCATCGGTGTCGATTACATTGACGAGTCCGAGGTCCTGACCCCTGCCGACGAGTCCAACCACATCCTCAAGCACAACTTCAAGATCCCTTACGTCTGCGGTGCCAAGAACCTCGGTGAGGCTCTCCGTCGCATCAACGAAGGTGCTGCCATGATCCGCACCAAGGGTGAGGCTGGTACCGGTAACGTCGTCGAGGCTGTCCGTCACATCCGTACCGTCACCTCCGAGATCCGTCGTGCTTCCTCCATGACCGACGAGGAGCTCTACGCCTACGCCAAGGACCTCCAGGCTCCTTACGATCTCCTCAAGGAAACCGCCCGTCTCGGTCGTCTTCCCGTCGTCAACTTTGCTGCCGGTGGTGTCGCCACCCCTGCCGATGCTGCTCTCATGATGGTTAGTAGCAACAGGGACTGTTTTTTTATTATTATTTTATATATATATATTTTTGGGATACACATGTGTACACATGTGGGTTATATATATGTATATATGTATATATGTATTATAACTTTTTTTTTCTCTGTTGGTTTTGGTGTTGCTGCTACAAAAATTATTGGGTTACTAATATTTGTTAATGCTGCTGGTGCTGCTGTTGTTATAATTATTATTTTTATATAGCAATTGGGCTGTGATGGTGTCTTTGTTGGTTCCGGTATCTTCAAGTCTGGTGATCCCGCCAAGCGCGCAAAGGCTATTGGTAAGTAAAGAAAAGATATAAAGATATAAAGAGAGAGAGAGAGAAAAGATCTATTCTGTTTTCTTTTGCTGTGATTCTTATATCTTCATAAAAAATAACAGTCCAAGCCGTCACTCACTACAACGATGCTGCTGTCCTTGCCACTGTCTCCGAGAACCTCGGTGAGGCTATGGTCGGTATCAACCTTGATGAGTTGACCGAGGAGCAGAAGTTCGCCAAGCGCGGATGGTAAAGAATGAGCCTTTTATATATACACACTTTATTCTTTTTTTTTAAAAAAAAAAAAACATACATATACATATACAAGACACACTTCTACATTTTTTTTTAAAAAAAAAAACACACCCACACACACAAAAACATGTATACATATATAATATCATATACTTTACTATAATATATTATACACAAGAGAGAGATAAAGAAGTTAAAGATATATAGATAAAGAAAAGAAAAGAACAAGAGAGACCCCTTTTTTTTTATTTTGTAAAAAAATAATATATATATAAAAACTTAATTATTAAACAAAATGAATCGATAACAATTGGATGATAATTAATGGTGGTGGTGATCAACAAGAAGTATATATTTATGTGGGTGGTAAGATGTGTGAGCATTAATAATGTTGGCCTGTAGTTTTATTAGTATTAAAAAAAAAAAGAATCAATATGTCTTGAACAAACTCTTAAACAAACGTCACCCTTTGCATAAACGTGCATACGCCTAGAAGCTTAAAAATAAATACAAATAAATAAAGATAGAATGACCGAGACAAAAGAGGGACGTGTGAGTTTTTGCATATAAAGAGGTCTTTTTCTTTCTCTTCTTTCTCTTCTTTCTCTTCTTCTTCTTCGTTAAAGTTATATTTACAATCAAAATAACAGTATGGTTCAGTACATTCCTCGTGGTCCTTTCTTTATAGTCTCTCAGGTAAGTAACTCCTTTTATTCTTTTTAAGAAAGACAGACCTCAGACAAGATGTTTATTGAAAACTATTATATATATATATATATATTAGCTCAATGGAAAGGTTATTGATGTAGCAGGGGGTTCAGAAAAAGACGGTGCTCATATTGTTGTCTGGGAGAAAAAGGATGAAGACAATGCAAACCAGTAAGTCAAACAACAATAGAAACATCTTATTATCCCAAGGTTCTCATATATATATATGTGTGTGTATAAAGGTTGTTTGAATATCGTAGAGGTTTCTTTATCAACCTCAACAGTGGAAAGGTTCTTGATGTCAAAGGCGGTCGCATAAAACACGACAGTAAGTTTTTGTTTTTTGGCTGATGACTTTATATTTACTGTATATCTTGGGATCTATTGCATTGATCATATCAGCACACATCATTCAATACTCTCAAAAGGATACTCAAGAAGACTCGGCCAACCAAAGCTGGCTGATTGATCATGAGGGTTATATCCATACTGCAGCTGATCCTACTCTGGTACTTGATATAAGGTACATCAACAGTAGTTTATCTTTTTCTATTTATTGATCTATTGATGCATACTTGTCTGTAGGGGTGCTAGTGAAAAGGATGGTGCCGAGGTTATTCTCTATGAGAAACAGGAAGGTGAAGAGGCATCTAACCAGCGATGGGATCTTGTAGCTCTAGAAGAGCTCTAGAACTTTATTATTCACCCCTTGATATTCCAATAAACTCAGTAGCAAGCTCCAATATATAACTCATTGTGTTATGTTGTTCTGTGTGGTGTGGTGTGGTGTGGTGTGGTGATGCATAATAATAATAATAATAATAACAATAATGCATTCGTTCATTTGAAATCTATGTATTTTATATGGTAACCATAAACCAAACACGTAAGCAATGATCACACATCTTATTGATGATATTCTACATGTACAAATGTATTTGCTTGAATAGATATATTATATACACACTGAAACGAAGAAAAGTGATGTACAGAAATATATATATAAGATAGAGAGATACAGCAGTAATGATAGTAATAGATTTGAACCAGGTTTTGTAGTGTATGTACGTGTGTGTGTATGTGTTGTATGTTGTATGTGTTTTGGTTTTGTTATGACAAGAATGAAACGTACACTCGCACATAATCACATTACTTTATCGTATGTGTGTATGTGTGTATGTGTGTATGTGTATGTGTGTATGTGTGTATGTGTGTATGTGTATGTGTGTGTGTATGTGTGTTGGATATCTTGAAATGAGTGCAATTAAGTAATACATATATATCTCTTGTCGATAATTATCCTTCTGTTACTGTTCAATAGACAGGACTTGTCATTTGGTGAGCCAGTAGTGAACTTCCTAATGAGCTCTGTTCGTTTGACAAGGGGGACAAAGGCCTTCGACAAGTAGGGCATGTAGGTTTTGATACATGATGTTGGATCCAAGCATGTAGACAGTGTCTAAGAGGTTTTTTTTTTAAAAGAAAAAGAAAAAGAAAATGATATAGAAAAAATGAGTGAGCAAGTAACGATTAGATTTGTCAATCGATATTTCCTAAAGTATATATACTCTACTCACAAATGAAATAGATGGCCACAAGCCAACTTCTTGGCTGTCTTCATCTTTTCACGACATATTGCACAGTCATCATTATAGGCTGCTATTTCTGCTATTGATGCATGAACATATCTATATACATATCATTAGTTAGCTATATTATATATATATATATATATATATATATATAGAAAACTTGCCTGCTTCTGACATAGGAAAGTGCTCTCCATCGCTCACGGTGGATCTGTAATTTACTGTGCAAGTTTTTCAAGACACTTCTGACATTCAGCAAAAGTACGATATCAACCAAGCCAAACGAAATCCCATGCATCCACTAATTGTTATGATTAGTATCATTGTTGTTGTTGAGGTATATATGAAATTATAAATTACCAGCAGTTGAAGGTATTGTAACAGAGTACAGCCTAGGATCAATACATCGGCTGCAAGTTCTGTGTAGTAACTGATGATTCTCTTGCTTTCAAAGCCATTTTCACGCCATTGATCCAGCAAATGGGCAAAATATTTCGTCATGACCTGTACTGTGTCAAGAACGACCGGTAAGAACTGCAAATGAAACAACAACAACAAAAAAATTATTGATATTACAATTCACATTTTGTTTTAATACATATAGATATAATCAGGTAGATAGGATTACTTACCTCGAGCGTAAGAAAGGTAATTGATGCAGGGAAAAATACAAAGCAGCCTAAATACCATGCAATACTGCATGCAAAAAGGACGCTCAGCAGACCAGCAATCTTGTAGTATTGTACTGGAGAAGTATAAGCCAATGTAGTGAGCTACCAATTTTTGTTAAAGAAATAATATTAATAAAACCAATACAATATATATATATATATATATATAGCTTATAGTCAATTTCATTTTTCCATTTCTTGATTCTTACATTGTCAAATCTGTCTCTACTCAATAAACTAAAGATTCGCATAAATCCCAATACTCCAACCCACATTGACAGCCTCAGGATGTGCCTCCAGACAGGGTCCATGACAGCACCAATGAAGATGATTTTGAATAAAAGAAAATTCAACATTCGATCATATATGTGCTATTTAATATTAGTCATATACAATTTATATATATATATAAAAGGTTGTATTTAAATTTAAATTTAAATTTGATTTGATTTGATTATTATTATTATTTGATACCAATAGTAAAAAGAGTAAGTAATTGAATTTATATATTTTTTAAATGAATGTTTATACAAATCATTAACAAAAACTAACCTGGCTCTCGGTTGGCCACAGATCATCAAAAAATAAAGCAATTATTGCTCTTCCAAGAATAATCGACACACACACTGCCATATTTACATGAAGCTAATAAATGCACAAATAAAATAAATAAATAATTAAATAAAAAGGATATATATATACAAGAGAGAAAGAGAATAATTTCTTTTCTTTTTAAAATACATTATATATGGTGTATACATTACCACTAGGCTCACTTTCTGTGTCTCAATATAGCCGAAAAAAGCTGACAGATAACTGCTACAAACTACAGTATCAGGCTGTCCGAATAGTCGAAAGGGAGGTTGATCGGATTCTCGGAGCAGCCGTACAACGACATTCATAGTGTCAATATCAGCAGTCGAATAACATTCATTCACCGTATTCCATGTGTCAGATTCAATAAATGAACGCAATGAAACGACGAATGCTACGATGAATGTGATAAATGAAACGGATGAATATACTAGAATGTCACTACGCATATGTGAGAAGAATATATAATAGAAATTATGGTAATGGTAATGGTAATAGTGATTATAGTGGTAATAATGGTATTCTATTGTTGTTGCTGTTGTTGTTGTTGTTGTTGCTGCTGCTTTTGGTTGTAGAAGGTAATTTTATTAATAGTTGTACAGAAAAAAATAAAATGAAAAAAAAAAGAAGAATAGAAGGAGAAAGAAGAAGCAGAAAGAGAGAAAATGTGTGTGTGTGTTGGTGGGTGGGTGAGAGTAGTTATGAGTGTGAAATATATATAGAGAGAGAGAGAGAAAGAGAGAGAGAGAAAAAGAAGGGAGAATGAAAGAGGAAGAAGAAGAAAAAAAAAGAAAAAGGCACAAGAGATGACGTCTGAGTTATATACATATACATATTATATACATATGTATATGTATATGTATATGTATATGTATACCAGTGATTGAGTGATTGAGTAATTGAATTGAATATGTATATACACACACTCATATGGAAAATACCTTTTGTTGCTATGTTACCATTAATCAGGTACAATAAAAAGGTGTGAGAAAAATGAAAATGAAAATGAAAATTGTAAACCAGGAACTTGTTTTATAAAGCAAAGGCGATAAAGTATGATGATATAGAAGCATTGATACCACTACCACTACCACTACCACTACCACTACCAATCAATGAACAATACCTAATGAATATATAAAGTCTTTATAAAAGAAGAGCGCACAAGCTTTTTGTTTTTGTTTTTTTTTTTTTTTTTTTTTTTTTTGGAATTTTATGTTTTGTAATAAACCTAAATTGTATTTTAACCTACCGCCCCAGAATTCTGTCTGTCCGATTAACCTACCCCAATTTCCCTCCTCTCTTCATATCCCTTGCTTTTCTTAACCTTGCACCTTTTTATATAGTATATTATATTTATATTTATATTTATATATTTCTTTAAAAAGAAGTTCAGTCAAATTATCTTTATAGATTTATTGAGACATCTCCAGTCACCCGGGATATGAATCACCGTAATGACTTGGTGGTAGTAGTTCAAGTTCTTTTTGAGGATGGTCCAATGATAGACCAGACATATTGCTATTATGTTTCAGATAGGATCTTCATATTAAATAATCATTTTATATATATATATATCTTCTTTGACAGATACCTCTCTGCCTGGGTTATATAGTAGATATTAAAGGATTCCAAGTTACAACACAAACGTCTTTTTTCTAGAATAGTCTCATGTCCAGTTTTGTGGAAATTCTTAAAACAAAATGTCGTTTTCTATCAAGCGTTTAGAAATACCTCTTTGTCTTCTATTTAGAAGACAAGTCTAGAGGTTATTTTGAATTTTCTTTTATACTTTACATTACATTAAATATATGTTTTTTTTTATGTTTCTGTTTTTAAAGGGAAAGGAGAATAATCATTAAGCTTGGACTTGTCATTTTGGATAACAATAATCTCACTTTTGATTGATTAATTATTATTATTATTATTATTATTATTGTTATTGAAATGATGAGCAAAGCTTAAATCCTATCAAGAGAACCATTGATAAGCCGTTTCTTTTCCGTCCTTTAGTGTTTCATAATCCAGAATAGATATAATCATTTCAATCTCTCTTACTGGTTTTGGTGAGCCATGATTAGACTCGAATATATAGATATATAGATAAATAATAAGAAAAAATGGTGATTTGTTTAAAGAGAATATTGTTATTTGACACGTATAAGTTATAAAGGCTTGTGGTTTCTATATGAGCCTCATTTGACTCTATTGGTACAATTGGTTTGTGGGGATATCAAAACAAACAAACTAAAAGAGAAAATTGTTGACCAATTTTTTTAGTTTTAGTTTTAGTTTTAGCTTTTATTATTACTAATGTTTGTTGGCTATTCATAAATATACGTGTAGGTGCGCGCAATTTTACGTATATCACATGCTGTGTACGTACAACTGACAGGATGATGTACTTTATTTGGGTTGAGGCGTTTTAATTTCTCCAAAAAGCAACTCAATAGAATCTATTTCTATCAGAGCATCTGCAGCAGTAGCATTTCAATTATCATTCAAGTGCTCGTAAGCCACATAGAAGAACTAAAATATCAGTTACATAATAAAAAGAGGCATTTAGATAATCATACTATCTGGTATAGTCTTCTTCACTAGTAAAATTCATTATTATGAGATATTTTTCTTTTATTTTTAATATAAAAAAAATACAAGTTAAATGTTCTCGAGACTATCAGCTTTGTAGTGAGCATAATTTTTGTGAGTTTTTGTAAGTGTTGCTATATACTATTATTCGGTTTAAAGAAAAAATAAATAAAACAATTTAAATGCTCAGCAAGTTTTTGAAATTAAGCATCTACTTCCATGCTCAAGCTCATAAAAATCACTAGTATAATCCAAGCCTTATTTTTGTGTTTGGTATTGTCTATGGACTAAAATATATGATATATGTCATGTTGTTTTTATCATATTCCACGCAGATAATAATTTTGGCTATCAGAATGTTTCAATGAGAGACGTACCTGCCATTTTAAACAAAGGAGTATCAAAAACATCTTGTAGAGTTGATTGATGGAAGGTCTTGCTTTACGATTTTATTAAGAAGAAGTGTAGCATCAGCGTAAAGCATGCTTACTTTTATCCAGTTGAAGGATATATACCTTTGGGCGAGTAATCTAAAGGGCATTATGTTGTCATGGATAGTGGTCGCATTAATCTTTTTTTATATACTCTGGAGCTCGATTCTATTGAGCAATTTTGGTCAGTATCGAAGAGTAGACTCAAAAGAGAGAAGCCTTTCTTCTTCTTTAAAGAAGCATTGATATCCAGAATTTGTGTATTTAAATACAGAAAGAAACTTGAGTTTATAAACTCCAAGAGAATGTTGAACTTTGGTATTTTTATTATTTGTGCTTGTGTTTATTGATCGACCTGACACTGAGCAGTCGGTTCTGTAGCCCAATCTGCCTAAAAGACGAAATGTGTAGTATATTTCAAAACTAAACAAAGCTTGTTTGTCTGATTGATTGGCTAGAATATTTGTTTAATCCAGAGTCTGACAAGCGTAGCACTTTATATATATAATATATGTATATAATATATGTATGAATGAATGAATGTATGTATGTGATTATAATGATTATATAATATCATACTTACTGTCCTACTCCATTCATTCATTCATTCTTTCTTTATTTCATTCGCTTGTGTGTTAAAATAGAGGAGAGTATTACACCATCAGTTTACCGGAAGGATAAGATAAGATCGAAATCGAAATCAAGATCAAGATTATGATTTTTTTCCCTTATATCGTCCAATAGAAATTATCCAGAAATCCCATGTAACTCTAATCTTTTTATTCTTATTCTTACTTTTTGTTCGCTTGTATCCGTATCCAAGGTTTGTAACAAGATTTGAAAGGACAGATTTATATATAGGATATGGAGGGAATATAGATTTCCCTTTTATATTTTAGATTTATACTTATATAATAGGCACAGACACAGAGAACTATTTGATTTGATTAAAATTTGATCTAATCTATGCAACCCTATTTTATCCTATTGACATAGACTAATATTGGACTATAATGGACACAGCACTTTTTATATATAGATAGTATTCATGGATTCTACCAAAGAATCCGTTTATTTGTTTTATTGGTTCAAAAATTGTTTGCCTTTGACCACCTTTCCACAATCTATCGCAACTCCCACTTCTTCCCTCTGTATTGTCACATAATATCAAACCACACCACACACACCTTACACTTCTTTTCTTCTATTTCGGATTTCTTGTCAACCATTTGACAAAAAATAATAAATAATAAATAATGAAGAATTAAGAATAAATAAGAATAAGAATAATAAGAAGGGTAAGGAATAAGAATAGAAAATGAATGAATGAATGAATTAAAGGTACAAAGGTCATCATCACGTCGCAGGAATTACCCTGATCCGTTTTTAAGGGTATAATCTCAGCCGCTTAAAGATCTTCTTTTACTTTTTTTTTTTGTTATTCCCAAATCAAAATCTTTTTTTTTTGCAGCACCCCTCGAGTCAAATTGTACAGAATAATGAAAAGCAAGAAGTAGAAGTAGTAAAGGCAAAGAGAATAATATAAAAAAAGGGAAGGAAGAGAGACGAACAAGAAATATATAAAGTGAAAATAAAGAAGTAAAATAAAAACACGACACCATTTCTTTCCTTTTCATTTCTTTTTTTCGTTTTATCTCTATATCATTAACTTCCTCTCTCTCTCTAAATAATAGTAATAAAAGAGGTAGAAGAATAAGAAGAAAAAGTAGAAGAAGTATAGAGAGAGAAGAAGAAGAAAAAGAAAAAAAGAAAAAAAAAGAAAAGAAAAGAAAAGAAATTCTCCACACTTACGCGATTCGGGTGTCGGTTTGGAAAATGATAAAGCGCAAAAAATAAAAGAGAAAAAAAAAGTAATAAAAAAAAAATGAATGTGTTGCGCTTTCTTACCATTTTCCTATATTCTTGCTCTTGTCGTCTCTCTTCTTCTCTCTCTTTCTCTTCCGCCCTTTCGTTCTTTTTTTATTATTATTATTATTGCCTGGTTGTCATAAAAGGAGTAAATAGAAAGTTGTGCTTTTTTTTTGGTGAAGATCGAAAAGAGTCGAAACGTCTGAAAGGTGTTGGTATCGAGATATCCAAAGCAGTAAGGTTGAAAATATAAAATATAGAGAGAGTAAAAATATTGGCTGTTGTTGTTGTTGTTGTTGTTGTTGTTGTTATTGTTGCCGTGAATTTTATATGACACCTAGGAAATAAGAAGGAGAATAGTAATAGTAATAATAAAATATAAACATAAATCAATTGTTGTCTCTGCCGCCTTTGCTTTTGCTTCTTCTTTAGTGAGGGTTGAAAATTTGGTCTATTTCTTCAAGCGTGTAGCCTTTGGTTTCTGGTAGGAAAAAGGACCCGATCACAAGCAGAGTGCAACAGCCACCAAAGAAATAGTAGCCACCGTAGATCGTGTTGTCCATAAAGATCGGCATCACAAATGTCATAAAGATCGCCACGGCCCAGTTGAGCCCATAGGCCAGCGCCAGACCCTTGGCTCGGGTACGCATATTCAAAATCTCGGCCGGATAGACATAGGCCACCGGACCCCAGCTATAGGCATATGCTGCCTCAAAGATGTAAATCAAGGCAATCACCGCATTTCGGGCAGTACTGCTCGAGAGTCCGACCGATTGGTCGCCACTGCTGATGTTAATGCTACCCAGGGTGTTGTAGGATTGAAAGATAGCTCCGACAATGTACATGGTCGAGCCCATCAAAAAGGCTCCACTGATGAAAATGAGACGCCGACCGAGTTTGTCAATAAAAACCAGAGTGAGCATATTGCAGAAAAACGCAACAATCTTGCTGCCACCACTGGTGGCCAGGGCAAGGGAGGTGTCTGTCAGACCGGCCTGTTTGAAGATCTGGGGGGCGTAGTAAGAGATGGCGTCTGTGCCGGTAAAGGCGGCTCCATTTCCGGTGAACAAGGCAAACAGGGTTCGTTTGAGGTTAGTGCCTTTAAAGAGCTCGACAAAGGTACGGGCACCGAATGTGCGTTCGTACTCAATCTCGGTCACAATTGAGTCATATTCTGCAAGAACCGCCGGGTCATCGATAGTAGATTCGTGCAGCAACGCCAAGACCGCCAATGCCTCGTCGTTTCTTTGCTTGTCGACCAGCCAGCGAGGCGAAAAGGGGAGCAGGTAGGCAAACGAGAGCAAGAGACAGAGTATGACCTGGATCAGAAACGCAGTTCTCCAGCACCAGTCTGAGGGTGAGAGATAGCTTGTGCCAAAGTTGACAAAGTAGCCCGCAATTGATCCAATGGCCGACATGGCGCTATAGAGACTGATCAGACGGCCACGGATATCAGGAGGAGCGATCTCTGAATGGTAGAGCGGGATCGCATTGGTCAGAAAGCCTTCGCCAAAGCCAACAAAAACCCGACCGGCCATAAAAAGGCCAAAGTTGGACCCAATTGTTTCCAGAAGGGCACCAATAGCAAATACATAGGTTCCAAGCAAGATTGTGTATTTACGACCAATCCAATCTATTAAATAATTATTATTAATTATAATTATAATTATATATATTATAATATTAATTACCACATATATAACCAGACATTAATCCTCCAAGGGTTGCTGTCAATAACATGATGGCTACCAAGAGACCTTCGCGGTATGAAGTATCTTGGTTCAAGAATTTGTTGGCAAATACATCCATTGCCATGACACCAGAGATTGATCCAGAGTCATAGCCAACGACAAAGCCACCAGCAGCAGCCATAATGGCAGCCAGATAGATTGATTTTCGAGAACCTTTTCCTCTGCTGATTTGAGTTATAGACGCAACTCTCAAGGATTCTTGATCATCATTTTTGAAAGACGGATTCTTTGACATGTTTTTTGTTTTTGTTTTTATTTTTATTAATGAATATACGTAGGTAAGTATATATTGATAAAGAAGAAGAAGAAGAAGAAAAAGATGAATGAATGAAATATTTTTTTTTCTATATTAATTTTACCGCCAAGTCTCCGATACAAATGTAATTATTATTATTTGGCAGAGATGAATAGATCATAATTTATAATATGCATGTGTATATAAATACAAGAAAGATGCTAAAGATTTGTCACTGTAACTGTAACTGTCATTGTAATTGTCATTATTAATTTGACTATTGGCACTAATGGCACTAATGGCAGTAGAAAGATACTTTAATAAAAGTGACAATCACAATTACACTCAAAGTTACGACAAGAGTGAGATTTCTTGAGATTTCTTCAAGATTTGCTTTATTGCTTGTATGTGTGAGCGATGATAAAATATTATACCTCCCCTTCCTTCCTCTCCTTTACATCTTCCATATATACAAACAACCCCCCCCCCCTTATATATATATAATTCTCTATCTACTTTTCTATCTATCTAATTTTTCCTATTAGTCTCCTTGTATATTTTAGTGTTGAAAGGGGGAGGGGGGAAGTTTGTTTTTGACTGTTGCATAATTTTACAATTAATAATAATAACGATGATCTTCCTTTACCTCTCCCTTTATTTATTTTTAAAAATTCCTGGATAGCCAGATAGGCGGATGAACACATATGTATATGAAAAGAAGGAGAAGAAGGAGATTATGATGTAGAGAAAGATGGAGAAAAGGGTTTTATGTTAATGTATAGTCTACATATTTTATAATCTTAAATTCTATAGTATCTATGATAGTACAAGCAGAAAGTGTTGTGGTATTGTTTAATTGATTGATCAATTTAATAGGGCGGGTGGGTCTAATTGGTATATTCTTCCAGTAAATACCAATAGACGAAATAATATGTATATATAGAGATATAGAGATATAGAAATATAGAGATATATTTCTTTGCTGGTTTTCCTTATCTCACCATATATTTTCTCACACACACACACAGAGAGAGACAGATATATGTGTCAATTCAACTATCAATGTGTAGCTATTACATATAAATATAAATATATCCTATTTAATTGTGCATAGACGTACAAGAAAGAAAAGAAGAAGAAAATAGACGAATTACGAGTAACACGGGTTGATTTCAAATAGGGCTACGCACAGTCAGAGGTGTAACTGACAATTTGCTCTTTTATTTTTATTTTTTATTTTCTTTACATTATTGTACCACAAGCTACAAGCTACAAGCTACAAGCTACAAACTGCATACAGATAATACAGTGCAATACCATATGAAACAGTGTAATTTTTATATAAATTTATATAAATTGATAAATTAATATAAAGAATTCAAATTGCTCTTATTTAAATAACAGTAGTAATACCACTAATAAAGGCTCTGGACATGACATTTGATGAAACAAACAAACAAATAAATAAAAGAATAGTAAACCCCAAGAAATGCACAAAATTGGATTGTTACTCAAAATCAAAAACCTATCCATTCCGTTGTCCTCCTATCAAGCCTAATTAAGAAACCACAAAAGAAATAATGGGTTTATCAAGAGCTATATACACACACAATGTGTAGCTATAATTTCATAATACAAAAGGTCGGATATTCCCAGTCAAAGCAAATTGGAAATAAATAATATATAAATAAAGTAAAATGAAGTAAAATAAGAAAGAATGATCCGATATATATACCATTTTTTTTTTTTTTTTTTTGGTTTCGTAAAAAAATTCCTGTTCTGCATGTTTATTACCTATTAAAGACTTTCTTTCTTTCCTTTTTGCTATTCTATATTTACATTCATTTTTGTACCTCTTCTTCTTCCTAATCTTTTCTTGTGTACTTCTTTCTTTTTTACTTCTTCTACGAGTTTCATAAAAGGAGCTTAATTGCTTTTATTGGTATTATTGTCAATATACATATTCAGCTATATATAAATATGCAAAAAGTGAGGGAAGGGGGAATAAGGAGGGGAACGTATTTTGACAAAGATAGAGATATAGATAGAAATATAGATAACGATCGAGATAGAGATAATAAATTGTAATTTTTATTTGAATGCAGAATAAGATGCACAATGCACAATGCACAATGCACAATGTGTAATGATAATAAAGAAATTGTATATTTATGTATGTACAGAATTTTCTAGTTGGTAAAGATAATTATGGGTTTATAGTCAATACATAAATACATACAGGTATATAAGAAATAAAGAGGTTCTTTCTATAGAGAAAGAATACAATCCTTGAAATGTTCTTTATCCAGAACAAGTACTTTGTATGTACAGAAACACACACACACACACACAGTGGAATAAAGGGAGAAAGAGAAATAAAAGAGAGAATACACACAGTACAGTACACATGATGGTTGCCAAGCCTCAACATTTGAGTGACAATAAAGAAAAGAAAAGAAAGAGGGGAATCCCAAGCCAATCTTCCCTATCTATCTATCTATCTATCTATCTATCTACCTTGCCTTTTTGCTGGTCTTGTCTTGCAAAGATAGAGATAGAAACAGAGATAAAGAAAATGTCAAGACCATATCGTTCCCTTCTTTCCACCAAGAAAATTACTTGGCTTCTTGGCTTTTGATCGAACTTCAAGGAGTCCAAAATCCTCCTTTCCTCCCTGTTTTATATGTATAGTGCACCGTACTGTACTGTAGTGTTCTGTAGGGTGTATGTGTGTATGTATGTGTGTGTTTGCCTATTCTTCAGCTAGCCGCTTTTTTTTTTTTCTTTCTTTTTTAGGCTTGGACTGTAGTGTAATATGATGGTGATAATGACGATGATTCTGACGGTGATATCGTTTTTGTTGTTTTTGTTGTTGTTTTTGGTGAGAAGGACTGGAGATACTGTTTTGACGTCGATTTTGACATTGACAGGCGATCTTGACACAAAAGAGTGTTTAATAAAAATGCTGGGCGGCAACTGCTATCACCATTTTCATTCTCATTCGCATTCTCATGGCCAGGGACCTCGTTCCTGAGCGGGGTCGGTTGGCGGGAAAGAAATCTGTCAGACCTTTTGGCTAAAAAGGCTCGCGGCTTCAAGGGACACACGATCTTGTTGGCTCGCATCATATTAACTTCGGCTACAATCATTCTCAGGTGGGACTCATTGGCACGAACGGCTCGGACATGGGATGAAAGGCTATCTGGCTCAATTCGCTCAATTTGCTCACTTTGCTCACTTTGTTCGGTTGGTGTACCCAAAGGCGGTAAAGTTTGTGTACCCGTTGCCGCCGTCACCGTTACTTTTGTTGGCTGTTGATGTGGGTGTGCTTGTGCTTGTGCTTGTGCTTGTACTTGTACTTGTGCCTGTACCTGTGATTGTGGTTGTGCTTGTGGTGTAGCGTGGCAGGTTCTTCCCATTTCTGGATATTCCGATCTCTTTTGGGATTGGGATTTCAATGGAAGAATTGTTGTAATTGAATCGGCGGCGTCAACAGTACAATCGCTATTGTTATTGCTGTTGCTGTTGCAAGCAATAATGGTATCTTGCTTATTGTTATTTTTGTTTTTGGACTTGTTCTTTTTTGCCTTTTGTTTGTCAGACTCTCTCCAGCCGATGAATTGTTGTTCATGATGGTCCTTGAGGGCCGCAGGGTCAACACGTGTCCATTCCTTGGGTGTCTGGAGTATTTCCCAGATGTACCAATTTTCATCCCTGGGGTTTGTTTCAATTGTGTGCAAAGGTGCCTCAAACACACCAAATGTTTCAAGTGGGACATCGAGGTTGTCAGAAATAGAAGAAGCTGCCTCTGGCGTATCAGGATCTGCAGAGCAAGAGGCTGCTGAGTATCTCTGGATGTAATGATCACACAAGATATCTGACAGTGCAGTAGTGGTCATGCTGTTATTATTGTTATTGTTATGAAGGTTATTAGTGCTTATATTGATATTGGCGTCAGTATTGGTGGTGATTGGGTTATTGAGACGAATGATCGAAACAAGGTCATCATCGTCAACAGTCGAGCAGGAGTCTTCGGAAGCAGATGAATCAAGTGAACTGGTCAGACTACCACAAGAACTCGTTGTTGAAGTGCAACTGCCACTGCTTGTGCTAAGGCAACTGACTGATGGCTGTGAGGATTCTTGGCCATAGTCATCATCGTGGTGGTCATAGGCAATCGGACTACTGACAGGGGCTATGACGGCTAGGGGTGAAGTAAAGACCTGGGTCTTTGGGGGTGAGCGCGGCATGAATCCAAGGCGAGGGGCTGGGGTTTGTGGTTCTGGTTCTGGTTTTCGGTTCAGGACAGACTGGACAAAGGCCATCAGGACAGAAGGGGCACGGTCGATCCATGATTCAGTTGACTAGGGATATAAATAATATATATATATATATGTATATAAGGATAAGAATAAGAATTCATTTGAAGTAATTTGATTTGACTTGATTTGACTTGACTTGAATGCAATTATATATATATATATATATATTATGTAGATGGGTTTAAGAATTTATAATATGAAAATGTATATATTACTGTTCTCAGGTACCAAAAGAATAAATAAAGAAATAAATATAAATTACGACGTACACACACAAATACACGTACATATATACATACATACATAGCATAGATGTGTCTGTGTGTGTATTTATGCATTATATTATTATTATTGTTGTTGTTCTTATCTATTAAATTATCTACTGATTTATTATATATTTATATTGTCACTATCACTATCATCATTTTATTCAATCAAAGAAGAAGGAGGAGGAGTAGGTTGATAATAACTATAATCTATAATACTGATTTGACTGTACAATATTTATGTATATCAAAATGATAATAATGATAATAGTAATGCTTACAATAATCTTCATTGTGCTTGTATCTTTCTACTTACAATCTTTTCTTTTTCAATCAATTCGGCTTTTGGTTTTCTCTTGGGAATCGTTCCGTATGGTATTGGTGCTCTAGAGGTAATTGCCTTGGCTTGTTGTCGATACAGTCGAAGGGTCGTCGTGCTGTCCGATTGAATGGTGACTGATAATGAATTTTGACTTAAAACTGACATCTTTTACTTTCTTTATTTCTTTTGACTTTTTTATTATAAATATATAAGTATATATTTGATATACTTGATAAGCAATAGAGAGAGAGAGAGAGTGGGGTAGAGGTAGAAAATAATATTAGAGGTAAAAAAAAAAAAAAACAAAATTAATAATTTTTAAAAAAAATAAATAAATAAAAGACATGCACTCTATTTATTTTATACACATTTATATACTTTTTTTTTTTTGAAAATTTTATTATCGGAGAGATAAGCCAAATATATAACGAAAAAATAAAAACCATTTTTTGGAACAAATAGATACAAGCACTTATACATATACATACATAATTAAGCGCACTTTGAAATATAAAGTGGTTAAAAAAGGAAAGGTTAAAATATGTATAATCTTATTTCCTTTTATGGCACAATAAAGATATATATATATATATATATATATATATTTTATCAATCATGAATAAAAGATAATCCCTATCATTTTAATACTCTTTGTCTTTGTCTTTCTTTATTTCTTATTATTTATTAATCAATGTTGCCTCTGTATCTACCTGTGCATTAATCATTATCGTTATCGTTATCGCTACTCTTTCTTCCATTGATTATATAAAGTGCATATGTATTTATGTGTATGTAATAAATATATAATAAAATAACTGATAATTGATTCACACGACAATGACCATGTGAGCTACACCACTCCTGACATTTAATGTACTGTAATGTACAAATCAGAATCATTTTTATGTTTATAAAATATATATATATATAAGCGTATCACTTTTTTCTTTCTTTTTTTTTTCTTTCTCTTTCCTTTATCTGGATTCCTATTGGTTCAGAAAGACAACATTCCCTAAAAAAAATCTAATGGCTGACTGTAAAGGAAAATATTTTCCCGGCCCAGCATCCGAGCCGTGTCACTTTTTTTTTTATTATCTTTAATCCTCTCTCTCTCTCTATTTTAATTCATTTATAACATATTTACTCCAGTAACCATTTTCTCAAATGACTCTTCTTGACGCCACCGGTACATTATTATATTACTATACATAAAAGTATACTCAAATAGATAAATAGATAAAGATACTTTATATATATATATATATATGTTAAGAAAAAGAGCTTGCTCAATAAGGATAATCTCTTGGTCAATTTTGATTTGCACGCTATAAACTATACACTATACCCTATACATTATATACTCTAAACACACACTCACACTCACACAAAAATATATATATTACTACTCACAAAAGAAGTATAAGTAGGTCATTGGTGTCTGGTTCCATATTAGGTACTTCTTATCGAACATAAATTACCTTTTATAAATATCTGAGCTTTCTATCGCGATAGGGAGGTTAACTTGCTCAATTTTTTTTTTTAAAAAAAAAAAACTTTATTTGATTTTGTGATTATGTATAATACATACCTTTAAATGGTTTAAGAGTACTTTATATACAGTAATCGTAGTGTCAAACATCTGACTTGTAACAATTTCAAAATATAATATGTATGAAAAAAAAAACGTGGAAAAGAAAATGTATTTAGTGAATTTTTTACAAACTGATTTGCAATTTTATAAGAATACTTTATATGTTAAACTCTATAGTAGTGCTTTAGAAGTAATAAGGATTTCTTTTAATGAATCTGAGCTTATAGCATGCTTAATACAAGCAAGCTTTAAAAAAAAACTTTTTGGAAATTAATTAATTTACGTGTGTTTATATATATATATATAAATACTATCAAGGATTGTTAATTGAGTACCCCTTTTAGTGATATCATTTTTCCTTAAACCAATCAGGTGGATTTTGCAACTATTGTGCCTAAACGTAAAAACCAATAAATAAAAATCCTATTATGTTTCGTGGTCTAAATTAATCAGATAAATAAGATGATATATTTGAATGGCGCGCCTATAATGAAGAGCTTCTGATCACTTTTTACGCAAATAAGTGTATAATTCTTTTTTTTTTAAAAAAAAAGCCCTAAAGTCAGCATATAATTTACTTAGCCTTTAAACAAATAAGGATATCTCTTTATTTTTACCATTTTAAAGACTTATAATAAATTTGAGATTGTCACGCACACACTCCATAAAAACAAGCCAAAAAGAAACTGTGTGGCTCGGGTATTACATGGCAATAAATATTATAGGATGGGTAGAATAAATTTAGAAACAGAATACCAACAGATAATTATAGACAAGAAGTATATAGCTGCCTATATACTTTAAAATTCTTTTGGTTAAAGACAGTTCTTTTTTCTATTAAATGTTTTTCAAACTGGACATAAATACGATTTTTAGCAGCAAGAATACATATGCCAATATTAACACACATTATCAGACCTAAAATGCTACGAGTATCACAATAGATAATATAACAAATAGCCTGTTAAACTATCGGCGTAGGCATAGGCTAAGTGAATTGTCAACTTTGCGAATTTTGTATAAACCAAAAGTTTGATTCCTTTTGAAAGCTAACCGTTGAAGATTTAACTAACATCTAAGCCTTTAAAGCTGAAACTTACCCTCTGAATTCTTGAAGACATATCAACCTGATATTTTTCAAGAGCTATAGCATAAATTATATAAGGAGGTTATTGGCTAATATGTATTACAATATCGATCAGAAATATAAACTATTAACATAATATATCAAAGAGCTCAGTATAGATACGAGTATTTTGTCTTGAACTTCCTAATTTATTTCATTCTATTTAATATACTACACTTTTATAACTAGTAACAAGAAGTTAATATTCAAAAGATACACTTCTTCTGAAAAAAGAAGAAGAGAGAAATAGTCAACTGCAAGAAAATTGCATGACATAACATTCAAGTCAAAGAAAAAAAAAGTAATAATTTGGCTGTCAAAAATCATCTTGCTCTGCTGTAAGAGTACGTAGACTTCTTTGCACCTGTTTGCCAAGAAGAAAGGTCCCAAAAGATTATGATACGCTTATCGAAAGAGTAAACCCATGTTTCAACCTGCGTTTACCATTTGATTACAGGATGAAGAATGTTTTCCATACCTCTGTAAATATTTATCTCTGACGACATTTATGTATACATTTTATTAAGCGCATTACCGCGGTAGTAAATATATTGGGCTATTTTTTTTTGTAAGATGTGATTGTTTTAATAAAATAAAGTCAAATACAAGTAAATTGAATGTAAAGCATCTTTTCTAACAGTAATCTCTCTGAAGATAAAAGAGCATATATATAATAGTCAGATAGATAGTATACTGCTCAATTATTTATACATATATATGTTAACAAGGTCATAATGACAGTTTTCTCTCTCTCTCATTACAACGATCGTTTACCTATCCTAAGCCTATGAATGCTTTAAATGCAGTCCTAACACAGCTGCTCCTTTTGGTAAAGGGTAAATTCAAACAGGTTTACTAATATCGACCCTTTATCAAATTGTCCAGGTACCGTCTTCTCTGTATATTCAATTTGGTTAGATCTTATTATTTTCTTGAGTATAAAAAGCCTCTTTTTTTTAGGACTCTCTTCTATGAGATTCGTAAAACGTTCCACTAAAGGAAACATTCTTTCTTGATTAATAAGGCTGATTTGATCGGTTTTATAGAAAGTATTCAAATATAAAATGTAACACGTTAAAAAGATATATAGCACTTAAAAGCTTATAGACCTTTGGCTAAGCTAAATAATTGACTATTTAACCTCTAAGAAGTAACACTTTTATTTATTTTTATCCCTTTGATCCTAGCTACAATGATTTTCTTTCAATGTCTATATTTCTATAAGTCTATTATAATTACCGTATTATTGTATTTTCATGTTATCAAACTGATACTAGGAAGTTATGTTGGGCCTTCAGAAGGCCTAGAAATCCCTCAGCCTCGCCTTTATGCAGCTACATTCACATATAGCAACAAACTCTATATATACGGGGGTATGGTAGCCGGACAGCAAATATTAAACGTTTTTACTTCGGTATCCATGTCAACTGAAGATGGCTCGGGCGGACAGCTAGTCTACGAAAAAGTTCCTCAGAATATATCTGGCCCGTGGTGCTCATATTCTCAGGCTGTTATTCTCGGAGACAACCGCACGGCTATGCTTTTTACAGGATTTGAAAATGATAATGAAAAAACACAGAAACGGTTTCCGCACTTATATCTACGACTTTAAGAATTCCAGTGCATCCTGGAAAGAGGTTAATGCAATAAACATTACTGCTTTGCGGGAAGGACGCGTCTATTTTACGGCAACATTGGCTCCTAATGGATATGTGTATATATATGGCGGATTAAACCCAATTATTATGACTATTTTGAATGACTTTTTGTCGTTTAATCCACGTACTTTTAAATTCGAGACTCTCACTAAACCGAACCAAAGGTTCTTGTATGGACATACTGCTACAGCACTACCGTAAGAATTTTACAAAAAGCATAATAATTAAACATTACATTACATTACATTACATTACATTACATTACATTACATTACATTACATTACATTACATTACATTACATTACATTAGATTGCATAAAAAATAATATAAAAATTATGTAGAAATGGGCAGATTGTTTTTATTTCTAGAGCGACTTCAAAACATCCGAGGAACTATATGTATTCCCAAAGTTCCAGGGAACTTTATACATATGCCCAAAGTCCCCGAGAACTCATTATATATGATATAAATACAGATGAATGGACGCATATTAACGCAACAGGGGAGGCACCAGAAGGTCACATGGAAGCCAGTGCAGTATTAGGTATTCCTTTTTTTTCAATATCATTGTTTACCTATTATATATAGATATTTGAATTTCTTTCCCAATAATCAAAAGTACTCTAACATATTAGAGTGTAGGTCCAGATAAAAAAAACAATCATATTATATGGTGGTAAATGAAACATTAAATATTAGTAATAATAAGTACCTTATATTTGCCGATTGTTAATATACCACATTGACATAGGAAACAATGTGGGAAGTAATGTAGATATTAAGTATTTCAAGGATATCTTTTTGCTGCATACAGCTTCTTGGATATGGTCAAAGCCAACAATAGGTGGAATATATCCAGGTGCTCGTACATCTCTATCAATGGAATTTCTCGACACAAATATATTAGCAGTCGAATATCGTAACTGATTATACCAATGGGTACTTATTAGAAACTAAAGATTGATTATCTTTTTTAGGAGGTTCATTATCATTTCCATATAAAGATATGAATATTCTTTGTATCGATAATCAAAGCACACCTGAATATTCTTGGCTGAGCGGACCAGATGAATTCTTAGAATTGAATAATATAGAACTACCTCAGTATAAAATGAAAGGAGCCGTGGTTGCAGGAATAATTATCGCTATAGTATTTGCTATTATCTTGGGATTCTTTGCCTGGAAAACCTATGAAGATATATATTACATGCAACATTTAATTGGAAGCTTTATTTGGGATCGAAGGTAAATATCAATCAAGAAATTGTAATTTTGGCTTTAATATTTATTTATTTACTTTTTAATATTTAGAGATGGAGAGCCTATGTGGACTGAACTATCTCGTCTTATAATCCAATGTATCCTTATCTTCCTATTCTTGGCATATTTGGTATTCTCCGTTCGACAGGCTCTTGATAGTCCAACAACAAGTATCACTATAATTGAAAAAGTATTATCCGTGGCAGTTCCAGGTAATTTTTTTTAAAAAAGAAACAACTTAATACAAGTGTATATTTTCCTGACTTTAATTCAAATAGACATGAGATTTTGCTTTGAAGGCAATATAATTAAGAGTCAAGCTTCGCAAGTAACTTGTATGACCGAAATAGGATCATCCTGTACAGAATTTATAAAAGTACTTAATATGTCAGTCCACCTTCCAATATTCGAAGGCTCTATTAAAAACTCTGATTGCTATCTATTCACTCCTCCGAGCAATTTCCACTTGGGACATACAGGTGATGAATATAACTACGGAACCAAGCTCTAGTTTACATTTAACGGAAGTCCACAGGAGGATACTACCATTCGCATCACTCAATACGCTCCTGGGATGGATCCTAATGTAAAAGTCTATAGCCTCGACACAAGCGACGTACCACTGATTATGTCAGATCAGGCTGTCAATGAATGGGCTATGCGGGATATTGAGGGAAAGAATGATCCAAACACATTCACTATGTACGCAAATGATGCTCTGGTCATACAATACCAGATCAAAGACCACCAGTATCTGACAGACAGCGGCAGGAATAAAATAGGAATCCTGTCTAGTTATAACCACACACCCGAAATTAGCTATTCGTATGTTAAAAACAACTTTACCGTCATAAACAGCCAATTTGGGACTTATTTTGGAGGATCGTTTGGCTCTGCCACCATATATCCGATCGAATATGCAAATGTAGTGGAGCAAGACCAGAAGATCTACACAATAGTCAATTCTCTTGGTTCCGTTTGTGGTATCCTCAGTATTATGTTTGGCATACAAGCGTGGCTATTTGGTTTCAGGCCGAAATCTCCTTGGGGTGTTGTTCAAAGCTGGTCTTGGGGATCTATGAAGCGTTCGCTAAGCAGAAAGCTCCAAACAAAGTTTGACACGTTGAATACACCGGTTCCTTTTGTAAGCCCCATTAACGCCCGATTTTCTGGCACAAACAAAGCATCAGATAGGCAATCTGACAAAAGCAAAACCATGCTACTGGAGGATCAGAAAGATGAAGAGCTTGATGGTTTACGAGATCGTCTGAATAATGGAAAGGCGCGCGCAGCTGACTGAACGCTTGCTGGAAACTTACTGTATCAATAATAAGATCTTTAAGGAACTTAACTCGGCAATTGATTATCACCGCAAAAGAAGAGTTTCTGCGGCTACTGTAATTGAAGGAAACAGTTCTGATAATATAAACACAATGCGAAGAGAAAGCGTATCTGAAATCAGTGTTTAAAAGAAAACTTAAAGCTTAATAATGATAAATAAATATATATATAAATCAATCTTTGGCATAAATAAAGTGTAGATTGCTTGGGAAATGAGTCGGTACTTTCTTTCGCAATTTGGGCGTGCTTTTGTATATCCAATATATAGATATCAACAACCCTACAAAGATCTTTTATATTCTACAGCGATATCATCAAGCTACATCTCATTTACTAAGAATTAGTTAGCCAAAAGAGGTTGGACATTTGGACTATAATATATAAAGTCTAGTATCTTGCCAAAATAGGCATAGAGCTTGAAAAGTTTATTAATTTAGCTTAAATCAACTTCTTTGAAGAAATTTAAAATTTTATTCTATTCTGTAAACGTATCTTTTCATGTAAACCCTCCAATTGATCCTTACATTTCCTACTGGCGAAAATTGCGCAAGAATAAATACAAGAGTGAATGGCTCCATTCGCAACCCTCATAATATCTTTTAACCCACTTTCTCCATACCAAAAAGGTAAGTTTTAACTGGACGTCTGAGCTATTGGGAGCCCTAGGTCCTCTTACTAGAAAACCTCAATTGACTGAGATACTTTTGTGATATCGAGCTGCCGCCAAAACAAATATCGTCTGTATGTACGTATTATTGCAAGAAAGATAGTTTTTGGATGTCTGTACTCGTCATCCGCGCCGTGTTATTCGTTGCCCCAATTATGAGAAAACATAGTATTTCTCTGGAGATCCATCCTGCGTTACTGTCTTTCCGAAACGCTTGTAACAAGTATATTTCAGAATCTGGTGACATACAACACCATTCAAAAGAAAGCCCTTTATTCATTTCCTAAAACACCTCCTCCACCATGTAAAGCAAGGATATAGCAATGGTCGTAGTTAAGAATCCAAGCTCTACATCTCTACATCTCCCAGGAATACCAGTGACAACTTTGTCTCTGTCAATCTCCATCAATCTCATGAAGATTGACAACTTGGGGGATGCCAAAGTCCGGCTCTTCATCTGCCCTCATGGGACTTGTTTGACGATTACTAGTTTGTCTTCTTTCACACCATCTCCCCACCTAAGTCCTAGCCGTTACATTAAAGTTCGTTTGGTTTCCATCACGAAACATGCAATCTGGCGAGGTCATTGAAAGCTGATCTATGAGGGAGAGGACTGGTTTTCAATCCTTAATGGTAATTAAGGTTTTACGAGTTGTCTCGAAGAATTGACTGTTGGGGACTAAAGACATTAGAGATACACATAGTTTTCCATTTCTCTTTGTTTGTATCTCCCAATACACTTTATTGATGTATGTCCTTCTCCTTCTCCTTTTCTTCTTACTTTTACGGAAGAGTTTTAATGACCACGCAACAAGAGCGACAACCTTTAACACAGTGTTTTTACTCGATTTTGACGTGAATTTGGATTTTTTTCTATAGACGAAATTACATTGGAAACTGAAGCAAACAAGATATTTTATGAGACGATTTTTCTTCCGTGCGATTGTTGGTTAAGGTTAGATGATTGTAGCCAAGGCAATAAGCACTTTAAGTTCACAATGTTTAGCCGCTATACTGACATAATGATCTTTGCTAGTACTGTAACCAAATACCAAAAGAGGGTTTGCAATAGAGTTATAGGAATTAAAGTGCATATTTTCTTTTTGCTTTTGTATTTATAGTTTGAAACACATAATTGCTTTCTAAGAATATGATCCCATATAAATACATGCTTATATGATCTTTCCCCTCAAAGTACTCTATTAATAAAAACAAGAATGCCTTGTTTGTCTTCATTTGCAAGAAGGTTAATTTAAAGCTATAAATTGTATTCACTAACAATTATCAATACGTTAAAATCTGACAAGCCATTAGATTGTAGAAAAGTCAGGAGCACAAAGCTTTATATCCAGTCATTTGCTTTAGTGATATACAAAAAGAATAAAGGAAAAGAAAAGGTGCTATGAATTATACCCCTCTTTAATAAATCTTTAAAAATGAACACTCCAACCAATCAAATTACTTTATTACTTTTATACTTCTTCTGTCATTATCATTCATTACTAAAAATAAAATAAAAGCTTTGAAAATGAATACTTCTTTAAAAAACCTTTTTCTTTATTTTTCAATAAAAAGTAAAGATTATTGTAAAATATGAATATAGATACTTCTTTAACTCTATTTATTTAATTTGGTACTGTAATTTTTATTTTTTTATTTTATTTTTTGTTTTGCATTCTCACACGGTCATGCGGTACTCTTTTCTTAATAGCCAGAAAACCCCTTCCCCTTCGCCCCCCTTTATATTTTTGTATATTCTGTATATTTTGTATTGATTTATTTATTGTACAATTTCGGTCTCCGATGAACAGATTTTTTTTGGTTTGTATTATTATTTCAATTTCTTAATTAATTATTTTAATTTTCTCTTTTCTTCCTTTTCTTTCTTTCTTTCTCTTACCAATCTTGCACACCAACAAAAGAACCAAGAGAACTTCTTCTTCTTATACTTCTTCCAAGTTATACTAGATACTCAATCTCTTCAACAAACACCAAAACCAATAAACACATACTACACTCTATTTTCTCTCTCTCTCCTCTCTCTCTTTTCTCTTTCTTTCTTTCTTTCTTTCTTCTATCCCCCCCCCTCCTTTTCTCCTTCAGGTAGTTTCGGGCGTGCCATCAGGTAAGAACATCCTTTTATCTTTATATTTAATATGAATATTAATCAATCAATCGATCAATCAATAAACTCACCTTATTCTTTACAGTGACCGTCCAAAAGGAAAAAGAGTAGCAGCACTGGACAAGAATATCGTCATTTTCCTTTACGCTTCCAGCACAATCTTTTCCAAGGACACCAAGGAAAAGAATTTTGCGTTTAGTAAACCTAATAAACCTAATAAGCACAAAACTCGTATAATACAAAGTCAAGAACATTATTATCAGCCAGAATGATTATCGCAAGTAGTAATAATAGCAATAGCAATAATAATAATAAAACCAAAAACAACAAAAATGGCGGTGGTCATGGGCACACTATGGGTGTCTCGATTCCCCTTCAAACCATGTCACCAAGAGCGGCAACTGCAACTGCAACCGCAACTGCGACTGCAACTGCAGCAACATTATTGACACAAGCCATAAACACAAAAACAAGTACAACAAATACAACAGCAGCAATAACAACAACAACAGCAACAACAACAACAGCAGACAATCTGTCCTTGCCAACTGGCTCGTTTTCATCTCAATCAAAATGGGAAGATGAAGATGAAGACGAACGAATTCCTCGTGATATGATTGAGTTTACCAAGAGGTCCAAAGGTATATATATACTATACATCTTTAAAACACACACAAAAAAGTGACTCACAAAGTTTTGTTTGTTATTTCAATGATCATTTTTTAATATATATATATATAAAAAGACGATTTTGTCTGTTCATTGTTTGGACCTTCCAGTCCTATTTTCCAGACTGTGCATGAAATCATGACCATCACCACCGCACTCAGGCACAACTACAACAGCAACAACAAAGTAGGTGGTGGTGGGATCCTCGAATCTCAAGCATTTATTTACCAACGAACCGTCTTTCTCAGCTCTCCTTTTGCGGGTGAACATGCGATTGGTCTCCTTGGTTGGTCTGATGGCGAGTTTCAATCATGGTAAAAAAAAAAGAGAGAGCAAATATAGATAGATAGATAGATAGATAGAGGTACAACGACACATAGCTACCTAAAATAATAATAATAGTAATAATAGAAGGAGGAGGGTATCGAAGAGGAAAAAAAACATTTGCTTATTTGTGACTCCAATACACAAATATATATTCGATGATATTCTGATTTTTATTATTTTCTGTATTTGTACATAGCATTACTCATTTGATTGAATTGGCCGAAGAAAAGACAGGTTGTGAAGCCCTTGTGATTGCAGTTGACAAGCGCGGAAAAGAAGCTGGTAAGAGAAAAATTTCCAATTATTTATCAAGTTGTAGCACACATACACACAATACATATATACATATTATATATATATATTTATATGTATATTACTTGATAATAAGAAAAATATCACTATGACAATATACATATATGTATATGTGCTGTGTGTTCTGTGTGTTCTGTGTGTGCATTTTGTGCGTGTGTTGTGCGTGTGTTTATATTTATACATATGTTTTCTTGTGTATGTATATCATTCTCTCTCTCTCTCTCTCTATACATTTCTCTCTAGTCAATATTGTACTTCGTGCATTGATGTACATGGGATTTGCCCTCGTTCATCCCTCGGTCTACCAACAAGAACCAGGCTTTGTTCTGGTTGGTTATGAACTCTAACAAAAAAATATAATCTATTTTTTTTGGGAGAAGGCTCTTTTTTATTTATATATATATATTTTACTACACCACACCTTTTCTATTTCTTTCATTCTCTATATTTTACCTTGTAAAAACACACACTATAATATAATGCATCATTATATTTCACTCTCTATCTTTATGTGGGTGTGGGTGTGTATGAATAGGCTAGTTGGATATGTACAAGTAGAGAAGAGTTTCTTTTGGCTTTCTGTGCATGTAGTTTCAAAAATTCAATAAATAAATAAAATAATTCTTTACAAAAAAAAAACACAAAATTTCATTTTTTCCTTAAAATTCCTATACACAACATTTACAACATGAAAAACATTTTTTTGGAAATAGATTTTATTTTATTTTGTTTCAATTTATTATACAATTTTGATGATAGAAATATTTATATATTTATTACTCTAAGCTACAAATCTACACAAGATCTTGCTCCCCAATGTTCGTTCTCTTTACAAAGATACGGAAAATTAACTATTTTTTTAAAAAAAATAGAGAGACAATATGAGTATACATATTTTTGTGGCTTGTAAAGGCTTTTCATCTTCATTTTTTTTTATAAAAATATAAATGACAATCAACAAAAAACATAGCAAAAAAGCAGTAAAGCAATTAAAGAGAATAAAAAAAAGTTTTTTGTAGAAAGTATTCCGTCAGGCTCATTAAATCAGTTTTCTTTTTGTTTAATCCACATAGAGAGATTAAGACGTTATAGGTTTTCGATCATTCGGAATACTTTCATACTTTTATGCTTCTTATTGCTTGCTTTTGTTGCTATACTATACTATAGTACATTTAATTATATTTTAAGAACTAAAGACTTACGGTTTGTTTCTTGCCATATCAAAAAAGAGTTTTATAGGTTGTTTAAAAAGAATGAAGTAAAAGAAAAAGAAAGGATATAGATTTCCAAGGATATTAATTTTTTTAATATTTATATATTTTTTTTTTAAATAAAAGAAATGTGGCTTGCAAACGACAAATCAATGTTCCTGTACTTATTACGAGTCATCATTCGTGATAATCGTCGGTAATGGAAAAATATATAAAAATTTATTTTAGCCAATAAAATTCATTTGCAAATAATGCCCATTTTACATAAAAAGATTTTTTCTTGAATTTATTGATACTGCCGACGCAATAGTGCTCGGCTTTTGAAAGCGAAAATAAAGAAAAGATAAAACCACAGCTAGGGAATCGATTGATGAATGCTAACTAAATGGTGTTGAAATTATGAGATCTACACATGGTCACCATTGCATTAGTTGCGACTACATTGGGAACTTGTCTTTAACAGTTTCCCTTTCTTCCCAAATGTGCGCTCCAAATGTTGTGAACCGTGGTGGAGGGAATCGCAATTTGAAGAGAGGAGGAAACGGAACGAGAAAGCCAAGTACAAGTGAGCAGCCAACCAACGTCAAAAATAGACCAGGACTAAGACGGTTGTTGCAACACCAACCTCCATACTGGAAACTTGCGAGGGCAAAAAAAGACAAAATGTTGGAGAGAGTCTACCACGGAAAGATAGATAGGACAGCTCGGGTTAGAAAGGAAAGATGAGGTACGGCTGAAGACAAACTCAGTGGTTGGGACCTGTCGCCAGAAGAATCTCCACCACAGAGAACGTGTGCTGTGTGGAAGTGACCACCGCCGAAACAATTTCCAATAAATTTCAGTACGAGGTAGGGAGGAAGGAGAGATGAGAAGGTGACTTCAGAGAGACCCTGTCAAAGTCTTATGGACAGGGCGACCGCCGATTTGAACGATAGGCACGGGGGAAAAGAGGTCATCCACAGGTTGATGGGAGCCTACTGAGGCAGAAAAGAGTAAAAAAATGAACTATAACCATAGAACAATTTTGGGTTCTTCAAGATGGCGAAAGTAGGCGAGAAGGCGATTGCGGACATATCATATGTCATGGTGTGATATCCAACAGTGACAATCTCGGTAGTCGATCATGCAGGCGTGGTGGAAGTAGATCCCTTTGAGATTCCAGCGAGGTATTGAGAATGGAGAAAGGGAGGCCCAGATGGCTTGTACCGGAAGAGTGAGAGCGGTAGGAGGAGAAAATCGGAATGAGGAAGGAAGATTTGGGCGTAAGAGAAAGTACCAGCCCGTAAGGATGGTTATGAAAGAAGATCGAATAAAGAGAAATGTGGAGGTTACAAAAGTATGAATGCGAGGTAAGGAAAGATGTACTGAAACCGAGCATGCGAATCCTGAGGGATAAGCAAGATCCAGCGTAGTTGTTGAGCCTTTTGTAGGCACTTGGGTTCCAAGAGTCCCAAATTATCCTTGCTTCGTGGCTGACAGTGAAGTTCTCACACTGGGCTACCCGTACCGAGGGAAAGGTAAATGCGAATGGACTTGCAGATGACGGTTGATAAATAAGGCGGTGCAAGCATGAAGTAGAGAACGTACCATATGGTGATGAGCAGAAGGGGATTATCAACCAGGCTTTTACCACGGACAGACAGGCAACATCTAGCTAGGACAAGACAATGAAAGTCGATCTTGCTGAGGAGGGCATAGCGGAAGGAGTCTAGTTGACGAGGATGCGAGAGTAGATGAAAACCTAGGCAGTGGATTGCATCGACAGAGTTGCGACTGTGGAGGTTGGTGATATCGGCCAAGGACAGGACAGGACCCCAATGCAGCATGAAACGGTCAGAGAGGGAAACGGTAACGGTCTTGCCAAGGTTAACGCGGGTATTAGAGGCCTCAGCGTACACGGAGAGCAGGGAGAGCAGAGATACATGATCGGAAGGGGGAGGGAGGAGTATGAATAATCCATCGGCATAAGCAAATACGTTGAGAGGTTTGTGTAAAATAATTAGATAAGAAGGGGAAATACAAGGGATGATGTTGAAGAGGAAATATTCGAATAGAGAGATGTGAATGATATATTGAAATAAAGGTTCAAAGGCCAAATTGAAGGGAAGAGGGGAGAGTGGGTCAAATTTTTGCAGTCCACTGCCTTGGGAAAACGAAAAAGAGACAAAGCCGTTGACGTCTGTTGTAAATAAGATTAATTATATAAAGGTGTGTAGTCCCGATGAAGTATTAACATAGAAAGTAAATGTGTTTGTGAGTTATAATTATGCTTTTTATAATTCATTGATGTATCCCATATTATGGTGATATCATCATATAAAATATAATCACTATCGTGCATGATAAACCCGCGTGTTAAATAATAAAGTAATCAGTAGACACCTTTGACTGGAATAGCTGAGGACTTATATTATTTCCTTTAAACTTATTCTCAATTACAGCAGTAGTCAATACTCATTTACAATAATATGCATTTATTTTTAAAAAAAAATCACCCCATAAAAGTAATATAAACTCGGATAAATATTTATTAATAATAAGCAGCTCTGTAATATAGAATGTCGATAGGATTTGTGGTGATCCAGACACTTGGCTGCTGGATTCATCACATATAAAAAACATATTCATACTGGGATAGTTTAGTAGTTATCTTCTTGTCAACATAAAAAATATATAAACACAATTAAGTAATCCGACCAATATGTATTACAGTTAGTGCTGTAAATAATACCTTAAAGATCATTAAGATAATTATAACATACTGCCAGGTAACCTGTGTCTGATTTACATATAACTAATTTAGTAGGAAGGCCTAAAGCCCTAGTGTAAAGAGAAAAGTATAGCTAAGAGCTAAAGAAGTACAATTTATGACTTGATATCATAATTTTAACACTGGCACTAGTTAAGCAATAAATACACTCTAATAACCAAATATAATAAAGGAATAAAGCCTTAAGAAACTAAGACGTAATGACAAGAACATATTGTGTTTTCTTATAAAAAGAAACACTTTTTATTTATAAATAAAGGACAACTTATGTATAGTCTCAAAGTGTTTCTATACGTCTCTATTTTCCAAATTTATTACTTTTCTATTGTTTCGTACCTGCAATACCACATGGTAAGTCGAACATTCTGCGCATGTGATGGTAACTCGAAAATTTCGCGCATGTGTTGGTAACTCGAACATTCTGCGCATGTGTTGGCAAGTCGAACATTTCGCGCATGTGATGGTAACTCGAATATTTCGCGCATGTGATGGTAAGTCGAACATTTCGCGCATGTGATGGTAACTCGAACATTCTGCGCATGTGTTGGTAAGTCGAACATTTCGCGCATGTGATGGTAACTCGAATATTTCGCGCATGTGATGGTAAGTCGAACATTTCGCGCATGTGATGGTAACTCGAACATTCTGCGCATGTGTTGGTAAGTCGAACATTTCGCGCATGTGATGGTAACTCGAATATTTCGCGCATGTGATGGTAAGTCGAACATTTCGCGCATGTGATGGTAACTCGAACATTCTGCGCATGTGTTGGTAAGTCGAACATTTCGCGCATGTGATGGTAACTCGAACATTCTGCGCATGTGATGGTAAGTCAAACATTCTGCGCATGTAATGGTAAGTCAAACATTTTGCGCATGTAATGGTAAGTCGAACATTTTGCACATGTGATGGTAAGTCAAACATTCTGCGCAGGTGATGGTAAGTCAAACATTCTGCGCATGTGATGGTGAGTCGAACATTTTGCGCATGTGATGGTAACTCGAAAATTCTGCGCATTTAATGGTAAGTCAAACACTCTGCGTGTTGTAGGCAGAAATAAACAAATAGAAATATAGACGAAGGAATTCGTGCGAATTTGTGTAGGTTATTTTATTTCAAAGAAAAGTAAAAGAAAAATAAAATTCGATTGTTTTTCTACACGGAACTATCTACTGATATTTATATGTTTTTCTAATTCGTAATTCAGTGTTTTCTTAAGTATTCTTTATCACAATGAGCCATCTTCCAGGAGTATTGTTCTTCTGGAAAGATCCGGAAAGACCAATTGATATGATACTTTTCCAGTCAGATCAGCCCGAGAGTTTCAGTAAAGAAGAGCATTTATGCTATTGGTAATATTTTAGTATTCCGACCCAGATACTCGGGTAATGTTTCATAATATTAAATAGTTGTAGCTGTAGTCTCTCAATTCATGCCATTCACCAACGTACGCGGGAATTGTCGAGGGAATTGACAAAATTTCTAGAATAAGGACTCTAGCTACAAAAACGGATGTACTAAACGAACATACTTTATAAAGCTCATTTTCTATAGAAAATGAAACAAATCATTAGCAAAAAAATAAAAATGGGCAGGGTATTTTAGTAAATAATTTAAAAACAGATGCTGAATAACAATTGGAATCTTATATGACGTGGTTCAATTCCCTCGATGCAATTCCCTCGACAATTCCCTCGTACGCTGGTGAATGGCAATCACCAAAATAATTATACCGAGATCGCTGAAGAGCACCTTTAATAAATAACACTCTCACAGTATCTACTTTTCCCATTATTGAGATACTAACCCATAAACAATCCCGAATACCTCACACATAATGCCTATCCCACCAATGACCGCCCCTGTAGCTGCATGCATAGTACTAGGCTATGACTCTAAAATCATTGCCAATCATGAATTGGTAATGTCAAAGATGAGGGATATTGAAATGGTCCCTGTCTATGTCCATGACAGTAACCCTGTCCACCCTACAGCCATCTCAATCAAGGTCCAGACTGTAAATTCGTATATATACTTAACATATCCAATGGAAGGTATATATATATACGTGCATCTTATACCAAGTGCTTAGGATTGCTGTAAGCTGTTTTAGATAACACGGAACACAAAGAAGGTTCTTCCCGGCCAGCTGTCTCTGAATCAGCTCCACTTTCAAGCAAACGACGAAAAGATTCAATTTCTAGCGTTTCAAGTGAAGATAGTTACGTCTCAATTGAGAAAAATTTACTTGAAATGTTACCAAAAATTATTCGTAAACACACAGGTAAATTCAATCTTCCTCTACCGTTTTTTTGTACTTAAATATGCTTTATGATAGTACGATAAAGAAAGAAGATGCCTTAAAGCATTTTGACAATATAATGTCATTAAAAAAACCAATTTCCGACGAAGAGATGCACGATAAGATTTTTGTAGACTCAACAAGTCTAAAAGAAATATTAGAAAAAAGGTTTGGTCCATGCTCACAGTCCCCAAGACAGATAGAAGCATGGGTCAATAAAACAAACAAATGGGGACAGCGGAAAGCCGTACGCCATTCTGGAAAGATGGTTGAAGGACGTACACTGTGGGTGTTAAAAGACAAGTTCTTGGGTAAGAGCAAAAAAAAGGAGATAAAAGTGAATCTCTTACTCAGGCCTGGTTTGTAGAGGTGGATGCCATGAACGACTTGACAAAATACCACAGCTACCTTAGAGTCCATCCAATGACAACCATTGGATATGCTCGTAAATCACCTGGAAAGGAAAGTCTTGAGACAAGATGCTCTCTTCTACAGAAAATGGCAGATAGGCTGAAAAATCGGTGCCTCTGCACAAAAATATTTGTATCTCCAAGCTCAAAAGCAGACGAGCCTTTGATGGTTAGAGACAGCAAGAAAGACTGTTCAAAATATCTGAATGTGTTAATTGACTGTGCCGGCAACATGAATGGTAATACAATGGCTCCTTACCTGTGGGCTGATATTCTACTTACTCATTACAATAATATGTTACAGATTTATGTACCATACTTGACAGAAAATTCAAGCCTGTCAGGTTGGTAATCATTGATTACGCAGGTTTAAGCACTGAGCCAAATAACGTGAGAGACTTTTTTAGGTAAGAGTTTTTTTACAACAACAAAAGAAAGGAGGAACGATTATTTGATACTCATAGTTATGATTGCAGTCGGTACACACAAGTCAAAGAACTTGTTATAGACCATGGTCTAACTTTCGAGATACTAAAAAGAGAGGATTTACTGGAAAATGAAGACATCCTTTCACGCTTTGATTGCAGATCTAACTATAAGCATCGATCGACATGATCGACAAATATATTGATATTGATATTCCTGTTTCTATCTCTTTTTTCTGTTCACTTGTATTTCCATTTGGATTATAGTGCGTAGCTGTTGTTTCTTATGTATGATTGTACACCTACTTGATCCAGCTTCAAATGCGCAAGAAATGGTGTTATTGAAGACAATCAGAAAGAGATATAGTAGATGTAGATGTTTATTTCATGAAACAAACTTGTTAATCTTGTTAATAATTTGCGCACTATTTTATGTTCCTACGTTTTATATACCTATTGCTCAATCACTTATTATTTCTATTGTATTTAAAATGATGAAACAAAAGATAGAAAGTAAATAAAACTGTGCAATTCATATTTCCCTTTCCCTTTCTCTCACTCTGTATGTGTGTATGTTATTTCTCTAGGAAGCAAGATGTACCCATTCATGGACCTATCAATCTATCTTACCCACTCACAGAGAAAGAGAAAGAAATATAGATATAGATATAGATAGATATATAAAGCAGTTACTATTATGATTCTTCTTCTTCTTTTGCGCCTTTGGCCTGGCTTAGTTTGATTAGGAGAATAGAGTCTCTGATATCCAATCCATAAAGCTACTACTTTGTCTAGTGGCAGCCAGCTTTGGTCTCTTCTTTTCAGCCTTTTCTGTTCCTGTCGTTGGTGAAGCTTTTGATGGTTTTATTCTTGGTGTTTGGCTTGGTGATTGTGATGGTGTCTGATTATTTCCAATGGTATTATTCTTATTAATATAACGGTTATTTTTACTGCTATTATGAGCATTATCATTATTGCTATCATCGTCATCGTCATTATTATCGTTATCGTTGTTGTCCAATTCTCGTTTTCGTTTCTTGTCCACAGTTCGGATGACTCTCTCGGATGGCAGTTTTCCATATCTGAAACGAGCATTGGTATCGAGGCACCGACAACGCCATTGGACGTCCTTTAGTGGCCACAACTCCCTTGTCCCCTGTTTTGTTTTGCCGTTGATCTGGAGTTGTTCGGTCGGCAGGAGAGAGTAGTGACGATAGAATCCCCTTGAGGCTTGCTCAATGTCGCGGTCTGTCAGGACGTACCATCTCTCAAGGTCTTCCCATTCTTTTCTTGTCCATGGGGTTGTACAAGTTGCTGATGTGGCTGATGTTGGGGTTGGTGGAGTTGTTATTGGTGGAGTTGTTGTTGATGTTGTCTTTGTGAGAATCGAGGTATTGGTTCTATCGGTGGTTGAGGGTCTTGATGAGTTTAGTAGTGGTGAGGGTCTAGCAAATTCTTTGGCAACATTTGTTTTTGGTCTGACATTCGCTTTAAAGTTTGGGTTTGTTTCGGGAGATTTCTGGAGTGAGAATGAGGCGGATGGTGAAAAGACCGGGACGCGGGAATCAGGAAGGATAATATGGCGAAGAGGTGTTCGGGGTGGAGATGCTTTTGTGGTTTGTAATCGTGATTTAGGAGAGGCATCTGGATAAACAGGTTCTTTGGGCTGACTCATTAGAGTAGAGAGTGAATAAGAGTCTTGTTGATGAGACCTTTGCATAATGTATGAAGAAAGAATTAGGCAGTAGCAGTAGCAGTAGCAGTAGCGGTTGAAAGTTAAGAGTAGAGAGTATAATAAAAATAGCAGTAAAGATATATCTCTCTGTGTGTGTGTGTGTTTGAAAGAGAGAAAGAGAGAAAGAGGTAGAGAGGTAGAAAAAGAAATACACAAAGTGTGTGTATGTGTGTATATATATGTATATATTTATAATGCAAACAAGAATTTTTCGAATTAAATAAATAAATAAATAAATACAAGAAAAATTACTTGTTTTTTATAAGAATGATTATTTATATGTATTTTGTCTATACAGCTGTAGAACCTGCTTGTCTACCTGTCTACCTGTCTACCTGTCTACCTATCTACCTACCTGCCTGCCTGCCTGCCTGCCTGCCTGCCTGCCTGCCTGGTTGTCTTACACAGGTTGTAAAAATCTTATATACACACACATTAATTACCTTGAATAAAGATCAAATTTATGCTTATTTTTACACGCTTATTTTTTTTTACTCCTTTATTTTCTTGTGTAAATATAAATCTCTCTGTCTTTATCTTTGTCTGTTTGCCTGTCTGCCTGTCTGCCTGACTGGCTTAATGCGATTTCAATGTCAGAACATGATTCAATTTTATATTTTAGGTCTATTCCCCAATTCTTGAGATTTTTATTTTATTTTTACACAAGATTAATAAAAAAAATAAATTAATTTATATATTTAAATATCTATATCTATAATTCAAGCCTTCTTTTCTTCTAATTTTTTTGTTTTTATTTTTACTTTAAAAAATGAAGATTACAATTGCATCGCGCAATCCAAAGTCGACCAAGTTCCCTGTGACTCTTGAGTTTGAAGGAACACCTTCGACTGTCACTGTGCTGGATGTAGCAAAGGCACTCGAATCAAAGTTCCCAAAGTACTATCCCGACCGTCAACGCCTGACAAACTCTGACAAGAAAGTCCTGAGCATTGACAAGACCCTTGCTGAGTCTGGTGTTCAAGAAAATGATATTATTCTCTTTAAAGACCTTGGTTAGTTATTTTTCTCTTTTTTTTTAAAAAAAAAAGAGATTCTAGATAGAATGCTTTAGACGCGTCATGCATTATGTTAATTACTCAAGAGATATGTGATAAACAAATGTTTTTAATCTATCGACATTTGTAGGCCCTCAGATTGGATGGAGAACGGTGTTCTTGATTGAGTATGGAGGTCCATTGGTTATCCACCCTTTGTTTTACTATCTTTCGGGCGTGTTCTACAAGGGTTCGTTCGAACACTCCCCTATGCAAAAGGCTGTGTATGCCATGGTCATGCTTCATTTCTTGAAGCGTGAATTGGAGACCGTGTTTGTCCATCGTTTCTCTCACGGAACTATGCCTTTCATGAACGTATTCAAGAACTCGGCTCATTACTGGTTCTTGTCTGGCATCAATCTGGCCTACTGGGTCTACGGTCCCTGGTATGGAGCTGGTAAAGCAGCTGCAACCAGAAGTGATGTCTGGCTGTGGGGTAGTGTTGCTGTCTGGGCGGTACGTAACATTTTCTCTCTTTCTCTCTCTCTCTTTATTTGAGATTAATAGATAGATAATATTTGGGTGATTCGTAACCCCTTTACTTTAGCCTGTTTTTTTTTTACGTTTGTCAGCCGTAGAAGATTGAATTTCTGAGATATAAAACAAAAAAAAAATCACAACAAAGCACATGCAAACAAAAAACAAAAAACAAAACAAAACAAAAAGGGGGGACTCAACAAACAAACAAAAACACAAAAAAAGAAACTCAACAAAATTATTACCAATCATTAATATTTAATATTAATAACCTTATCGTTTATCATTATGTTAGTGGGCAGAATTCTCCAACCTCTTGAACCACATCACCCTTCGCAACTTGCGTCCCCCAGGAACCCGCACCCGTGCCATTCCTTATGGCTATGGCTTTGATTTAGTGTCCTGCCCCAACTATCTCTTTGAGACAATTGCATGGACTGCTGTCTGCTTCCTGTCAACCAGCTGGAGTGGTAAGATGTCTTTCTAATGATATTCTTAATTAAATTGTCAAAAAAAAATATATGAAATATTAATGTGTTTATTACTTTTTTTTATAGCCTTCCTCTTTAACATTGTTGCTACTGGTCAAATGTACGTCTGGGCAGTAAAGAAGCACAAGAGCTACCGTAAGGATTTCCCTGATTATCCTCGCAACCGCAAGTCCATGTTCCCCTTCATTGCTTAAATCTCCATATTCCTCTTTATTTCCAATTATTATTACTATTATTTGCAGCATCATTTCTCATTTATCAAGCAAATAAAAAATAACATAAAATAAAATATCAAAAATCCATTACCAATATTATTATTATTATCATTATCATTACTATTACTATTACTATTATACATTTTATTTTATATAGTATATGCGACATATGAGATATGAAATACACACACACACACACACATATATATATATATATTTATTTTTGAACAAGGTAATCTTCTGCAACTTGTCCAAACTCATCTAATACACCACGCACAGTCTTGCGGAAGCTAGTGGCATCAGTGTCTGCACAAGAGTTCCAGGCAGAAATGCTCATCTTAACACCTTGTTTGGCAATTGCATAGTTGGCACCGTATCCCTCGGGAACAACTGCGCCAAATCCACCCCACGAAAGATCACCTGGAGAAGTGTTGGAGGTCGACAGAAGCCAGTACTGGGATCCCCAGTAAGAAGGATCCTGGAAAATAGCAGCCTCTTCCGAAGCAGCCTCCTCAGGGGTCATTTGGCAACGAAGACCAAGCAAATGTCTATCCACACCATGACCTTACTTACCACAAACATATATATATATATATAAAGTGATTGTGTATTATTTTAATACAATATGATTTGTTGGTCAGTTTGTTATTTAACCTTGTCAAATAAGCATAAGGGTATATAATCTTACCGTTAGAGGATGCCTTCATGTACTCTGACTGAGAAGCAATAGCGTTTCCAAACAGAGCCAACTTATCCTTCATCTATATAAACATACAATGTTAATATCAATGAGAATATATATATATATATAAATATATTTTTATTATTTCTTGCCTGGATATCCTTGTTGTCCCAAGCCTTTGTAAAGGCAACAGATTCAACCGAACAGCTTCGGACAGTCTCTGTACGACCAGTCAAGAACTTGCGGGTAGACGCAGACTCGTAGGTAGGACAGGGTTTGCCGTACTGTCTGTAGTAAGCCAGCTGGTAGGCCATCTGGAGCCAGCCATCAGGACTGACCTTGGCTTTCTTCATAAAGTCCGAGCCATAGGCATCGTAGTGCAATAGCACACTGTCGTAGTCTGCAATCAACTTGTCCACATTTTCTTGTGCCGCCTTGAGTTGTTGGTCAGTCTTTGAAGAAATCGACCACTGCAGGTGAGTAGGTGCAGGTAATTGGCTGATATTTGAAGTAGCCAGATTATCCACAATAGGTTCTCTAACAAAAACAATAATTGTTAATATATTTTTTTATATTGTTTGTTAATAATATCCACTCTACTCTTAATTAATTTTATTAATGGTACTTACTGCATCAACACAGACTCCACTGTACGCTGAGGAACAACAGCATCGCAAGGAGAGTGCTAATATATACAGAGAGTACATTAGTATAACAAATCAATCCACTGCCCAACACACACACACACACACACACATACATACGCCCAACCTTTATTTATTTTTTTTACCTCTCCATTAATACCAGCACGGCCATTACTCTCTACAATAATCTGGAGTGCCTTGTCAAACCATCTGTTGTGGGCACCCTTTCCGTGAGCAAGGTTGCGGTGCGAAAGATCCTTATCGTCAGGTGAGCTGTAGTTATCGAGACACAAGGTAAACAGAGAGCTGTCGATGGCACTGAATGTGCTTGCATTTGTAGGGATAGTCTCGAGTTCTTTGCGAACCTCTCCCCAGGTGTCACGGTGTTCAGAGGTCATTAATCCAACAGGAGGCTGCAACTGTTCCTTGGGAAGTTGATCGACTCTTGAAACAACCTGTCTCAACTGACTAGTAAATGAATAAATAGATAGATAAAATAAAATAAGTACACAAATATCATAATATCATATACATTTTATATAAATTTACTTTTCAAGAGTCTTGAGAGGAACAGTCTCTCCATTGGGTCCCAGTACAGGTACAGCAAAAATCTGGTCCTTGTAAATGACAGTAATGTGCTTGGCTGTTGCAGGGCAGCTGGTGACAATAGTATCCCGGGGATTGGCAGCAATACGACTGGTACCAAACATGTGTCTAATCTGATGCATACAAAAGGGACCTGATCGTGAAGCCTCTGGAGGAATAGCCTCACTTTTATAATCATAATCATATAATTATTATTATTATTATTATTATATATAAAAGGTTTCTTTCTGCCTTTCTTTCTTTATCTCTAAAAAGTGTATATAAAATCAACTTACTCGTTAATCTTGTTAGAATAATCCAATAAACCAGAAACCAAACCAGCCGAACGAGAGATCTGGAAATCGGTAATGGTGCCTTCAGGAACCTGAGAAATAAGACCATCGGGGTGGTCGCGGAACTGACTCCACCAGTTGACATTGAGGACGGTTGGGATGCGGTACTCGAGGTAACCGCGGTTGAGCCAGAGACGGTCCAGCCACGACAGGCCAAGTTTGGCTTCTTGTTCATCCAGGGCATGCATGCGTGCCTGAAGAGTCTGGCCGAGTCCGTCCTTTTTCACAAACCGATCGATCTTCTGGCTCACCTGGGCATGTTCGGCAGCAGACAGCAGGGGTAAGAGTGAGCGCTTGTAACGAGCAGCGGTGGCATCGAGTTCAGGGATAGGCAGGCGAGGTAAGATGGACTGGTTGCCGAATGTCTTTGTGGCAGTAGAGTAATTGGAGCTCAAACTTTTTTTTTAAGAATATATATATGTTATTGAGGGATAATTCAGATCATTAATTGATTTTAAATCAATGAATCTTTACTAATATTTTTATCTTTTTCTTTTTGGGTGCAGTATGTAGTTACCTGTTTTTGACATTAAGACGGCCGGATGAATTGAAGGCACGTCGGGAAACGGATAAAAGTGGAGCTCCTACCATTCTTTACTGTACGGTGATTTTAACGCGAGAAAATTGTTATGTTAAAATCAAATTAAAGAGGAAGAAAGGCTGTTCCGGGATATTACGTTGAAAATAAAAGTGAAAGAAAGAAAGAAAGAAAGAGAGAGAGAGCAAAACAGAAATAATAAAAATAAAAATAAAAATATATTAAGAGGAGGTACAAAAGTGGCTGAAAGAGAGTGACTAAAAGAAATTAGTCTGACTCTCATGTGATTTCTCTACTCCACATTCTACTTTCTCTCTCTCTCTCTCTCTTTTACTGTGTACGTGCTTTCTCCGCACCAGTACTACCACCACAGCCCTAAAGAAGAAAGCAGTAAAAATCAAGATGATCAATATCATTGGATAAACTTCAGTCTAAAAATATGAGATCCATTTCCATTGCTTTTCTTTAATAACACTAGTAATTTATAGATTTGATGCCTTGTTTGTCTTTTATTATCATATTTTAGTAAATAACCTATCTATCTATATATCTATCTATATATATTGTGGCTATGGTTTCAAGTAGACATAGCAGCCATGAGCGCCACCACGTACTGGAAAAAGTAAGAAAGAATACAAATCCTAAACACTTCAAATCTAACTTCTTGAAAGCCATCTATATATATATTTACGTCTTTTTTTTTGTATATAATCGATTAATAAATTGCTTTGAACCATGTCATAAAGATAAGGGACATGCAGTAGTTTCCATGCTATTATACCAGGCTTTTTGATTACTGACTTGCAGGTCATCCTATTTTATAAACACTTATATATGCGACATCATTTTGGTAAAAGGTGTATATAATATAAAAAATAATAATATAATAAATAATAGTAGTGATAGTAGCAATAATAATTGTGATAGCAATAAACGATATTAGTACAAGGATAAAATTATATCAGATAAATAAAAGAAGAAGGAAAGCAAAAAAAAGAGCATTGTAATCTAATAAGGTGGATAACCACCAGAAGGATGAGGTGGATAATTATTCTGAGGCATGGGATAACCATTAGAAGGTGACATTACAGGCGTAGGTCCATGTGTAGGTCCAGGTCCAGGTCCAGGCCCAGGACGACCATTTCGTGGGGGAAGCTGTGGTGCAAAAGGTCGGGCTTGTTGAGGTGGGTAAGGACGTCCCTGTTGAGGTGGATAAGGACGAGACTGGACTGGTGACATTGGACTTGTGGGTGAAGGATAGGCTAATATATACACACACATTTGGATAAATATGTACAGGATTTATGTAAGCAACAACAGAAATGATAATAGTAATAGAAATAGTAATAAAAACAAAAAAATGTTTGATGAAATTCAAATATCTCATTTAACCTTTACCTTGAGGTGCAGGAGGTCCCGGATGGAATGGTTGCAAGAGAAGCGTCGCAGAGGGTACATTTGGAGAAGGCTTTGGAGGATATCCTACACGGCCCGGGCTCTGGGGAGGAAATCCTTGGCTGTGAGACGGGGGACCATGAGAAGGTGGATATCCTTGTGCAGGTGGGTATCCTGAGCCTTGAGATGGAGTACTATGGCTGCTTGGTAGAGGAGGTCTTTGCGCAGGTGGATATCCTTGAATGTGAGATGGAGGAGGACCTTGAGAAGGAGGATATCCTTGCGCAGGTGGATATATCTGACCCTGGGACGAAGATCCATGAGACGGAGGGGGACCCTGAGAAGGAGGATATCCTTGGCCCTGGGATGAAGGGCCATGAGGTGGTGGAGGACCCTGGGAAGGTGGGTATCCTTGAGAAGGTGGATATCCTGCGCCTTGCGATGGAGGGCCATGAGGTGGTGGTGGGCCCTGTGAAGGCGGGTATCCTTGAGAAGGTGGATATCCTGGACCTTGAGATGGAGGTCCGTGTGATGGAGGTGGACCCTGAGAAGGTGGATATCCTGGACCTTGAGATGGAGGTTCGTGTGATGGAGGTGGACCCTGAGAAGGTGGATATCCTGGACCTTGAGATGGAGGTCCGTATGATGGAGGTGGGCCTTGAGAAGGTGGATACCCTGCGCCCTGAGATGGAGGTCCGTGTGATGGAGGAGGACCCTGAGAAGGTGGATAACCTGGAACTTGGGGAGTAATTCGTCCATGGGCCGGAATACGACCGGAAGGACCGGCACCATTGGGAGAGCCATTGGGTGGATAGGCTTGAGCATTATTGATTCTGGCTGGAGTCGAGGCAGATTCGACCAGTACAGGTGGACGGGGATAACGGTTGTTAATTGGGGCAGTAGGAGGTCCTCCTACAGGACCACCCATCGGTGGACGAGTGTCGATTTGAGGACGAAAGCCCATGGGTGGACGAGCAATGCTGGTGTGACGGATCATTTGGGGTTGTCCGGAATGTAATTGCATTTGTGGTCCACGCTATATGTAGTTTTAGTTTATTTTCAATCCATTCCTTTTTAGCTACATCTCTTGTCCCGATTGTGCTCGATTACACTTACTGTGGCTGGATAAAAGGTTAGTTCTAGACAGACATCACCTGCTTTCTGTCCCTGGAGTGTTAATGGGAAATAAGCTTGAAATATATATATATATATATAAATCTTAATATTAGTCTCTGGCTTTCAATTGAAAGAGATGCTCAGCAAGAAACATGAATGAATGCGGTTTGTGTGTGTTTAAGTAGTAATTCTTGCTGCTATAACTTTACCATCATCTTCTCCTGTAGAAAGTACAGTCTTTATATCAACTTCTCCTTCACCCAAGAGCTCTTCTCTTCGGTTGATCTGATCTTCATTAAATACTTGCATTCCAACTTTGGTAATTCCTTCTGGCACTGGGAAATTAACCTTGTTTGTTTTTTTTTGGTTTATTCGTCAAGTGCACAAATACACATGTAATATACACATATGTAAGCACGAGCAATTGCTGATACATGCACATCATTCTTATTCTTATTTGTTACCTGATCATCCCACATAGGCTGCTGCCCTCCACGATGTGCTGTTTTGATACGTTTGGCTACTCCACCGATACGAAAGACAGCAAATGGGCTTTGCTTGCCACCATTTGGCTAAAATTTGCATTTGTAATAAATTCAAATTTTACATGTATATATACACACACACACATATATATATATATATAATATAGATAGATAGATAGATAGATATATAGATATATGAATTAATGAATACACACAGGCAATCGTGTAAAGAGATAGAGATAGAGATATATAGAAAGAGAAAGAGATCTAAAATAACAATACAGGGCCTTGGTATGTTGAAATACGGCAAGACCTGATTTAACCTTTTCTTCTTCTTCTCTTTCTCTTTATATATTTCTATATCTCTTCTTCTTTTAATTTGTTAAATTTTATTTTTTACATCACGTTGAAGGAGATCTTCCTAAAGGTTAATGGTCAATAACACAATCAATAACTTGTTTTTTTTTTAAAAAAAAAATTAATTTTTTTATTTCTTGGTCAACCAAGGGCTTACTCCTCTTAGGGCTACTATAACAAGCTCTCCGATAATTCTTGGATGAGCCATTGGTTTCAATAGAGTAAGGTACGGTAACTGGGTGGAAAAATATAAATGTTGTGCGTAATGTTATAATGAAGGAGCGAATGTAAATTGAATGAATGTAACAAAATAAAATAAAGAAAAAAGAGTGAGAAATAGAAAGAGAGTGAGAGAAAGAGAGAGAAGATAGGGAAAATCGGGAAATGAAAGGACTTTGGTCTTTTGGGTTATGCGGATGTCTAAACGTCTATGGTAACTATAAGTAAAAGAAGAAGAAGGAGAAGAAGAAATTGGAGTAGAACAAGAAGTACTATAGCAAAAAAAAATAGAAATTAAAGTATATATAAATATAAATATAAAGAGTCAATCCAACCACCAGGTAAAATAACAATATTAATGCTGTTGTTATTATTTCAGCAATAATCGACAAATGTAAATGAAAACGAAACAACGGTCAATTATTACCATTTAAGCATGCTGACCACCTGCAAAAAAATTTTAAAAAAAAAAAGAAGTATTGAAATTCAATCAGTCGTTTGCAACAAAACAAATCAAAAATTATCTTTTTGACTGAGGTTCAATTTTCTGTTCAAATTAAGCCAATCCAACAAAGAAGTATAAAGATAAACAATCCAATAGATCTTACTTTACCTAGAATAAATGCTGAAAAAGACGAATATTAAACCACCAAAAAATATATCAGAATCATACACAGAATAATAATGATAATGATAGTGGAACAAATGACAAAAAAAGGGGGGAAATATATTATATATATTATATATAATGGGGGAAGACAGACGAGACACAAAGGCAAAGAGAGAGAGAGAGAGATAAAAGAAAAGAAAAAAGAAATTTGATTCATAGGGTTGAGGGTAAGGGTAAGGGTGGGGGGAAAAAGGCTGTATTTTTTTTGTTTGTTTTTTTGTTATGTTATGTTATGTTTAGATTATATAGATATAGATATATAGAGATACATATATCAAAAAAAGAAAGAAAAGAAAAGCAACACACACTCAAGGTAACAACACATTTAGGCCTTTTCAGCGGTGGTCTCCTCCTTCTTCTCCTCCTCCTTGACGGGCTTCTTCTCTTCCTTCTTCTCCTCTTCCTCGTCCTTCTTCTCGGGGGGAGAAACCTTTCCAGAGTTAATGTCCTTAGCCTGCTCAAACTTCTCCTTGAAGATCTGGGCATTCTCAGCGTTGGCGAAACGGATGGCAAGGGTCTCAGCCTTGGGTTCACCATCAGAGACATCAGCGGTGACATTGTAAACCCAGGAGCGGTCAGAACCAATGTTGGGTGAGAGGTTCATGTCGCTAGACACCAAATGGTTGGCGCAGATCTTGAAGGTCTTGTCACGACGCATCAAAAGACGAATCTTCTTGGTCTGCTTGTGGAGCAAGAACTTGACATCACCAGTACCACGCTCCTTCCATTCCTTCAACTGCTTATCGTAACGGAACAACCTGGCGCGACTAAAAGGATTATCATGCAAAAAAAAATAAGAAGGATTAATACAAAACAATTAACAAATGATTGATTGATTGATTTGATTACTAGAATTCAAATCAAATCAAACAAGTAGACTAGATGTACGTTTTTCTTTGTTCTCTCTTTCTCTCTTTCCCTATTCTTTTTCTTCTTTTTCTTCTATAACTTTTTTTTTCTCCTTACGTCTTGTAGAGAACATCCTCATCCTCTTCCATTGTCTTGACCTCAACAACCTCAAGCTTAATGACGGGTTCGAAATGAATGTCGGGCGATTCCTCAACCTCCTCCTGTGAGCCAAAAAGTGGTGAGTTGATATCCATAAACATCCCCTATCCATCCGTCCTCTTTACCTGCTCTTCCTTCACAATCTTCTTTTCGTTGGTGTCAGCCATAGTTGCGTAAGGGTGCTAATGTGGAAAGAGACGAACGAAAGGGCCTGACCGTCCGCAGTTAGCTGAGTTTGCTTGTATACGTGTACTGTAACCCATTCTCATCGCTGAGTGGGCCATGGATGGGGGGCAGAGGGGGATCATGGGCAGGTTTCCCTTCCCATTTTGTATCCCCTCCCCCTTCCCTTCCCCTTTCCTTCCCCTCTCCCTCAACCTTCTTCCAACTTCTTTTTATTTCTTTTTGTGTACAACAGTAAGTTTATTTTAAAGGAAGCAACAACAGACCAATACAAGGAAGCCACACATACACTATATCTTTTATGTTGATAATAGCTATCCTATTAATATAGCTGTTCTTAGCCTTGATCACCTTCACTACAAACTCAAGTTGATCAAAAAAAACCTTCCCTTACGACAATATTATTAGTACTAGTATTGTTATATTAATGTATATATAAATAAAAGAAAATGAAGTCAAGCCCTTGAAGGCGTCTTCCCGTTATTCTTTATTTGTTAAAATGAAATAAGGGCTTTATTTTTGGTGTTGTACAATAGATCATGTACCCTAAATACATGACCTGTGTGTAGGCATATATGTATATATGTATGTTTTGTATTTAGAAAATTATATCATCATTTAATAAAATATAAAAACAGCTTTTTGTATGTTTATTTATTTAATTAATTTATTTGATACATTCTGTCTGTTCCAAAGACCGTCAATCAAACTTTCTTTTGTCAAAGCTGTCTCTTAAAACCCGAAGTTTTCTTTACAAGATTGGATCATTAACAATCATATTAAAACAAAAAGCAAGCTCATCACTTCTTTGTATTTATATAAATAAGCTTGAGCCCCGAAACTAACTAGGCACAATTGCATTTCATTTTATTTCATTGGTACAGGCACAGGCACAGGCACAGGCACAGGCACAGGCACAGGTACAGGCACAGTAGAAGCTTATTATTATATGCAGTAAAAGAATTTATAGAAAAAAAAACAAATAATTTAGTTGATATTCCTTTAAGAGTACTTATCACACTTCTTTACATACATGTATACCTATAGACTTACATATAGACATGTACTAGTACTAGTACTAGCATTCGCTTATTCTTCATCTTCTTTTTCATATATTTTTTGGTGTATTTTAATCTTGTATTTATTTCAATGGGAACATTCGGTCTCAAATGTAACACCACAGTCTAAAAATATGCTACATTTGTAGTGCAACCACAAAAAATAAAATAAAAACACACCAAAAATATCATACCAGCCAAAGCCTACATATTTTCTCATCTCCCAGTCCGTTGTCTGACCCAAGAAACAACACCACATCCCACTTTGTGGGCTGTACGTCACACGTGTTGCATGATGAAACAAAGACCAATCGAAAGGGTGTATTCATGTGACGTGTATATCTCGGTGAACCATGGTCGATCAAGTGAAGAATAAAGAATATAATATAAAAAAAGGGTCTTCTTTTTTTTTAAACTGGAATGACACCTGCATGGATACTTCATTTCCTCCTCATAGCATGAAGAATCGTCTAGACGGCGATTCACCCCAATCAGACCATCCCAACCCTTCACAACCCTCATCTTCCCGGCCAGCCTTTCCTTCTAGCCAATCGCGCACAGCGGATGTCACTCTCAGTGCCATTACCACATCTGCAGAAATCGCCAATCCTTCTCCGTCTAAACTACGCAGTGTACCAATACCTCACCCTTTGTTACTCAAACGACGGACAAGCAGATCTTCATTGGAATCATGCGACGATAATTTCGAACAAACTACAACTACAACTACAACATTCCCTACTCGCTCGAGACCTGCAAGTACCCACCAAGCAACACCCGTGTTTCCAATTGGCATTCATTCAAGTCACGCATCACCAACCGAGGCACACATAGATTCTCACGCACAGCATCGACGATCGTATCTGAGTGACATGGATTATGGCAGCCCTGGATCTGAATTTGACACAATCTCTCCACAACACCACTTTTCAACACCTGCATTGGGACAGGCATCATTCTCACCCAGATACGCTAGTCCGCCAGCAGGAAGTGGCGGAAAGTACATGGTCAAGTCGAAACGAGCTAGTTGGATCGACGCCTCTTCGACCTCAACTCCCCTTCCACACCACTCCCACGACAGTACCCCAAGCACACCAGACAGTATGCGAATTCCAAAGGGTCGCAACAGCTCAATTGCCGATACACCCCTAGCCTCTCCTTCTTTGAGCAGCCTAAGCCTCGGCCCCTCTGCTAAACACTTCCAAGCCTACCAGCAAGACAACCAAACAGCTACAAGTTCTGCCAATTCCACCCCAAATCCTACAACAAACAACTCACCTATGATGAATACCACAAATTACAATACTTTCAAAGCAAATCTTGCGAGGTTTAGAGATCTTCGCAGCCTTCAACAAGCCGACGCCAAAGAAATGCCTACAACCTCAATTGGCTCAAACTCCACATCAACATCCACACCCACAACTATAAACACGGATGGAAACGCAGCAGATATGGAGGAAATGACAGGCAACAACATCGGCTCTCACAAAAAATCGTCAATTTCTTTGGGAAGCAGTAGGACCGCAACTGCAAATAGCAGCAGCAAGCACACATCTTATCATGAACGGGCATCTTCAATATCTTCAGTTGTGTCTGATTCAAGTATGACCACAGACGAATACTATTCGCCTGCTTCGTCACCACGCATGTTTCAGTCACCGTTGTCCGGCAGTCCATTACAATACCCTCTCGAAAAAGGTAGGGATTTTTTTTATTGAGGGCAATATATATATATATATTCAAAACGCACACAAGCACAAACAATACTGATTCTTTAAATATGTAGGCAAATCTGTATTAAAGTATGAACCTTGCTCTGCTTCCTCTTCACCTTTGATCCCCCATTCCATTGCCTCCACAAGCACAACATCCCACAGCTCGCAAAAGACTCGCCGGAGATCATCAATGAGTATGCTTCGCAATATTCCTAGTTCAGAACTTGCGAGTATCGTGAGCGGAAATGCACCAAATCCTGTAATCGACAGTCCACCTGTTGATCTTTATTCTTCAGCTTCAGCTTCATCGCCTGCCATTTCTTCTTCTTCGCGATCTCTGATCAATAACCCTCTTTTATCCAACAGTAACAGCTCCACAAATACACCCAACACACCTATTACCACTACTGCCAATACCACAAATACTATCAACAACATTACAACGAATAACAACAATAACATAATTGCTTATCAGACCCCACTACAATCTCTTCTCCGACGACAGTTTTCTAGTAAGCGCAAAGCGCGTGATAAAGATCGCCGCTCTTTTGCTACGCCCGAAACACCTTTTTTACCCGAAGCTGATAAGGATGTGGTCGAGATCGATCTCGAAGATGGAATGGGATTAGACACCCAAAGAAGAGACTCGTTTGAAACAAATGAGAATCGCGGGCTCGAAAACTTGCCCGGACTCAAGTCCCCCCTTTACCCTGCTCTGTTACTAAATTCGTCTCGCCCTGGCGAGTCCACAACATCAACACCACGATCTTTTGAATCTAGTGAGACAAGATCAACCGAACCTGCAACCCGTAATAATTTCTGGTCTGGATCTGACTACTTTGGCAAGACCAATGAAAAATGTAGCTTACTGATATTTATTTATTACTATTATTACTATTATTCTTATTTAAATCTATTCTTTACTTTAATGAACAAAGCAACAACATCAAAATTTCAAATATACATTTATATATCTATATCTATTGTATTGCATTAGCTGACTCGATTTTTTTTTCTTTTGGTTTTTTTTTCTTTTTTTTATTTTTAATTTTTGTAGCCAGTCCAGATACAGCTAGTGATTTATACTATGAAGAAGACTTTGGTAAACCACAGTTCCTTTCGGACCATCACGAAAACCAAGACTATGCCAAAAAGCTCTTCATGTCAAGATCAGCAAAACTTAAGCGCTGGTGCTCTCTTCGTATCGAAGGTAATGAACGTCCTAGTCAACCAAAACGTGCTTCTATGGATGCATCTATTGCTACCCAACGCCAACCGACTCGCATCACCCGCTACCCTCCCACCAGCCAGTCTTCGATGCCTACCATCCTGGTAACAACCCATGAAGAAAGCCGTTCCTTTGGTCACCCAGGCAACAACGAGGCCTCATCTTCAACAGTTGACCCATTTGATGTCGTGAATGAGGTACCCTGGGTTGATTGGCTCGAGGAGTATCGCATTGTCAAGTCTACAGAGATTAGACGCCGCTCAAAACAGTATGACAATGCTATCAACAACAACAACAACAACAACAACAACAAAAATAACAGCAGCAGCAGTAGTAGTAGTAGTAGTAGCAGACCATCAACATCAAAACGTACCTCTGATACAGAGTCGTCCTCTACACCAAACTCAACCATGTTGAACAAGGTTGTCTCGCGCTGGTGGGATAGTGTCAAGACAAACGTCGAGCACTATACCGAAACCCACTCTCATCCATCTTCTGGCAACAAAAACACAGACACAGACACAAACACAAGCACAAGCACCAATCAAACCCTGGATGGATGGGCACTTGCACAAAAAAATCTCCAGAGGGATAGACAACAATTGATAGCCTCAGAACGAGAGCGCAAGGGTCATAGACACCACTTGTCACTCGACCTCAACGACTTGTGCTCGTCGTGTACATACCGCACTAGTCCACCTGTAGAAACTCCCCAGACAGCACACCCTACCGCAACATGGCCACGCCGCCTTCCATTTGCCGACTCTTCTGCCACTAAACCCTCACTTCCGTTTCAGAAACCCTATCGATCTGATGAGATACTGGAATCTCACCCAGAAGAGGAAGAAGAAGTGATTGGAGACGGTAAACCGAAAGAGAAGAGTCCATCTGTACATCCACACCACAACTCAAAAAATATCAAGCGTGAGGTATTTGAGGATGGCAGAGAGAATCATAGTGAACAAGACAAGGAGAAGGAAAAAGAGGCCGAAACAGAGACAGAGGGACAAGAACAGAGAAATAGACAAAAACAGATACAAAAAGAAGAAAAGGAAGAGGAAGAGGAGGCTAATAATCATACAATGACCTACCCGGGCGCACTTCAACAAAGTTCAAACCGAATTGGTTATCGCTTTGATAATACTTATAGTCGTATGGGCACATACGGTCAGTTGGGACATATATTTGGAGCCTCTGCAGTGGAGCCGGATGACAGTACCCTGCGTATCCAACACACTATCAAATCACGCCTTCAGTACGCCAAAGAAGCGTGCGATGCAGAATTACGAACTATCATTGATGGCTTGAATGAATATGTGGAACGAGGCCTGCAATATGTTGAAGATATGGATGAGATACTCGAACAAGGCGTAGAAACTATAAGTAGTGAAGATGACGACGATGAGGATGAGGACGACGATGAGGATGACAATCACAGCAACAACAACAGTAACAATAACCCAAAAGTCGGCGACCGTGACGGTAACGACGATGAATACAGCTACAATGGGAATGATGATAGTGGGAATGAAGAAAATAGACAAGTCATAGAGTGTAAAAAAAGAGACAATGATAATGGAAATCATAATCGTAAGTATAAACCCTTAAACCAGAATAATGCATAGTCAAAAATTGACAAACCTCAATTATCGACAGCTATTATTATCAACCCTTCCCCGAAAAGCCCAATACCCAGAGGTCGTAATAGATTATTAGACTTGGACGATATCGAAGAGCAAGAAGAGCATGTCACAAAAAACGTCCATCATCCTACACCACCTGTAACCTCAATGGTGACCCTTATTTCTGAAGACTCGTACCTACCAACTCCCTTCATCCTTACTCTTCAAGACCTCATATCACTTGCTCAAAATGTTATGGATACCCCACTGGATGTAATGCTAGAGAATTCTGGGATGTGTGCCGAGATGGTTTCTCGTATTCAGGATGTAGGTCGTAAATGGGATGAGCATACAAAGTGGCCGTGTAGAGAGTATTATGTCAAATTACTTCTGGGTGTGGCTGCATTTAATCGTGTAGTAGAATGGTGGGAAGCCGAGCGTGGATTTTGGTCTGCTTCATGGGGACATCGGGTTCCATCTTTGACAGCAGCCCCGGAACCCTCTACAGATGGAGACACCACTGACGTTGAATCTTTGACAACTAAAGATGCACACTCGAGACGAGACACTAGTGAACCAATTGAATCAATTAGCCCGCTTGATCAGACACCAAATACCCCAAGTGGATCGGATAACATTTCGCGTCGTACTAGCCGAGCCTTGGATAGCATGGATCCGAGCGACCGGCTACAGTTACAGCAGATGGCTGAGAAGAGTCAAAACAGTACAATTATTATGGAACTAAGCCTTGCCACCACCTCGGTTCAGTATGTGAGTCCAGTTTGGTTTGATGTGATAGGGTAAGTCTCTTTATACATCTTTTTTGTTGTTGTTGTCCTCTTTGTTCCTATTGTCTTTTTATTATTATTCCCCTTTGACTTATCCTTTTTCTTCTTTATTAAATTATGGAAACTCTTGTGTCTTATCCTTTCCTTAGTACCGACACAAACTCTTTTATGGGTAAAAATGTCTCTCGTCTGCTGGCAGGAGAAGATGTCAATGTATTTTCTGTGGCCACAAACGAGCTTCTATTAGATGATTCTCGTACGGTAGAAGTGCGGTTCCATGTGGCTCGTTCAGACGGATCGCCCATTGAGATGGAAGGCAAGGGGATGCTGATGTACAATCGGGTGACGGGTGAACCTAGCCATACTATGTGGGTTATGAAACCTGTCAACAAACGGCGATGGTCAATAGTTGAACCTCTTTCGCGTTCTGCCTTTGAAACGTTCCAACAGTTTCAGCAGCAACAACAGCAACAGCAACAGCAACAACATCAAGACGGAGAAGAAAACGAAGAAGAACGGAATAGACAACAAATTATCAAAGACCACACGAGTATTGTTAGAAGTCGTTCAATGTCAGAACCAGCTATTGAGGTTCCATTTGCTCCAGAACACAGTTCGTCTTCAGACTCGGAATCTGACATTAGCTACAAATCTACAGAGGGCCAAACCGAGGTTTGGAACCCACCCCACTCACCCGCCACAATCATGTCTTTACCACCTGTGTTGTGTAATGTGTGTGAGCGTTGGGTTGTGTCGGCATTTTTTGAGCAACATTCAGAGCTATGTGTTGAAATCCACCAGTCAGAGATGGACGTCACATTGTGCAATGATAATCTTAGAGAACTCAAGCACCACATTCATGAATTACTTGAGCAAGCCAAATCAGACGTACTTGAACTATCACAGTTGCCGCCTGAATCAGTTGAAGATAAAGCCGACAAAACCATACCAAAGACTCAGCACACTATATTTGGAACTGACTTTCCTCTTGAAGAAAGTGCTACGCCAATCGAGTCTAAAAAGGCAGAAATCGAAGTCTACGAGGACCTTTTGTCAATCGTAGACACTGGCCTGAGTATCTCAACCCCAGGCAGTGTAGATGACGACGCAGACCGGCAGTCGGACGAAGAAAGTCTGGATAAGGAGCGATCCATACGGTCACTCGAGTCGCCTCGGTCGAAAGACAAGATGGTTCAGATCATGTATTGGCGCCCGCCTGTGGCCGATGACCCTGAAGTAACAACCTTAATCCGAGATGTTGAAGAGGTTGCACGCAACAAAGTTGAAGCTGTGAACCGAATGCGGGATCGTCTAGAGTACAATGAGCGTGCACGTGCCGATTTCCAACGTTCTATGCAGCAAGATGATGACTGGACAGAGTTTGTTCCACTTGAAACATCTAGAACTGCTGATGACACAACCAATTCTGGATATCATTCAAATGGTGATGAATACAATGAAACTCATAACCCAACCGATTTGAATAGCAACAACAACAGCAACAATATTAATACGAACAACGGTATCCTGACTATAGAAGAAGAATCCAATCATCCCAAAAAGACATTATTAAGTCGATTCAAGTCATGGAAGGCTAAGCGAGGAATGGCAAAGATTTCCCGGCTTCGCAAGAGAATGGGTGCCGACCAGCAACAGCAGCAGCAGCAGCAGCAACAACAGCAACAGCAGCAACAGCAGCAACAGCAGCAACAGCAACAACAGCAACAGCAAGGCTTGTCTACTCCAATCGTAGACATGCAGGTGATTGATACGCCAATAGCTTCCCCTGGACTCAAGCCAAGAAAGGAACACAGTCGACACGGTACTCCTTCTCTCTCTGGAAAGAGCACGCCTAACCATCCCGAAAGCAGCATTGGGCATGAAGCAACGATGGGAAAATCACCGTCGTCACCGCTGCAGGCCCCTATTCCGTCACGACCAATGCCGCCTAGTATCAAGGATTTTGATATCATCAAACCTATCAGTAAAGGTGCATTCGGGTCCGTGTTTCTTGCCAAGAAACGGACTACGGGTGATTATTATGCAATCAAGTTTTTGAAAAAGTCGGACATGATTGCCAAGAATCAGGTTACAAATGTCAAGGCTGAACGAATGATCCTGATGACCCAATCAGACAGTCCATTTGTTACCAAATTGTATTACACATTTCAATCAAAAGACTATCTGTATCTGGTGCTTGAGTACTTAAATGGTGGCGACTGTTCGGCATTGATAAAAGCTATGGGGAGTCTGCCTGAAGATTGGGCTCGCAATTATCTAGCAGAGGTCACTCTTGGCCTTGAATACTTACAAACAAAGAACGTAATTCACAGGTAAGAGATAAAACAAAAACAAAACAAAAAAAATGCATGCACATTTATGAATAATAATTGACAATTTCTTATTATCTAGAGATCTGAAGCCAGACAACCTTTTGATTGATCATAACGGTCATCTAAAGTTGACAGATTTTGGTTTGTCCCGTATTGGTTTCTTGGATCGTCGTGTGCGTGATGAGTTGAGCACCGGCTCTTACGATCAAGAGGCCGTATTACCTACATCTCCTGCTCCTTCTAGATCAGGAACTCCACCCCACTCGCCAAAACACTCGGCTGTCCAGACAGGAGGTACCTATCGTCACACATACTTTAGTCACCTATTTGATCGTACCCGTCGTTCTTCGACCACGAGTGCCGTTTCGGGAGAATGTAGTGGTAGTGAAACTCCAAAGATTACTGCAGAACTTTACACCTCTCTGCCCAGTATCTCTCCTGGAAGCATGTCACCTGTAGCAGCACCGCGACCGGTCCGAGATAGTACCAGCAATCTTGATGCAGCCGTGGCTAGCGCACTTGCAGCAACTGCAGCGTCTTCTCATGTGTCTCCTGCAACTGCAGCGGCTGCGTCGTCATCACTGGCAGCAGGAGCTACTGGTTTCATACATTGTAGCTCGCCAAAGGCTCGTGGAGGTAAAAACAAACATGCTGTGGGCACACCAGATTATCTTGCACCAGAGAGTATTTTGGGTACAGGTCAGGATTCAATGGTTGACTGGGTAAGTTTCTTTATTTTTTATATATAAATAAATGTTTGTTTGTAAAGAAGTTAATTAATTACTATATAACGTTTTTTTTTTCTATTTAAACAAACAAACAACAAAAAACTTAAATGTATCATTAATTCTATAGTGGGCACTGGGAGTGATATGTTACGAGTTTCTGTATGGCTATCCTCCATTTCACGCCGACACGCCTGATAAAGTCTTTGAAAATATATTGTCGAGACGGATTGATTGGCATGAAGATGAAGTTGAGGTGTCTCCAGAAGCACGCGATTTTATGGAGCGCCTGATGACTATTGATCCTACCAAACGGCTTGGATTCAATGGAGCCCAGGAAGTTAAGAAGCATCCCTTTTTCCAGGGTCTCGATTGGGACATGCTTTTAGTCGAATCTCCTGCATTTGTCCCCCAGCCTGCTGACATGGAAGACACCGATTATTTTGATAGCCGAGGAGCAACCATGCAACCCAATGAGCCAGATGATGTAACAACAGCTGAGATGGTATCAAATAAAATCAAATCGGAAGCAATGTTGGAAACTAAATTAAAAGAAGACAAAGTTGAGGTGACCAACAATAACCATGACAACGAGAGCCACGACGACCTTCAGCAAAAGCTACCACAAGTCCTGTCGGCACCAGCAATGTTGCCAACGCTAGATAGTACAGCCAAAGCACAGGTTGAGCTAGCAAATGCAATAATCAACGAACAAAACCCAGACCACATTAGTGACTCTACCACGGATGAAGCCAAGAAATCCAAGGCTGAGGAGGAGGAAGGGAATGCAGACTTTGGTACATTTACATTCAAGAATCTTCCGGTTCTTGAGAGGGCCAATGAAGATGCGATTCGTAGAATCAGACACGACAGTATCACCGCTGCAGGTGCAGCGGCAGCGGCCATTTCAGGTATCGAACCTCAAGGCCACGATGGTACGAATGGACATGCCCACTGCCGGTCTTTGCCTGCCATTTCTCGAAAACAGCGCAGCAGTATTCTTGACACGCCTGAGAGTCGCCATGTGCACCATAGTCCATCATTCTCGTCACTTCCAGGCACTCCCCCTAGCCCTTCATCGTTCTCAATTGCGTCAAAATCAAGTGGAGGATCACCTGCAGTCGCGCTAGTGTCAGCGTCAGCACCAGGATCATTAGCAGCATCAGGATCAGGATCAGGTTTAGTACACTCTAAACGGTTGGTTGAGCCCACAGCATCCTCGAGTAGTCCGCGCCCTGAACTACATACTCCCGGAGAATGCAGTCCGCCAAAGCTTCTTCGTACGAGATCTGCATCTCTTCCTGGAGACCGTGGGCATACACAATTGATGGCCACTGCCACTGCAAATGTAGCTGCGGCTGCGGCTGCCTCTGCCTCTGCCTCTGCCTCTGCCTCTGCTTCTGCTTCTGCTTCTGCTTCTGTTTTTGGTGTCTCTCCTTCTGGAACGTCTACTAGTGCCACACTTTCTCTGACAGTAAGTCCAGGCAAAGACATCGAACCTCCTCCACACACACATAAACCATCGTCTATGCATCTGAGTCTTGATGGTGCTCAGTTACAGACTCAGTCCCAGATCAGACTGGATACACCACCATCTAAACCAGAGACACCCTGTGCTAGGCGTTTGGATTGCCTTGTTGCTGACGACAATCCGATTAGTTGTAAGATTCTCGAGACCATTCTTGAAATGCTTCACTGCCGCTGTGTAATAGTAAGAAATGGAGCTCAGGCTATCCGATGTGCAATGAGTGATGTGCGGTTTGATATGATTTTCATGGATATTAGGATGCCAATTAGTAAGTTACAAAATGATAGTAAATAATAATAATAATAATAATAATAATAATAATAATAATAATAATAATAATAATAATTTTTAATCTTTTGGATTGTAGTTGATGGAGAAACTGCGGCAAGAATGATAAAATCGACCAACAATGTCAACCGAGAAACTCCAATAATTGCAGTAACTGCTTACGAACGCACGGTGCAGTTGGCCGGTGCGTTTGATGACATTGTGAGCAAACCGATGACGAAAGATATCATCCTACAGAGAGTCAGCAAATTCTGTGATACTGTAGAAAAGAACTGAGCTTTTCATACGCATTTGACTTGCTAAAAGTACAGCAAGAATAAATAAATGAATAAGGTTATATGTACATTTGATAGAGTTGAATATAAACTTGCTTGTTTATTTGTGTGACCAAAGGAAATAATAATAATAATAATAAAAAGGCACATTACTTTATATTCCATTTTCTTTTTTGGGTTGTTCTTCGTCACCAAAGATATCACCATCATCATTATCTATCTTTCTATCTATTATTTGTACACCTTTCCTTTTCTTCCCTTTTCTTTCTTTCTTTCTTTCTTTCTTTTGATTCTATATATCTACTTAATTATTTTAAATGACAGGACCTCCAACTAACAACCTGACCAGTCAACCCAACTCCTCATCTTCCTCATCCACAATTCCACCCCGCATCAAACTAAAGTTACGCTTGAAACTACCGACGGATCCTAATCATCAATTGAAGAGAAAGAGGCACCGGGAATCCAAACGAGCCAATAAAAAGCCGAATAAACGACACGGACCGGAACCTTTATCTAACGATGCAACGACATCTGATGATCAAGAAAAAGTCGCAACCAAGATTAAAGAAGAACCCTTGTTAAAATCCAAAAAGTCTCTCAAGTCATCAAAGCAGCAGACTCAGAAACCTCAATCAGCGCAAGAGGTTGTATTAAAGAAACGTGGCCGACCTCCAAAGAACAAGAAACTGCTAGCTCGTCAACCTGTCCGTGTTTGGGAGGCCGCCAAAAAAGATCTCAAAAGCGTCGGTTCTCGGCTCCTGGAAAGTTTGATAAAGTAAGTAAAAAGAAAATAAAAATAAAAAGTTGACTTTCTTTATCTCTTTCTTTCTTTCTTTATTTCTTTAATATTATGAGCCATAATAAATCATTCTTTGTGTGTGTGTGTGTGTTTGTATAGAAAGGATGCATATGGATTTTTCTTGACACCGGTTGATATGGGTGTGATTCCAGACTACGCTCTTGTGATTCGTCATCCTATGGATTTTACAACGATGAAAGAGCGCCTGGAACGAGACTATTATCAGCACCTTGACGACATCCTCCATGATTTTAAGATGATCGTACGCAATGCAAAAACATACAATGCACCGAATACGATCTATTGGCGTAGCGCCGATCGATTGGAAATGTATGGCGAAAAGGCATTTGAACGTGCGGCAGCTGTGATTGTCTATGAAGAAAAGGAGGATGTCGACGGAGATGAAACCCTACAGATTGTTGAGGAGCAAGAGGATGAAGAGTTGGTTGTGGTCGATAAAGAATCGCTGGCTAATAGTCCTCAGAGAGATAGTCGAATGGGTTCTATAAGCATGTACAGCTCAAGTATGGAACAGCAGATGGATTTTGTGATGTCCAATCCACCCGTACTTGCGACAAAAAAGAAGAAGAAGAAGAAGAAGGTGGCAGACACCTGCATATATGGGCCTGATGGTTCCCTTCAATCAGCCAGTGGAGGTAAGAATATAAAATTAATAAGATCTTTATTTTTCTTTGAATAAAATCGAGGCTTTTTTTCTTTCTTTCATTCATTCTTTCTTTAAATGAATCATCTTTAATAATGATTGGATAACAACCCTAAAAAAAACATATATAAAAAATGATATCTTTCAAGCTGGTCTTGTGTCGGATCTGTTGGCTCTATCAAGTCCACTGGCATTTGATCCCCCTCGTCTAAGTACGATCAGTCCCCAATCGTTGCCTTCTGCATTCTACAATCGGACATTGTGCTCTGAAGACAGCGCGGATTCAAAGAGCTCTAGCCGACCAGCTGTGTTCACAGACTATGGGCCATTGGCTACCCTGGGGGAACAAACACCGGGTGGATTCTACACAGCCCAGGACGCGTTTTACATTTACCCGCTTTATGGAGATGACCGAGGCGAGGCGTATATGCGTAGTATGTGGGATTTTGTTGAGACGATGGATGAACTCAAGGAACAGACCGAAGAAAAGGCCCGTTTCTTGACCAGAGGTGCATGGGATGTGGTGAGACAAGTGTTATTAGGTGATGCACACGTACGCCATGGCAGAGGTGAACCGGCCGGGTGTGTAGAGACGGAGTTTGGTACAGTGGACGTTCCTTCCATTCTTCCCACTATTACCCTGGCTGGAGATTTATCTTCAATTATCTCAATGGACACATCATAAATAAAATATACAAAAATATAAAAATGCTAATCAGAATTGTTGATCAATTTGATCGACTGATAGGTCGATAGGTTGATAGGTTGATGGGTTGATTATACACACTCACATTTGTATATATGAGTTTTTCTGCGTGTGTATTATATTTTTATTATATTGTATTATAAAGAAATAAGAATTATTTTTAATGATGTCTAGTATGAACAAGAGTGAGACAAGTTTCTTTCTCTCTCTATCTTTCCTTTGTATGGAATGAATGAATGAATTAAAGAAGAAGAAGAAGAAGAAGAAGAAGAAAATAATAGTAAGAGAATATGTGTAAAGTAAGAGGAGGAAGAGGTAAGGATAGAAGGGGAGGTGTGGGTATTTTTGCCTTTCTCTTTTTGTCTTTTGATTTTGTTTTTAAAAGTTGGCAATACATTGACCAAATTGTCCTCGATGACCAACAAATGCCACAGCAGCAGTGTAATGATACCAGATTCCTCCACAGACAAAGATGTGCCACAGTTGATGAGAATGTCCAAAATGGTCGAATTTGCCTGGCCAGAAGGCTTCTGGTAAATGGTTTGCATACACAACCACACCTAAACCATAACATGACAGAGATTTTGCTACGGGCATAAGCCATGAGAATGTTTCATCTGTACCATACTCATATACAAGATGAGCAACAGGTAATACACAGGACGAAGCCAAGAATATGAAAAAGGCGATACGAATCCATCTCAGATCTACAGACAAACAAAACAAAACAAAACAAAAGTCAAAATTTGTAAGCATTTTTTTCTTCTTCTTCTTTTTTAAGCTATGTACAAAATACGGTATAAAGAATATCTTTACCTTTCCGATCAAACCAACTCATAAATGGAAGTACTACACCGATCATAGCCAGAGTTCCAGTACCAGCCATATAAGTGTTTCTCCACATGGGTTCACAATAGAAACCATAATACTCTGTGAGTATGATGCTGGCACAAATCAGAACCGAGATGCCGACATAATCCAGACAGGCCATCTTGGTCAGGGTCTCGTAGTTGTTGATGGCCGAGAGAGTGTGCCAGACAGTTGAGCACATGAGGCATTTGCATGCCGCCAAAAAGAAGATCGCAAATACGACCCGGTCCAGACCAGGCACTTCCGACAGCAACGGGGAGTAAAACAGCTCATAAACACCGAGAACAAAGAATACGAAGAAGCCGATCAAGTGTGTGTAGATGTTGCCGGTTTCATTATGAACATAGAGAAGTGAGTGGAAGCAGTCTGCGGGAGTGGAAAGGAATCTGTAACCAGTGTGGATGTGCTGCAACCAGAAATATATATATATATATATATAAAAGATGTGAGTGGAGTCGGTTTCTTTATTAGGTCTTTTTTTCTTTTATGTATGTATTTTTCCCACCCACAAAATAGGTACACAAAAAAGAAAGCCAGAAAGAGACAAAAAAAAAAGCCTAAATTGCATTTATTTATATTACCTTGTTATTTTGCCACTGCTCTGGTAATTCTTCATAGTGTAGTAATCGCTTGGCACCATATGCGATTGCATTCTTTAGAGAATCCATTTGCTCACTTGCCCTGTCTGCCATATCATGGATCTTCTCGTTCACTCTGTGTCGCATAGCCGAAGCACGGTCCAGGGCATCCGATATTCTGCTATCGATTTCTTCGATTGTCGAGATGACGGTTTCCATTGTGTCGTCGACAGTGTTATCAAAGTAGTCTTCGGATATGATGGCTTCTAGCTCCTTGTATTTCTCAGACAGTTCGGCAATTGACTGCTCGAGAGTTTGCATCAAGAACGGCAAGGGTTGGATTTGTTGGTGCTGCTTGCGACGCAGAGTCCATTCTTGGTCAATTGTCTCCAGAATACCACAGGTCCGTTTGATTTTGTCGAGTGTATAGTCTTGGATACGTTTACTGTCGTCGCTCAGGGCATCTTCGAAATCATTGAGTCTACTTTTGAACTTGTGGAGTAGTGGTGCTAGTCTTTCTCGAAAGAGAGTATCAAGATCAAGTGTTTCTTCACAAGAAACCTTGGTTTTGTTGATCGTTAATAGGTTTTCCATGGTTTAATAAAGCTTCTGTTTGGTGTGCTGATTTCTTTTTGTCTTTTTTAAGAAGAAGAAGGAGAAGAAGGAGAATTGAATGAAATGAGTATGTTGAATAAAAAAAATATATATAAAAAAAAAAGAAGAGCACAAGAAATATCTGTAAGTCTGTGTGTCGATTGAGTTTTTATTTATTTATTTATTTGTTTTCTTATCAGGCTCGTGTCAAAAACAGTAGTACTTGTTGGGTCTGGGATTTCTGTCGGCGAAACATTCGCCCCCAACATGTCTAGTACTTGCTTATTATTTGTGACTAGGCAGAAACAGCTATCAACTAAGGATCAAGCCATGTGAGAGAGAAAATAGAAATAAAGAAAAAGTAAGAAAAAAAAAAAAAGATAGTAACCAAGCAACTAATTATTATATAGATATAAATAAATAAATGAATAAATAAATAAAAATAAGATTATTTTTAAGATTGTTGTTAACATAGCCACATAATTAAGTAAATATTAAGCCTAACATTTATTGCAATAGCCACAGTTCCTAGTCTCCTAAATACTTGAAATTTTATTATTCTTATTAGCGACTTGGTCATCATGAAATCTGTTTTATAACTGGTTTTAGAAATCGGATAAGCTTTCTTTTTTAATTATTATTATTATTATTTTTTAAAAAAAAAAAAAATTATGTAGCTGATTTGGTATCAATTTCAACCTGTTTCTCTTTCTCTTGAAACAAATGATTGGATATTATAATGGCACAGATAATAAGCCAAACTCTGTTTCGGATTACACAGGGAGGGAAATATGGGAAAATGGAAATTGTATATATAAAGAGAGATAGAGAGAAAAAAATAGGGAGTGGGAGAAGGAGAAGGAGGAAGAAGAGGATGAGTAAAAAAAAAAGGGCAATTTCAATAATTCTCTCTTTCTCTCTCTCTCTCTCTGCACACGCACACAAGCATATATATATCTAGTATATATTCATTATAAAATAAATAAATAAATCTTATATATATATATTTGTGTATGTGTTATTCAGCTAGAATAAAATAGAGTATGTTTTTGTTTTTATTTTATGTAGATTTGTAAGAAATGGGTAATTTGCTTTTACAATCACCGGGTTTCCGTTTGTCCGGTCCATACTTTTTTTTAAAAAAAAAAAAAAAAAGATTCCAAACTTGGGTGGGTGCACCAAGGGACTGACTTTGACGGGTGGCTTGTGTAAAACTCAGACCCATTTTTTTCTTCTTTAGCACAAAGTTTCAAGATTCCAAGACTTGCTTTCCCTTGATTGTACATTAGATCTACGACCATGGAATACCATCCCGTTATTACCGAGCAGCTCATGTAGGTATTCATTGTCCAAGCTTATGAGATCGTCTGTCTAACATTCACATACTTCTTTTTACCTCCAATCGAACATACTCCTGTTATATTCTATAGTCTGGTAATTTTTATATATATAAACTTTTTTTTTTTACTGCGCAACAAAATGCAAAATGCGAAAGAAAATATAAACTACATTTTACCTACAAGACATACATATATACTTGTTTATATTCAATACTAATTTCTTTTTTTTAAAATAATAATAATAATAATAATAATACTTATTATTATAGTGTCCAGGATGTGGTACCCCTACTCCTCCCAACGCCTCCAACATGTGCGTGAACTGTATCCGTAACGAGGTTGATATTACCGAGGGTATTCCCAAGCAGGCCACGATTCACTTTTGTAAAGGTTGTGAAAGATACCTTCAACCTCCAGGAATCTGGGTTACTGCCCAGCTTGAGTCCCGTGAACTTTTGACCTTGTGTTTGAAGAAACTGAAGGGTCTGACCAAGGTGCGCCTGATCGATGCCGGTTTCATCTGGACAGAACCTCACAGTAGAAGAATCAAGGTCAAGCTGACCATTCAAAAAGAGGTTAGTAATCAAACTCCAGGTCTAACTAGAACATTGGATATGCATAACTATATATATATATATATCTTTTTTTTTAAAAGCGAAGAATGGGATAAAAAAAAAAGAGGAAGAATAAAGGGAAATAATGCTTTTGTCTTGTTTCTAGGTGTTTGCCAACACTATTCTTCAACAAATCTTTGAGGTCGAATATATTGTGTCAACCCAACAGTGTGACGAATGTACTCGTCTTGCTGCACAAAACACATGGAAGGCTGCTGTCCAGGTCCGTCAAAAGGTCGAGCACAAGCGTACCTTTTTGTACCTTGAACAGCTTATCCTCAAACACAACGTACACAAAGACACTACCAACATCAAAGAAGCCAAGGATGGTATCGATTTCTTTTATGGTCAGCGTGGACATGCCATTAAGATGGTTGAGTTCTTGAGTTCTGTTACACCCACTAGGTAAATATATATATATATATATATATATATAATATTTATATAGAAAAATGTTTATTTTTTTTTTCAAGTGATTGGTAATAGATTTGTAAGAATCCATGATTTGCTGACAAATGTTTTGTGTGCTTTTTGAAATAATATTATTTTAGATACAAGACTAGTGAACAGCTCATTTCCACAGATATCCACACAAGTACCAGCAACTACAAGTTCACTTACTCGGTTGAAATTGCTCCTGTGTGCAAGGACGACATTGTGTGCATTCCCAAGAAGCTTGCCAAGCTTATGGGCAATATCCCCCAGTTGCTATTGGTTACCCGTATCTCCAACTCGATCCACTTGATGGACATCAATACCCTCAACCAGGTCGATGTTCTCTGTGTGACCTACTGGCGCCACCAGTTCACTGCCCTGGCCAGTGTAAAGAACATGGTCGAGTTCTATGTTTTGGATGTCGAGCCTCTTGGGCCTGTGAAGGGTAAGCATGTTCTTGCGGATGTGCATGTGGCACGAATGGCCGATTTTGGCCGCAACGACGATGTCTACATCTGCAGATCCCATCTGGGTGCCATTCTTTCGCCCGGAGACACCGTCTTGGGTTACGATCTGTCGCGCTCGAACTTTAACAACGAAGACTTTGACAAACTTGACCGCTCGGCTCTTCCGGACGTGTTCCTTGTCCGCAAGACATTCCCTGCTCGCCGCAAGAAGAACAAGCAGCGTAACTGGAAGATCCAGCAGCTTGGCAAGGAAGTGGATGAGATGTTGCCCCGTAAGCAGGATCAGGCACGCATTGACAACGATATGGAGGCCTTCTTGCGTGATATTGAAGAAGATCCCGAGTTCAGATCAACAATCAACATTTTCAAGAATGCTGCTGCAAATGCTGCTGCTACTGGTGGAGCTGTGGATAGTGATATGGTTGATGAAGACGAAGATGATGAAGAAGAAGAATTCCCAGAAATTTCTCTGGCAGAGATGCTCGATGAAATCACCATTAACGATGATGGACCAGACGAGCCTGAAGCAGCTTACATGGACGAAGATTAAACTAAACTTGAACTAGACGCATCGTTTGTTTATATATATTTCTTCTTCTTCTTCTTTTTGTTTCTTTGTTTGTTTGTTTCAATTCATCCTCCCATATCTTCTTCTTTTATTATTTTGTATCTCGATCTATCGTACAGTCATAATCCTTCCTTATTTCGCTTTTCTTTCTTTCTTTTTCTATATCTATTTACCATGTATATTATATATACATTACATGTCTTTTTTTTTGTTTTATTAAAAAATAATAATAATACATTAAGTGGTCTTTAATATACACATTTCACTCATTTAAATATTTATTTTATATAAGTAATAATTAGCATTACTGTATGTTTGTGTGTGTGTGTGTGTGTGTGAATAAATACAAAAAAAAAGTATGAAACGATAAATATAAAATAGAGTTTGTACAATGGTAATTAACCTGGCTTTAATAGCATACTTCTTTATCTTTAGTATTATATATAATTTTACATGTGCAACAGAAATGATAAGAATAAAAATAAATAAAAATAACTGACTGGCTAGCTGGCTGGCATTATCAGTGGACAAAGATCAATCATGTCGTCACTTTTTTTTTTCTTTTTGCGCGGATAATCAATTCGATCCTTTTACTTGCATAAATTGAAAAAAAAAGGGAATTCCTCTTTCCTTCTTCATTTCATCTTAAATGTACATATACATACATATATACATACATACATTTTAATATACAGTACAATACAATAAAATAAGATATTATTATATCTTTATTTTGAAACATTTGAAACAAGCTATATAGATATATTTTACATTGATTTATTATGATTATATTGCAAATTTTTCTTTCTTTCTTTAATAAGCAAATGGATACAAGAACTAAAGTGTTTTTTTTTTAAAAAAAAAATTATTTATATACAGCAGAATGGTTTTGATCGTATTCTTTGGTTGGCTCGACTTTTTTATTATTGTTATTATTGGACTTCTTGTTGGTGATTTGCTCTTGTAAATTTGCGAATGATCTGATCGACCATTCCACCTAATGCTGCGAATGGCATGAGAAAGTATCCTATCCAGCTTGTGTGATTTTGCTGGGTGACTTCGGTTGAAGTAAAAGGTTCTTGAGTTGGGTGGTCATCGGCTTGATTTGACATTCTTTAGACTTGTATATAAAAGAGAAAGAGAGGAAGAGTATAGATTGAAATGAAGAAATAATTAAATAACATATGTATGTTATATGCTATATACAAAAAAGGGAACAAACGTCATAATCTTGTCACTATTATTATTATTATTATTATTATTACTTTTTGCTTGCTTTTCCTTTTTAGCATGTATATTAACTGATAATTGATATGATAAAATAGATGTATTTTACTTGTCTTTTTCACTTTATTCCATTTAATTTAATTTACTTTATTTGGTGGGTACAAAATAACCTGTTTGTTCGATAGCCAAACACGTGCAATGATCAATTCTTATTTTATTTTATTTTATTTTATTTTATTTTATTTTATTTATGATAATGAGTTTGTGCCTCTCTCTTTGGATTTTGTCTGTGTGTGCGAAACGAGTGTAAAGCTACTTGATTTGTACTTCTTATAACATTTTTGTATATAACACACACACACATAAAAGTAAAAAACTCCCAAAGAATCTAATATTCCTTATTTCTTATTCCCCCAATTTTATATTATTATTTTTGAACTTGTGTTCAATTGAATTACAAATTATTTTCTTTTGTACCTGATTCTGGCTCTCTGTTAAAGAAATTATGATATTAAAGAAGAAGAAGAACAACAACAACAATAATAATAATAATAGAAAAATGCATGCACGCTTGGGCATTGCACGTGATCATTTACTATTGTTCAAAGCTGAAAAAGAATAAAATGGCGGGCAGAATGGGTTAAATAACTTTTTTTTTATAAGATTGCAAACAAAAAGGCAGTAAGAGACCCGTGATCAACCCCCCCTTTTTTTTCTATTTAGCTATTAAATCTATTTAATTGTGTGAAAAAATAATAATAATAATAATAATAATAATACTAATAATAATACTCTAAAAGCTCGTTCTACGTCATTCTATCTTCTTTACTCTATATAAATTATATATTTTGTGTATTTTGTGTATTTTGTGTATTCAAAATAAAAAATAAAATAATTCTTTATCTATCTATCTATCTATCTCTTTCTCTTTCTCTTTCTCTTTATTACTTTTTCACACTTACCTGGGTAATGATGTACAACGTTCAGTTTCATCCCTCGTTCAATCCCCAAACACAGTCCTCTCACCATGAAGTACCTGGTCCTGATAACAACAATAAAGCATTCCCCTCACCCCTAACATCATCCTCGCTTGATTCCCCGCCTAATCCAAACCAGAAGATCCATTCATTCATTCCACCTAATTCACCCAAGCACTATACATCTCGACCCTACGACATGCACTATCCTCCAAGTTTCAGCCAACAGTTAACTACTCACCAGTCTTCCAGAAGAGACTCTCACCAGCAACAGCAGCAACAACAGCAACAGCAGCAACAGCAGCAACAACAGCAACAGCAGCAACAGCAGCAACAACAGCAACAGCAACAACAACAACAACAACAACAAGCCATGCCTACAAACCAGAATACGATTCAATATTATCCCCAAGACGAGTGGGCCGCAGTTACTGCTGCGACTGAAGCAAATTTTAACATTGGTAAACAATCCGATTCTTCTGTGGTATCTCCAACAAGTCCGGGAAGTTATGATGACGAGATGCAAATCCAAAAGTAAGCTTTTATTTGTTTGTTTGTTTGTTTGTTTGCTTGTTTGCTTGTTTGCTTGTTTGAATTTCAAATATAACGGATAAGTTGGATAAAGTAAAACGATAAATAAGAACACAAGTCTTTATTGTTTCTGCTGCTCATTTTATTATTATTATTATGTGTATTGATCATATTATTTGCTTGCTTATTTGTTTGTTTGTTTGTTTGTTTGTTTGTTTGTAGTATGCAACATTTGTTTGAGAAGAAACGAAAGCGGCGCGAATCACACAATTTAGTGGAACGAAGACGACGAGATAATATCAACGACCGTATCAGTGAACTAGCAACTCTCTTACCAGACCCAGACGCAATAAAGACTAACAAGGGAACAATCTTGAAGAAGTCTGTCGACCATATCAAACTTCTTCATGATAAGCTCCAACTACACCAACAGAGAATTCAAGAGCTAGAAAGTATGCTTGAGATGTACCGAGTCAGAGTCCACAATACTGGTGACCCACAACAACAACAACAACAATTACAGCAATCTCAACCTCAACCGCAACCTCAACCGCAACCGCAACTACAACTACAACCTCAACCTCAACCTCAACCTCAACCTCAACCTCAACCTCAACCTCAACCTCAACAGCAGCAACAGCAGCAACAGCAGCAACAGCAGCAGAAACAGCAGCAACAAAGACGTCAGCCGACAGTACCTATGATCCCGACTGGCCACCCGCTAGACCTTTCTGGAATTCAGCCACATCTCGGCAACCATACTTCTTTTCGGCGAGAAGTTTAATAATCCATTTATATCCTTGTATTGGACTTGTATAATCCATATTACGCCTATATCATATATCCTGCATGCCATTACTACATTATTACCTCTTCTGCAAATGTAAAACCTACTCTCCTTGTACCATTCCTCTCTTTGATCGAATCTCTCTCTCTCTCTCTCTCTTTTTTTTTTTGTATACGTGTATTTATATTTATATTTATTTTATATTAATACACAAACACACTAAGCATTACATATTACACCATTAAACATTACATACACTTTTATTTATATATATATATATATATATATATATATATAAATCATATATTACATTTAATCATTCAAGAGCAATTGATTCAACACTTTCATAAGTATCTTCAGGTCCTCTCTTTCCCATACGCATCAAATGTAGTTTGTTTAGTGGAACATCACCAAAGTCGATGCTAGCAAAACTATCCAAGATTGGTCGAGCATCAAAAGTCTCTCGTCTACTATTCTTGGGTTTGCCTTCCTCTTTACGGTAACTGGAATTGATCAATGTAATATGAATCTAATACAGACATATAGACATATAGCACAAATCAGTTCAAAACAAGCTGTTATATATATATATATATATGTATTATTTTTTAGAGCTTACCTTTAAAGGTCTACTTTCATCAACCATCAAACCAGCTTCAATCATTGAATTCCTCAATCCAACTACAAGTAATACATACATATATGCATTTCGTTAATTAGCTTCTATATATATTATGTTGTATGTTGTGTAAGCCTTTAATTCTTACCACATAATTTATCCAACAATTGATCTTTTGATTCATCATGAGCTTCGATGTAAACCACATGGGCCTTGGCTATTCGATCCACAATAAATAATAAATAATAAATAAGTAAAATTAAATTAAATTAAATTAAATTATCTATCTATCTATCTATCTATTATCATTGTCTCCTTACATGGATCGGCTTGCATTGTCTTCAAGTTATGGATATGTACAGAGAGTCTGTCGTTGTCTTTGATAACAGAGTTGACTACATTCGGGAGATGATCTTTAAGGAACTCGGCTGCCTTTGCGATGTCGGATTGGCTCGTCAATTTTGATACCCCAACTGTGATGTGCAGATTCTTATGGGAAACCAACATTGAAGGATCAAGTCCCTGGCATCCAAATGTCGGAGAAAGGATCGAAGAATAGAATTGATCCAATTGTTGTGTCAATAAAGTAGACGACACAGGAATAGACAAGAAGTGAGTAGGTCTAGAAGCAGAATGAGTCTAAAGCAATAAAATTAATTAAAAATTTTGTATAAATATATATATATATATATATGTATATCAATTATCGTACTTGCCCCTTTCACCAGCTTGTCAATCGCTTCAATCGCTTTATCTACTTTGTCCTGAGTACCCTTGATAGTTATCGAATCTCTTCCTGGAATGACATCAATTTGTGCCCCAGTGTCGTTCCTGAGCTGTTTAATAGTACTTCCTCCTCTACCTTTTTTTTTTTTTACCAAACAAATTAACCAATATACATATCAGTATCTAACTTCATGTATCTTTTTATATATATATTTTAGTACCAATAATCTTTCCAAAGAAACTACGGTTGACTAGGTATTGGTGCGAAATAATATTATCTGTAGAGATCGTCTCGGAATTACCAGCATTCTCATCATGATTCTCTAATAAGCAAAACAAAAAAAAAAGTATATATATATATATATTTGCCCAATATTTATTTTTGCTCTACTTGTTAGAATAGGAGGTTTGATAGTTGTTCGCAAGAATTGGGCAGGTACACGATGATAGGCTCTGTTGTGAACCTTACCCAGCGTGAGACCTTGAATGGATTTTTGGATTTTTGTTATGTTTGATTGCATGACCAGATTATGCAATCAAGATGAAGATGGCAAAAAATAAATAAATAGATATATAGTACTAGTAGTACGAAGAAGAGGAATGAAACACGAGGAAAAAAAAAAAAGCAAGATTTTGTTGTTTTTTTTTTTTTTAAAAAAAAATAAATAAATATTGCAAGTATATGGATGTACAATAATATATAATATAATTCATGTTGTCCCTTTTTTACACACACATATATATTATATATTATATATTATATATTATATATTATATATTCTCTTCTTTAGCCCTTTAACTCGCTCCTTTGCTTTTCTCTCTTTGACATAAACAGAACATAATAAGCCACCTTGGTATGTGAAACTGATCCAGAAAAAGTTGTGGCCCTAAATTTCAAATTATTTATTATAGCCTTTTTATTTTATTTTATTTTTTTATTTATTTATTTTTTACTATATATATATATATATATTTATTTAATAATAATAATAATAATAAAAAATGTCTGATATCGGTAACAACGCTTGTGTATCTGAGGGCTGTGGACAACCAGCAAAATTACAATGCCCTACATGTCTCAAACTCAAGATTGAGGGTTCATTCTTCTGCTCTCAAGAATGCTTCAAGAAGAATTGGGCATGTCATTTAACAATCCAGACTTCTTCTTCTTTGAATGAATGAATGAATGAATGATCTATTAATACTAATTAAAAACATAAATGTTCATTTCATCAGGCAACTCACAAGGCTGTTCACAAAGCAAAGTTGGAAAGTAAGCTTTGATATATTTATATTGATTTATTTATTTATTGGGAAAAAAAATTAACGTATATTTACTATTATCAGGTCAACCTCACAATCCTTTCCCAAACTATACCTATACCGGTCCTCTCAAGGCAGTTTACCCTCTTACTCCTAAGAGTGTTGTACCAGAGTCAATTGCTCGTCGTAAGTAAATAAGCTTCTATAGGAAAATGAAACAGCCACGAGAATATAGATAGATAGATAAATAAATAAAAGCATGTGTGGACCTTGTAATCATATAATTATATTTATAATAACGCTATTTTTCTTTTTTATATGTATTTGTTTCAATTAGCCGACTATGCTGATACAGGTAATAATTGAAACAAAGAAGCAGAAGCAGAAGAAGAAATCTGAAATTGGTCAAGATATCTAAAAAAAAAAAAAAAAAAAAAAAAAGGAATTCCTGTCTCTGAACAAAGTGTTCGCTCCAGCGCAACCATCAAAGTTTTGAATGCCGAGGAAATTGAAAGCATGCGTAAAGTCTGCAAGGTAAAAAAAAAAAAAAAAAAAAAAATATGGGTCAAATTAAATATCAAGACATTTGAATAATTTTTTTTTGCTTAGATTGGTCGTGAAGTATTGGACATTGGTGCTGCTGCAATTCGCCCTGGAGTCACCACCGAAGAAATCGGTAAGTTAAGAAACACATCTAAAGCTTCGACAATCCTAGGCGGTGAATATCATTCTCAATTGCTCACCATTTGGCATAAATAGATCGTATTGTTCACGAAGCAACCATTGCTCGTGGTGCCTATCCTTCTCCATTGAACTACTACAACTTTCCCAAGTCATTGTGCACGTACGAAACAGTTACTATTATTATTACTAAAAAACAAACAAACTAATCAAGTTTGCTATCGAACCGTTGTCTGTCTATTTTTATTTATTTATTTACTTATTTAGATCTGTCAACGAGGTCATTTGCCATGGTATTCCTGACAAGCGTCCTTTGAAGGATGGTGATATTATCAACTTGGATATCTCTTGTTACTACGGTGGATTCCACAGTGATCTTAATGAGACTTATCTTGTTGGAAATGTGGATGAGCAAGGAAAGAAGTTGGTACAGACTGCTCGTGAATGTTTGCAAAAGGCCATTGACATTGGTAAATATTATTATTATTATCTAAATAATATATATATATACTTATTTTACTTGACTTGAATGTATAGTCAAGCCTGGTATTAAATACCGTGATTTCGGCAAGGTTATTGAAGAACACGCCAAGAAGAATGGATTCTCTGTTGTTCGCACCTTTTGTGGTCATGGAATCAATCAGCTCTTCCATTGCGCACCTAATGTTCCTCATTATGCAAGTAAGTTTATTAATATCATTTGCCTACTTAACAAACAAACGAATAAGACCTGTGCTTAATCGAATAAATAAATAATAATAATAAAAAGACAACAAGGCTATTGGAACCATCAAGGCTGGCCATGTATTTACCATTGAACCAATGATTTGTGAAGGCACCTGGAGAGATGAAATCTGGTAACTTTTTCTTTTTTAATCTATTCATCTATTTAGTTCAATAAGCTTCATTTTTTGCTTACATATATATATATATATATATATATGATGATATTGTAGGCCTGACAACTGGACTGCTGTCACCAAGGACGGCAAGCGTTCTGCTCAGTTTGAACATACCTTACTTGTTACTGAAGATGGTGTCGAAATCTTGACATAGATGAAATCTAAAACGGTTCATGACCTCTACCTAACTTAGTTGACACATGCATATATATATACAATACAATACAATACAATACAATACTGTTCTAATGATCAGTAAAATCTTTTTATGCAAGAGTCAGATTCTTTAGATAAAGAACTCTTTCCAGAACACCTTAATTATACATATTAGACTCTATTTGGCTTATCTCAAATGATCTAGACAGTTCGATTGTTACTTTATACAAACATCACATCTCCCTGATGTGTTTAGTGACCAGAGCATCTGATATAATTTAAATGATCAAAAGGCTTAGTTATCTATAGGTACAGCTTTGTTTCCTAGATAGGTTTACTATATGACCCACAAATATGTCTCTCTTCTTGAAGAACCTTGTGTTATGAATTCGGCTGTGTATATCCAAAATGATCAAATCAAATACATATCAGATGTAGATGTACAAATATCAAAAATTTCCTTGTGTTCTCCAAACCACAATTCCTAAAACAAAGGTATACACAATTGACTGATCTGGAGGCATATCTTGTGTGTCTTTATCGGAAGGTCATTAAAAGGCAACACCGGAGCCACTGACAAACCTATTTTCTTGTAAGACGACATATGATCTTTTCACTCCCTTTCCCCCCCTCCTTTTTTTTTTTCTTTTTTTTTTTGGGGGGTGTATCAAAGGTCTATAAATTCATATAAGTATTGTGTTGAAAAAAATAAAAAAATAAAAATGACAACTTGCTCAAGCAGAAATCTTTGTATAACTTCTCCTCTTTTCTGGTTTCCACCCGCATCTTCTTATCCAAAACTGTGCAGTCCACCGACCAAAAAACCACCTAATAAAGTTGACTGGGGACACCCCGTTGAGCGCGACAGAGATACGTGGCTGATTCATCTGTTATGTCCCAAGGAGTGTTACACGCACACAAGACACCTCACTTCCCCGGTCGAGCCCTGCATCTGTCGTGGCTACTGCACCATATTCTCTGAACTAGACAAAAATGAACCGTCCTGGCCGTGTGTTATGTCGTGTAGTCTCGAATACAGAGGAGGACAAAACCATCGACCAAGACTTACGCTGCCACTGTCTCCGCCATCAACCCAGCTAGTAGAGCATGAAGATCACAAAGGCCCAAGTGTCGACTGTCCATCTTCAAAAGATACCTTTGTGGACTATGAGAAGAGAGATCTTTTGCAGGCCTGGCTAGACAGCATTCCGGAATATTATCCTTTGTTAGATGACCAAAAATACTTGGATATGCCTATTTGGCAGGAAACAAATTCAAATCCAAGTCCAAATCGTATATGCCCTCCTCCTCTTACTACTACTACTAGACCAAAGGTTGCCTTGCCAAAATCAGCAAAAAGAGAAACTTTTTTCGGGGTAGTGAGTCAATGGGTAGTACGAATAAAGAAAGGTCTGTCTATAGAATTATCTTGATGTAAAGACATACGTATATAATATGCATTAAAAGCAGTGTGCTGTTTATGCAAGCCAACTTTTTTGGTTGGTTATACATATAATAATAATAATAATAATAATATATATATATATATATTGGATACAAATGTGTATGTATTTTATTGCGCTGTATTGTGTGCGTGTGCGTGTGCGTGTGTGTGTGCGTGTATATATATATATGATAGCTTCTTGTATTGAAGAAAGAAAGAAATGGTTTGTCTACGTAAATAGAGTAATCAAATGGAGTAGGATGAATGGATTTTTTTTTTTTTTGCTTTATCTCTATGTTTATAGAGTAAAATTAGATATAGACATCTTAATGTTTCTTTCCTTGCTTATGGTCCACATCCACAAGACTGCTACTTTCGTCCCAATCAGCAAAGTCATCAAAGTCATCGTCCGTATTTTCTTCATTATAATTGGCTGCAAAACGACTGGGTGAAGTATTATTAGATGAACGTACAGCACTACCAGCAGCATGAGATGGTGATGAGGTTGATGAGTTTGGATGGTCTTCCCCATCAGATTCTTCAGCGACAAATAATGTAGGTGTCTCAACCACTAATTCCTCTCTGTATATATTTTTTTTGTTCACCCCCAACAAATCAAACAAAAACCCAAACAAGCACAAAAATAATATAAAAAAATAAATAAAGTTGGGTTAGTTTATTTACATATCAAAAAATAATTATATATATGTTACTTACAGTTCATTATCATCATAAGGGTCATTTAAACGAAACTTGGGTTTAGGGGTAACTTGACATTCAGTAAAGAACCCGGCAATACGACCCATAATACCCCGAGAAGGGGCCTGAGTACTACGGGAAGGTGCTGAGCTGTAGTTACCACGGTCTTGCTTTCGGGACCGGTACCAGCAGTAACCCAAAAGAGCAGCAAAAAGAATTACAAAAATCAATGCAGATGTTCCCCTACAATTAATTAATTAATCAATCAATTAATTAATCAATTGGTTGGTGTATAATATGCTCAGCAAATCTGTTTTCTATTTATTCTTTTATTTACCAGCTGTAATACTGTTCCCAGTAGTCAGAGTTTTTTGTTTCGTCTTCAGGGGTGCCTTTATCTGTTGGTTCCTTTGGCTTTTCTTCATTTTCTTCGGGTGTCTTTGTTTTAGACTCGTCTTGGGTCTTTGAAGTGGTTGGTTTGGCTTGAGGCTTAGCAGGCTGAGGAGGTTTACTGCCATTACTGCCATTAGATGGACCCACGCGACTGGATTTCCCAACAACGGAGTTGTCGCCAGCGCCAATGAATCGATTGATCATATCCAACGTTTCGAGGGGTTTGTCATATGGCACCATGTGGCTTCCGTCTTTGATCAATACATAGGTTAGGTTTCTGTCCTCTGTGTACTGGCCGACTACTTTGTCATCCATAAACCAATCCTCGCTCTTTGCAGACTAAAATAAATAAATAAATATTATTTTGGTTTGTTATTGAATGGTAGTGATAAGGGCTGTTGCTCTTACCTTGAAACCTTGTTTTCCATTCCATGTCATATTTCCAATCATGTATTCTGTCCCAAGATGGTTGCAGATCAGATCATATTCACCACTAACACATATATATATATATTTAGGTTTTTATGAAAAAAATACATGTGAAAGCGCATATTTCCTGCTTCTTTTTGTCTTTTTTTTTTGTTTACCTGAATAGCAAGATAGGGATCTCCTTGAGAATAGAAGGCAGCAACTAGATCAAGTCATCCCCCAACCACCAGCCAATAACAATAACAGTATTATTTCCAAAAACAGGTTCTTTTGTTTGTTTGGATGACTTACATCAAATGAAGGTGGACTCTTATCGTCATCCAAAGCATACGATACACTTCGAGCACATTCAACCCATCCCAAAGACTGCTTTTTTGCATGGATAGATGAAACCAATTCAGGCAACTAATTTGTTGTTGTTGTTGTTGTTGTTGTTAATAGATATGGATTTGTAAAGTTCATTCATTCATAAATTAAACTTTATGCCTCATTATTGTACTTTTGTTGTTGTTGTTGTTGTTTAAAATATAAAAGTGATATTTTACCCTCAAGTATTCAGTTACTTGTGTTAATTCATGTGGCCACGTTTGGCCACACATCGGAGCTTCTTCGTTCTTTATCCGGATATCGTATTGATTCACACAGTACTGTTGGCCCTTTTCTCTGTAAGCCACATGTTTAATCTTAAGCAAGCAATCCAAATGAACCCCAGATGAACCCCAAATCGAGCAAAAAAGTTATTGTTATTATTATTACTATTATTAAATTTACTTACTCATAGGTCGAACTATCCAGAATGTCTGACATCAGTTGTTCACACGTCTCTATACTGATTCTCGAGCTGCGGTCAAGTAGTGTGTGGCATCTATCCAAATGTTTATCTGCGAGTGCCTAAACACGCACACACATACATATTATATATATATATATATATACCATCATCAGAATCACAAATAATATCTTTGTTTTTTTTTTTTTTTTTTAAAAAAAAAAGGGAATTTGACTTGCCTTGTATGGACCCACAAGTATATTGTTCTGTACACCAAAGTCATATATAGCATCATACTAATTTATATATATATAATATACACTCAATTTACGTTCTTCTTGTTGTTTTAATTTCCTTACATGATGACGGGGTGAAATCCAACCATTGCCAATCGCAATTCCCTTGAGATTATACTACATGGATAAATAGCATGATTGTTATTAGTCTCTATTATTTATTTATTTATTTATTTCATGTATGGCTTTGGTCAATCAATTCGGTACTAAAATACATAGACTTGCCTCTCTTTCCTTAATAGCATTTTGATCAAGCATAAGTGAAGCAATGTATGGGATATAAGTTCCGGCATAGCTCTCTCCAGCAATATACATCTATATAGATATATAGATATATATATATATACATATTTATCATAAGATTTTAATAAAATAAAATAAAATAAAAAAACTTTACATCCTTGGATTTGAGATCGGGAAAGATTTCGAAAAATTCGTCCAAAAAAACCGTAAAGTCTTTAGCAATCTACACCCAAAATAAATAAATAAATATCTCGATTGCCAACAAAGATGATATTGATTTTCCAATCTATACTATGCTATGTTATGTTATGTTAATATTGAGCTCCAATCTTATCAACTTACTTGAGTGAGGTTCTTGGTGTAGCTAATTGTTTCTGCAAAACTGAACCCAGTTCCTACTGGCTGATCCACTAATAAAAATATGTAAATCTTTATTAGTTTTTTTTTTTTTTTTTTTTTTTTTTTTTGGTATAATGAATCATGGACTTTCCACAATAACAGTTCATAATTGCCAAAAATAAAATAAAATAATAATAACTCACAAAATACAGTAGTTGCGTAATCCTGCCATCCTCCTGGACTTACACTCAATGACATGTCCTTGTTGACTCTAAATGGGCCATTCTCAAGAAAGAGACCGTCCATACTAACAACAACAACAACAACAATAATAATAATAATTTCAATAACTATTATCATTCATCTATCTATTTATTTATTTTTTTGGTTTTTACCTAGAACATCCCGGGCCACCATTCAACCAGATGATCTAATCACAAAGTTAGTCATTGATTGACTACTAAGAGTTTCCTAAAAACTTCTTTTTTTCTTCTTCTTCTTTTTCTTTTAAAAGAAGTGAATGTAAAAGATGTGGAACTTGCAAGTTTATCAGGTGAGGTAGTCTGAGCTTGTTCAATCATCCAAAAGAACAAATGACCATTGGTCTCGGGAGATATCTCGACATGACCAGCATACTGTGTGCTTGGAAGTGTATTGACGTCAATTCCAGGTAAATGAGTGATTCGATAGTCTTCAGCTGTTCATAGACAACAATTCAAAATGTTAAATAATCGTAATTGTAATAATTGGATATATATATAGGTTTCCAAAATAGATAAATAGGTAGGCAGGCAGGTAGGTAGGTAGGTAGGTAGGTAGAGAGAGAGATAGATAGATAGATGATTCCAGTTGTCTGTTTCTATCTCTTTTGTTTGTTGTTTGATTTTTTTGTATGCATGTAGTGTAATTTAGGAACCTCATTTCTGCCCTAGATCCCCTTGTATGGTGTATATACTGTTTCTATCTGTTTGTCTGCTTGTCTTTCTTTCTTTGATGGCCAGCATTATATGTATATACATATAAAAAAAAGGGGGAGAGATAGAGAGAGAGAGAGAGGTCTACCTTTCTGCGCCATCAGGCCAGGTAAGAAACCAAGACCCAACACACTCCAAAAGACGCGTTTCCACATTACAATATATATTTATATTTATATATGTGTATATGCTTTACAATAAATAAAATAAAGTAAAAGCAGAAAAGCAGAAAAAAAAAATGTCTTTGGGCTTTTCGTTTTTTTTTTTTTTCTTTTTTTTTTTTTTTTTCGTTCCTGCTTGTCAAACGCTTAAATAAAAGAAAATAATAATAATAATAATTCAAAGACAAGAAAAATTTATATATAAAAATATAATTAGCTTTGCGTTTTCATATGTTTTTTTCTGAGCTTTTGTGTTTGGCTGTGCGTAGGTGCGTACGTGCGTACATGCGTACATGCGTGTGTGTGTATAGGTGTGTATAGGTGTAAAAGTGTGTTTAATACCCGATTAAACTTGCGTCACTCAAACATAAACAGAAGGTAGGAAGGTAGGAAGGGGTGGGTGAGTGCTGTTAAAAAGGGGGGGAGAAAGGGAGGGAGGAAAGTGTAGGGGTAAAGGTGATTTGGTGGTAGAGGAGCAGATGTGAGAAAGAAATGAAAGCCAAAGATAAATAAACGATTTTATTGTGTTTAATTTCCAATGAATACAAAAATAATAATAATAATAATAATAATAATAATAATAATAAAAGGGTTGAACCATAAAAGATGTTTTTTTGTTGCTTTTTCTTTATGTTGAACAAAAAAAGGATAATGATGCGAATAATAATAATAGTAGTAATAATTTGTAATTTGTAATTTGTAATTTGTAATTTGTAATTTGTAATAGTGATAGTGATAGTGATAGTGATAGTATGTAGAACTGTATCAAAGAATAAAGGATTGTGGTATCAACCTCTAAACATATTACAAAAAATAAGAATAAGAATAAAAGCAAGGGCAAGGGCAAGGAAAGAGTGGATGTGTTGGTAAGGAGAGAATGGAGTGAATGATTAAGAGAAGGACGGAAAGATGTAGTAGAAAGATGTGAAAGCGAAGAGGAGAAGGAGAAGGAGAGGAGGGGCTTTGTAAACAAAATTCAGGGAAGAAATTTCAGCTATAAGCAATACAAAAGAAGAACAAGGATAATGAAGCGTAAGTTGGTGTAAAGACAGATGTTAATATGAATATGAATGTGAATGTGAATGTGACTATGAATGTGGATAATGGAGTCAAGTGCTTTAAAGGTTAAGGAGCAAGGAAAGAGAGTAGGGCAATATTAGGCAAAAGCAAGGATTTCTCTCTCTCTCTTTTTTTTTTTTTTTATTCCTCAAGGACACCATCAGGACCACTCCACAAACTGATCAGGACTGCTGTGGTCAAGATGATTGCAAAGCGACACCAGCGCCACAAAGATCTAAAAATGGCTCCAAGAAGGCGTGATACCCGGCCTCCTTTGGGCTTGTGCTGTACCATACTTTTAGATTCTCGGTGGATAAGAGGATAAGATAATGAGGGTGAGGGATAGCCTCGGAATGTGGAGCAATTTGAGGCATCATCACAAGGTTCATATAATGCTGCCTGCTTTTCTGCATCATGTTCTTCTTCGATACGGTTCACAAACTCGAGTGCCTGGTCGAGCAAATAAGGGTCGATTCCGCTGACCTTGGAAAGAGCAGTCTCGAGTAAGAAGCCTGGGTCGGGTTGGTAGAATGAGGATAGGTTGTTATGATTGTTGATGTTCCCAGATCCAGAATTTGTCATTCCTGGCTGTGCTCGGGTCGAAAAGGCTGGGCCTGAGCGGAAGCTCTTATGCGATTGTGGGCGTGGGGTGTATGTTCCACGTAGATGGTTAGAGTCGTCATCGTTGTCATCATCGCCAAAAGAGTCGTGGTAACGAGGCGTGGGTGTGGAGGCTGATCGACTGAGGGCTGGTGGACCATGCGTGTTTGATTTCAACCACTCGGACTCGAGTTCTCCAAGAAGTGTGTTGCGGAATGCAGGAGTGTCGCCTCCGTAGCAGCTTGGTGCAGGTGTGCTTTTTGCTGTGTTTATCTGGATGCCTTTGTCCTGAAGACGTTGTAGGACATGCCGATGATCTTCTACTGTGGCATTGAGCTCGCTGATGTGCTGGAACTGGCGTCTGTAGGCTTCCTGCAGCGACTGGTGTTCTTTTTCGGTCGACTGGTAGGTCTCGTACTGCTCCTTGAGGGCCCGGAGATCCTTGAGGGTTTCTGATAGCTTCTTTTCGATCTCTTGTTTGGACTGAATGACAATAGCATTCTCGAATTGGAGATCATCTACTTTGGTCAGCAGCTGTTCGACATGATCGTCTTGTGCTGCCATCTCTGACTCCGATGGGTACTGTCTGGTCTTCTCAATTCTCCTCTGGCGCTCATTCATTTCTTCCAATTCGAGTACTTTGGAGGACGCGATCTCCAGATTGCCTCTCAAGACGGCCACCTCGGACTCTAGCTGGCGGGTGCGCTTGATGTTGGTCCGTTCGAGCTTTGTCTGTTCGTTGAGCAAGAGATCGAGCTCCTGGTTGAGCTCGACGTTCTTCTTTTCCAGGACTTCGATCATGGCCTCGCGAGTAGAATGGGATGGGATTGGATAGTTGTAGTTGTAGTTGTAAAAAGGATCATCTTCCTCTGTTTGGATAGAGTCACCTGATTCGCTGCCATTGTCAAGAGTGAGGTGACATGATGTTTGGGTGGCAAGAGATGAAGACGGAGTGGGCAGCGGGTTGGGACGCTGAGTCTGCTGTAGGAGGGTTTCATAACTTGATTTGAGTGCAATGTTATTCTCCAATAGGGATTTTCCTATTTCGGCTGCAAGCACAAGATCTAAAGAAACAGTAATATAAATAAATAGATAAATTTGTTATAAGCAACAGCAACAGCAACAATAACAATAACAATAGAAATAACTCTAAAATCTAAAATAAAATTCATTTATTCATTTATATAAAAAAAAAATTGTACTATACTATATTGCATTTTTATACATTTTGCAATTTTGCAATTTTTGCAATTTTTGCAGTTTTTGCAATATATTTTACAATATACAATGTATATAATGCATACCTCTCTCTTTTTCTTTTAGGGCACTGTAAGCATTCTTCAGCATCGGAACCAAGTCTCTGCTGGACTTTTCGGCCATCCAAGACATAGAAGACATGAACGAATTGGTCGAAAGGGAAGGGGAGGGGGGGTCAGTAGAGTGGAAGGTGCGTTGGCGCAAAGATTGTATGTCGAGATGTAAGGGTCTGGGGTTCATTGTTTGTTGGTGGTTTATGGTTTATGGTTTATGGTTTATGGTGATGTTGTATTAATCAACTAAAAAGAAGAAGAAAAGAATAAGAGAATCTAAGGTGGGGTAAAAAAAATAAATAAAAGATGTCTTTTTATATTAAACAAATTAAATACAATATACATTTTTTTTTATATAAAAAAAAAATCGGCGCTTAATAAACCCTAGTCCCCCCCCCCTCTCTCTTCTTATATCTTCACCCCCCATCTCTTTCTCTCTCCTCACCCTCAAAAGTTTCTTCACTAATGCCTTTTGGGTGGGAATCCCATCAACCCATGTGAGAGTCTGTACACAAGAAATCATAATGAAGAACAGAGTAATTTTTTTTTTTACTGTAATTTCCACACTTCCCTTGAAGTCAATCCCAAGCGTCCAAGGACACCACTGACCTTGCCTTGTGAGAAGTCCCGGGCCTTTTCACCACAAACATGGGCCAACATCTTGTCTGGTCCACACACAAACACCAGCCGACTAATGCTGTCACTGTTGTTACTGTTATTGTTACTATTGCTATTACCACCATTAACAGCTATAGGGTCAACAGGCTGGTTGGTTCCCAACAATGACTTCACCATTCCCTCAGAAACATAACCAACTTGTCCCTCCCAATCTTTGGATGGTCGGTCAACCAGGTACATAACCCGCAGTCGATCCTTGTTTTCGGCTGCCAATTTATCCAGCTCTTCTCGAAGCAAGATGTCCTTTTCAGATTGGCTCCCGTAGATCAACCACATCTTGGTCTTGTCGGCTGGATTGTGAAGGATATGCTGGATAAGCTGATACATTGGTGTAATACCCGTACCACCTGCGATCTAAATAGCTTTTGTTGTTATTTTATTTTTGTTTGTGATATTACAATAAATAAATAAATAAATAAAATAAAAAAAAAAGCGTACCATGCCAATTTCTTGTCTTGAATTTGGTTGATAGTCGTACTCGATCATAGGGCCACGGACATGAATTACGTCGTGCAAGTCTGCTTTGGACAACATACGTGAGACAGAACCATTTTCATAGCGCTTGATGAGCAGATCGACATGACCATCCTGGTAAGGATCGGGATTGATTGGTGTGTAAGGCCGCATGACCTGAATCGAATCGTCTTTGATGTACACACTCGACATTACAGGATACTCTTTTGATTGCTGTCTTTCGGTCTCGAGGCGAAGACGGAATGTATCTGGACTGACTTGCTCTTTTTCCAACACTTTTAGACTTGTGTAGCGATCAGGCAACAAACGATGGGGAGGTACACTCGTCCATTGTGACCAACCGACAAGTCCTGCCATTGCAACGGGTGCAACATACTTTAAACGTCGCCACGCTGTTTGTTTTGTAGCCATTTCAGTAAAAAAAAATAAAAAATAACAACAAATAAAAAAATAAAAAAAATCAAACAATCAAGGAATCGATAATGATAACGAGATCTGTATGCAAATGAACCACAGATACAATCAACGAAATCAAACAATGGTAATCAACACACAACATATTATTAATTAATATAATAATTAACACACAGTCAAGTAACCAAGCAAGGGTCTTTTTCTTTTTTTGGATTATGTGACAGTAACCAACCAATCAAAAGAAATTAAAAAAAATATATAAAAAAAAAGAGCTTTATTGAATACCTCTTTTATAAATATATATATATATAATTCTTCTGATTAGGAATTATTTATTTTTATTTGTTACAAATTCAAGCTTTACAGCCCAATGAGTTCATCCACATTGCTTGTCGCTGGCACACCAGTACGACCTCTCCTTCTAAGCTATTGATTTTAACTTTTAGCTGACCAATTTCTCCCTCCAGACCTTCTCTGACCCTAATGTGCTCGGACTCTCTTTGGCGGAGCGTGCGTTCTGCCACACCTTGCCTCAGCTCTGCCTGGCGTTTGTCATATTCGTGCTGCTGCTGGTGGCAATAGACGTGTTCGAGTTCGTCTTCGAGTTCCATCACTCGGCACGCCAATAACCTTGTTTCGCGTGTGTGTTGAATCTGAAACACCATCTCTAGTCGTCGTCGTCCGTCCGGGTCAGAGAAACGGCTTGCGCTACCATCATAAGCACCACTCGTAAGGGCAGTTTGAGTCACACCAAGATCGCATTGCGTACTCTTATCTAAAGTGTGGGGTTGCGGTATTATGTTGTGAGGTTGTGGGGTTTTTCTTTCATTTATTTGGGTTTGGTTTGACACCTTGTGTTCCAATGCTGCTATTTGCAGAGACTGACGTTTTGTCTCTCTCTCTAAATCCATCGCGTGGCGTTCGGTTTCTTTCTGAAGTAACTTTAGAGCTTCCGTTGCCTTGTCTGAGCCAATTCCATTCTTATTGCTATTATTATCAGCATCATCATCATCATCATCATTAGTAGTAGTAGTAGTAGTAGTAGTACTTTGGGCCATAATCATCTCAAGACCGGCTCGCAATCGGGTCACTTGGGCTCGGTACCGTCTGGCCGTGTTTCGTGATTCTTCTAACTCGCGGGCTTGTGTGGCTAGCTTCTTGTGCAGCAGTACATCAAACGTTTGTTCAAGAGCTTTATTTTCATCAATGTCTGACATTGAATGATCACATCTATCCATCGGTTCTTTCCTTTTAATTTGTTTTACTTGATTTTTATATATATTTTTTGTTATTTTAAAAATCTTAAAAGAAAAAAAAAAGGTATACAGAAAATCAGTAAGAAAAAGAGAGGAAGAGAGAAAATATCTATTCAACGATTGAATTGGTTCTAATATCTGATTTGATTTTGAGCTGATGAAATAATAATCATACCAATATAACATAGACCATTGAACTTTGGCTCAGTACAGAACAGAACGATGACAAACCAGAAAATAAAATAAAATAAAAGAGGGGGGGGGAGACGACCTATAGTATAGTATAGTATGGTACAGACTGTATTAAAATTCAATTGGGTGCCGTTTGGTAGTAGTGATAATTATCTACTATGTATGGGGGAGGAGGGGGGGAGAATTAGAGGCAGAACGAACGGTTCAAAAAAAAAATACAGATTTTGCTCGGATACAAGAGCCGGTCCTTATCCCCCACACACCATTACAATCATCACTAACCATCGACTACCATCTTATTTTTTTTTAAAAAAAAAATTATGGTTATTATTTCTCCTCTCTTTATATTATACTCATTTGAAACCAAATTGATCAAGATATAAATATTACAAGCGTTTGATAAGCGGCCATAATCCTACTTGTATTCCCTTCTTTTTTTAAAAAAAAAAATCGAATCAAGAACCAATACGGATTGCATTATCCCGGATTCGGTTCACAATGCCGACTATAATACCAATCAATTGTGCATCTATCTTGTGCGCGTAGAACCAAGAAGTTAGATTTACTCTCTATTTTATTATTTATTATTTGGGCCTCCGCTTTTTTCTTTTTCAGTGGCATTTTGTTTTGTTTTATTTTATAGCATTGTAGACCGCATTACCTAATGCACGCCTGGAATTTTGTCAAGGGAGAAAAATAAATAAAGAAAGAATAAAATAAGAGGAGGAAGGGGTAGAAAAAAGGTAAAAGATAAAAGGGTAATAGTACTAAATGATTTCAAGAAACAATATCAAGATACCAAGATTTTCTTTAGGTAAATTATAAAGATCTTAATACACTTTATTGCTATGAAACATGGTGCAACTCTAAATATATACAGGCCATTCATAGAAATCATTATACGAGTAACCGTTGTACAAAGAAATCATAGCCAGGCACTGAGCTCCTTGGTCATGCTTGGACCAAAAACAAGCAACTGAATTTTTCTGTGTTTTTTTTTTTTTTTTCTATATACCCATGTCACATACTACGGCAGAATAATCAACTACACCAACAAAATTCCTTGGCTGCTCTTCTTCTTCTTGTAAGCAATTCACAGCTAAAATCAAGGCTATTATTGCATTAATTATAAAATTAATATTAATGTTTTATTTATTCTAGTAAACTCGTGGGCTGTCGATCCTTACTATCCATATATTATTTTTTTCTAGAATAGACTACACAAAGAGTTCTGTTACATTCGTAGCTCTAACCAGATGAAAGCCTGTTATTGTTCACAAGTTACTTTATATATATATATATAAGAGATTAAAGTGGCAGAGCAGGTGTTGTTTTGCCTAATTCAGGATTTTATCAATGTGCTCTAGTTAATTTGTAACATTTGCAACATCTTGGCAATAGAACATGCCATCAGGTCTCTCTATACCTCGAATTGATAATATACAAATGACGCTTTTAATTTATTTATTTCTCTTTTCTCTATACTAAACTTGGTATTATTATTTTTAAGATATATAAATGATTATGTCAATCAGACGATCGATGACAAAATACATAGTTTTATATAACCAATTGGCTGATTCTAATATATCTATATGCACACATTGAAGAAAGGAAACAATTTGTAATATGAAAATTTATGATTTTCACGAGATAAATATATATATATATACTTGCTACCTACAAGCTTGTAAAATAAGCATATCACAAACTTTGCCTTCATTCATCTCTTTCTTTACTACTACTATTTTTTTTGCCTTTGTTATATTTTGCTCTGACATAATAATGGTAATAATGATATCACTATTTATGCTAATAAGAAATCCAGTCTATCGTTATCTTGGACCTTGACCTTGACCTTGAACTTGATGTTGTTCTTTTGTGTATTCATATATTACAAATAACAGTGTGCCTTTATTATCAAGATTACTAAAATTCCTTATGCCAAAGACTATTTGCAGGTCCCAATATACTCTATCTAACATCATGATAATTCTGTGGTAAATAATCTCAGTCGCGTCGCTCATTGTTATATCGGCTCCTTCTGACATAAAGCTAAAAAAAAAGAAGGAGCTTTTTTTTTTGTCTCTTTTTGGAGAGGGAGGGAGGGGGTATGCCACTAATGTCGATACTGGAGTTGGTGCGATAGTTTCTTACTTCATTTCTGTACTTATATATTATGAAATACAAGTGAAGAAAGCGACATTTATACCGACATATCCACACACACACACACACACACACACACACATCATAAGAGTAGGTGCTGTGTTATGGCAAAATACCGATTTTTTATTATATTTGTCGAATTTTGGTTGCTTAGTTTATTTTATTTTTGTATTTCAGCAAATTTGCTCCCTTTTTGAAATTGGTACAGAATTCTATTGAGTTGCTACAAAATCCATGGCAATTTGAGTTGAATTTACCACAACATTCAAATAAAGAGACCGGATGTTCAAGTCTTCAAAGCGTTTGAAACACCGTAAAGTTTGGAGGGGAATTGTGGCAATTTGGAATCATTTTGCCATAACACAACACCTCTATTATGTGGGTAAAAATTCACCACAAGACAATTTATTAAATACAATTCAGGTGAATGTTTGTGTTATCATCAAATTTCTCTTTCTCTGTCTTTATTTGTTTTATTTACTGGTATTTTTTCAAGGCAGATCATACGCTATTATGTAATACTTGGTTCATTTAATTAGAAAGCAATATACATAATATACGTTTATTAATTTTGAGATTAATAATATAAAGAGGAAGAATATAAAAAATATACGCAATTTTTTTAGGTACAAGCCTTACTATTCAAATCCACTAATCGCTCTTAAAGCTTAGGAGCAAGACGGTGGTAAGGGATGGACAATGCACTGATAGCGTCAGCATACATCTACGAAAAAAAAAAGCCAACCAATTAATTAGTTAATATGAGAATTTATTGACATCAAGAGAGAGAGAGAAAAGGACTTTTTACATACCTCATCCTTCAATTGCTTGTAGCAAATACCAGCTTGGGCCTTGGGAGCCCATTTGAGAGCCAATTTCTTGGCCTGATCAAGTACCTCTGCACCAGGACAGATCACATCAACCATCTGTCGCTCCAATGCCTCCTTTGCAGTAAAGCGATGGCCTTGAAGGATAATGTTACGGAATGTTTCTGGTGTTGTCTTGCAACGGATAACCGCAAGCATTCCAGCAGATAGTGGTGAAGGCATATCAACTTCATTCTAATAAGATTTTTATGATAATTTATAGATATATAATAATAGTAATAAAGGTTAGTTGGTTTTCTGCCTTATTTGATTTGATTTGATTTTTTGTTCTTTGAAAATTTTACCATGCATATATAGCCACGGTCAGAGCGCATAACACGGTAATCTGATTAATGTTATAAAATATAATGAGTACATAATTATCAATAGCAGTAATAATAATAAATGTGCGCATGTATCTATTTACCGTGAGCAAAGGAAAACATGCACCCGCCAGCGAATGCGTGTCTGTAATTAAGTTTTTAGTAGTTTTCGATTATCGAGTTGATCTTTTCTTTCTTTCTTTTTAAAATTTTCTTTACCCATTGAGTGCAGCTATCGTGGGAATGCAGAATGTCAACATGCGCTTGAGAACATGGAGGTAAATGTCCATAAATGGAACGTAGGAGAGGGCATCCTCAAGCTCAAGACCATTACTAAAGATTTTATCTTCTCCAATGGTGATCAGGGCCATGTCACTTGGGTCCTCAGTGGCAAGGAAAGTATCTTCGACAATTTGAAGAGCAGTAAGGATTGCTTTGCAAGCCACGGTGGTGAAGCGGTTGTCCTTGTGGTGTAAGTGAAGGATGAACAAAGGACCCTCACGAGAGAGAGTCATTCGGTGGTCATTAGCAGAAGGAAGAGCGACTGGGAAAGTGACGGACATGATAATAGGAGTAGTAGGTGAGGTTTGCTTATTGGTTTAATTAAAGAGAGAGAGAAAGAGAAAGAATACATATAGACTTTTGTAAAGATTAAATATAAAAAAAAAATTACTGTTATCACATGAAGATATGTTTCCACGTCAGAAGCCAAAAAAAATACAGAGAATAGAGGACAGTAAAAATACAATGTAATTCGAGACGCGAATGAAAAGGGGGGTGTTTCGAGGTACACAAACCACCAAACCAACAAACCAAATACAGCTTACGTGATGGTAGATTCCAAGCCAATAAGATTGAAAATTTAGGGTTTTGATTTGAAAGACAAATGCGGGGAAACCCTTAGGTAAAAGAAAAGAGCTTTCTTTAACCAGAATTGATTTAATACAAAAGTCATTTTACTCTTCTTTCTGACAGTGCCTTTTCTTATGATAAGAAGTAGTTAAAGGTGTATAGATATATATATATATAATATAAAAAAAAATTGTATATAAGAATGTTGTGAGTACGTATACTTTGATTTCTTTGGCATGTGCTTTCTCCACAAAACTTTAAAAAAGAATAATCAATGGTTTAGCCATGCAGAATATTTCTCAGGACTTAAATATTAACAGCATTATAGCCTGATATTGATATTCATTACTAATGATATATGCGCTACGAGGGAGAGGGGGGCGCGTACTAGATCTTATATTTGATTGATTGACACATCTCGACGACAGGATTGTATGGTTCCTTTAAACTAAAAATAAATGGAATATGGTGTGTTCGGGAATAAATATCTAAGTTTTTAGGTGATTTTCAAAGTTCCATGACTTTTGCTACAGACAAGTTATAGAGAATTGCTTAAACATGTTTTATAGGGAAGACTCTTCTGAATAACTCTTGTTTAAAAGATTCTAAAAACAAGGCTTGAATAAAAAGTCATGGACCTTCAAAGTCAAGAGGTATCAATAGAAAATAGTGGAGTTTCAGCTTTTTCTTTAATATTGAAATGAAAAAGAGAGTCACTATAGCAACAGGTACATTTCAATGTTCTTAAAAAGGATAGTCGTGTAGCGTAAAATATTATTTTTTCGATTTTCTTTCTATATATATCGGGAATTTAATATATTTTACTATCGGAGTTTTCTTGGGGTAAAATTGAAAAGATTTCAAAACTTTGATGTTTATGCTCGAACACACCATAGAGTAAATGACATGTCTTATTTCTCATGTACATGCATGAATATATCCTATATACTTATTAAACGAAAATCAATGTATAATCTCCCTGTTTTCTATTAAAGTCATTGTGTCTTACCAAGGTCAACTAGAAGACGTTTCTTCTTCATTGACAAAGCCGACCATAATACACTAGATATCGCGCGAAATAGGTATGATATATTGTTAGTTAAAGATTCGGACTATCATTTTTTTATTTATTTGTGGATCAACCATAATGTTCAATGATCTCGCTCCTTATGTTTGTTCCTTGATTTTATTATTATTCTCTTACTTTAAATTCTATACTTACTTTACTAAGTACAAGATTCCTTGAATTGAAGTTTACTATATTGTCATTAATAAACTATTGGCACTTTGTTTTCTTTTTTTTGTTTTTTGTTTTTGATCCAGACAAGCAATTTCTGGGTAAAAAATTATATGTTGAACTGTTTATAAGAATGTCAAATTGGATAAAGTAATAAATACAGCATATAAATCTGTGATGTAGTCTAAGCCGAGCGTACAGACAGTTCAGCAAGCTGTAGAAAGGGTAGTGAGCTGTAACTGTCCTCTGTAAATCTCTAGTTGACTTGTATTACAATAGATGTCATTAACAAAAAAAAAAACACACAATACCACCATTCTAATAAACATCTCTTTTTTTTGTGTAAAGTTTATAATTGGAGCCAAAGACAGTGGTCTCTTAGGTTCATAGAAGTAGTCATAACAGAAAGTTGAACGATCCTCTATTAGAACACACTAAATATCTACTGTGACATTCTTTATTATCCCTCTCCTTTACATCAATAATACTATACGTTTTTGTCATCCTCGTCTACGAAGATACACAAATACACTGCATCTAAAGCCAAAGATCCTTAAACGTCACAATATTACAAGATACCAACCAACAGAGATTATCCTTATGATATTAAATAACCTTTTGTAATTATTTTCAGTAGTTTCATAATGGTAATAACTGAAATATGTATTGTTCATTAGCACCGATAGTACTTTGAATTATTATTATTTTGTTCGTACAAGATAATAGTATAATAAGTTCGGGATTTTTCTCTTTATTTTGTTTTGGTTATTACATAAAGAAGAATGGCAAAGGGAAGCAAAGGGGTGGGAAGGGAAGGATATCAAGAGATGGAGATATTGGTTTGGTTGAAGAATGAGTTGAGAGGTAAGAACAAAGAAATTAAAGCGAATAATTGGAGTGGAATGAAGTGGTATGGAGGTTTTGTAGGAAATCCTCCCTTTTGTCCTCATTCAATATTTTTTCTTTCTCTGTCTCTCTTTTGATATATATATATATTTAAACAGAACCAACAATTTCGTCAGCCTTTTGTAATGCCTAATTGAAAATATAATAAAGTATTAGTAAATCAAAAGAATGCGGTTGTAATACACGATTAATATCAATCCTTTGGTCCTTTCTTGATCTTCCTATATACAAAACACACACACACACACACACACACACACACACACAAATAATACTCACTCCAATCATCTTTCTACACTCCTTGCGTCTCTGCTTAGTAACATCAGATTCTTGCAAGAGTTCTTCAAGAACATCAGGCTTGTAGAGTTCAGAAAGCAATTCACGCTGTAATTCTTCTCTGGCGTGGTTCACAAGTTTGAGCATAACAGCCTTGGGAACCATGTCAATCATTGTACGCTTCACAATATTGTAGTATGATTGAATCAGAAGCTCTGAAATTATAAGAAAAGAAAAGTAAGGTTGTTAAAGGGTTATTATCATTAATTAAGTATAGTTCACTGTTAAACTACTAATCACGGCTGTACTAAACCGTACTGTGTGACCAAAGATCTCGTTTTCTCTTTATTTTGTTTCTATCTATTTATCCTTTATTACTTACTGATGACTTCGGTTTCCATATATTCACGATCAGATAAAGCACCCATTGCCTTGAGCATAGCAGGTGGCTGTATCCCCATAAATATAAACATTATATATTATTATAAGTTCCCCTCTAAAATTAGCCAACTGGTTAACATAGTAGTTTGAATTCAACTTACGGCTTCCATAACATTTCCAGCAGACTGTTTCTTGGTCTTCTTTCCGCCTGAGAAGAAGGAACCAAAGAAGGAACCATTGGTGTCAGATTCCTGGCTAGAAGAAGTGGAGTTGCTAGCCTGAAGTACATTTAATTGTTGAGCAGACTTGTTGATCTTTGGGTTTTCGGGAGCAGCAAGTGCCTGTTGCTTATTGTGGATTTGATCATTGACCATAGCAATGGCTTGGTGGCCATTCAAGAAGTCAGGATGTGCGGTATTAATGTAGCATGATTCCATACTAGCAAATAAACAAACAAATTAGTCGAATCCAGAACAAAGAAAGCAAATAAGATAAAATAAAACCAAGCAAAATACATACGCTACTAAATCGGTGACAAGCTTGCTGGTAGGAGTCAAAGCTTTCTTGAAGAATGACAAGACAACTTGGTAGAATTTTTCCTTTAGTGTAGGGAAGCGCTTGAAGAACTACATCACATATACACAATAAAATGGTACATTATAAGAAAGTTGATTTAGTTATAGCCCTTATTACACATCCCCCACAAGCTGCTCTTTCGTATAGTTATATTTATATACCTGTTTGTTAAGCAGCTGCCCCAAAATTCTAACAAGCTCATCATACACCATGTTGATACACTTGACACTCGGGTCTTCAAGTCGCTTGATCTGGTGTTTGATGATGACCTCAAATGCAGTTGTGGCCACAAATAATGCAGGAGAAGAACCCTAGAAATTTGATCCACACACATGCTGTGTTAGTGATTATCTGCCTATTGTCACATTGTCTTATTATTATTATTATTATTCTTATTTTGCATTTGCATATGCATATAAATTCCAGAATGATAATTCAAGTCACTCAACTGATGAATTGTAAAGAATGGTACGGATGTCAACATCCTTGATTTGATCAAGAGGATCAATGCTCTTTACACCATTAGAATAAACTTCGTGGAACACAAAGCTGATACGTGCGCCACCAGACAACTCAAAGCTCGAGAGATCGTTTGAGTTACCATCAAGAATAGTACGGAACTCGGTACAGAATTCAGTGATGATATTCAAGACCAATCCTGCGTTGTTCTCTTCTGAAGGATCACCCAACTGTAAGAGTTCTTGCTGGTACTTTACCAACGTGGCTTGAATCTTGGCTTTAATTTCTGGCAAGGTATTACGGATGTGAAGCATGAGAATCTATTATTATTATTATATATTTTATATATATATTCCTTATCATAATTATTATCATTATCATCATGCTTATTAAAACACTTAAGTAAAAGAATTTTTTTATTTACCGTATTAAGTTTGCGGGCCAAGAATGGAGTACCGCAATACATCGCTTTGCTTCTGTATGAAGCGTGATTTTCAAAGTACTCTCTCTCAGAATCAAGAGCCTTGAAGATAGACTTTTTACGCTCAATATCTCTCTGACCACGGTTAACCACGGGAACATAACCTTTTCATACAAAGTATAAGTATACATGCACATACATATACACATACACATAAACACCTTATTTGAAACTTACCGAGTTTGAGGGGAATTACTCTTCCGGCCAAAATGTCAATGACATCTGTACCCTCGTCCATCAAATCAATCTTGGTGAGTACACCAATGGTACGCAGACCTTCAGGATCAACTTCTCGGGCCAATTTGAGACCAGAAGAATTGGCAAGATCGGTGTTTGCAGATGTTACAGCCAGGATAATAGCATTTGGCTTGGTGATGTACTTGAGGATCATGTCTCGGATCTGTCTCTCGATGTCCTTTGGCTGATCACCAACAGGCACCTGAGTCATGCCGGGAAGATCAACCAAGGTGAGAGTAAGAACATTGGGTGAGTAGATACGCAAATTGATCGGTTGAGGGGAGATGCCTAGATCCGAGATGATTATTAGTATTAGTATTAGTATTAGTATTAGTATTAGTATTAGTATTAGTATTAGTATTAGTATTAGTATTAGTATTGTATATATATATATATTTCACATGTGAATACAACAGGTATTACACAACCAAAAATAAAATAAAATAAAGAATAAACATGTAATATATGTATATGAACTCTAATACATTAATATTATTCTTGTTTTATTTATTTTTTGACATGGTCCGTCTATTTCCCTCTTTCTATATCTATATATATTTGAATATTTACCAAGGTTCTTTCCAGTCTTGAGTTCGGTATCCTTGATAATTTCTTCTCTAATCTTTTCAAAATTGTGGAATTTTTGTCCTGGAAGATGGAGGAACTCTCCCCATTCATCGGGATTTTCATGATCATTGCCATGAGCGGATGGGTCTTCCGAACCTTCGGCTGGTTTGGAGGTTCCCGGTCGGTTGATCAATTGAAGAATCTTAATATACAATCATATATATATATATTTCAAAAATAAATAAAAATGTAAAGTTAAAAAACTGAACCGAGATTCCTCCAATGTGATTGTATATATATATATATAGTTTTTTTTGGACTGAATTGATAAAGAAATAAAGCCAATATATATGGATGTGTGGTTGTTATTACCAATGGACGACGCGTAACGATACCAGTTCCTCGAGGAAGAAAATCACGGCCGACAATGTTCTCCAGGACAGAACTTTTTCCACTCGATTGAGAGCCAATGACAGCGATCTGAGGCAAATCAACAGGGTTGTGAACACCCACAGTGGAGAATGCGTCCTGAAGTTTATTGACTGAAGAAGTATAGTAAGAAGACGGTATAAAGATAGAGAGAAGCGCAGTTTAATATATATTGAATTTACAAAGTTGATGAGGAATTAAGAAAGAAAAACGAGTAAATGTGAATGAGCAAGTTGATGAGTATAAGAGAAATAATACATATCGAAAAAGGTACTATTAAGTTTATCTTGGCCCTTTACTTTATTTCATTCTATCTTGTTTTTTTTTATCTTATTCGTTCTTTTTGTTATATAATATATGCATATATTTGCTTCATAAGAAATAGGGCCTTTTCTTACCTGTTCTAATAAGACTTGAGTCCATTGTATGATACTATTATTATTGGGTATTTCTTCTTTGATTAAAAATAAAGAAAGGAAGAAAGAGTGTAGCCAAGAAAAGATTGTTAAAGGGGAAAAAAAGGGGGGAAACAAGAGTGGAGTACAAAAAGGGATACTTTTGCTGAAGAAGTCTACGTCACCGGTGTGGACTTGACTTGACTTGACTTGACTTGGCTTGACCTGTCTATCGTTTTTGATTGTATGTTAAAAAGGTTTAGACGCAATATTATGCAATAACATGCAATAAAAATGAATCGAATATATACACAATATATAATAGTAAAAAGTAAACAAAAATGAATTGGGTAAAATAAAAATAAGAAATGTGAATGTGACAATGAAGATATCTTGTAGTTGGTTATAGTGACGACAATGGTGATTATATCGCTTTCTCTCTGTCTCTTTACATGTTCTCTTATCCTTAATACTATGATGTCAAATCTCAATTTCATACTCTATCTATATCTCTTTCTATAGCTCTAGTATTTATATCTTCTTTTTCTAAAAAAAAAAAAAAAAAGGAAAATATATCCCCATATATGTACAATTATGCTCATTCTCATGCTCTCCTTGTTTCTGCTCTTGCTCTTGCTCATACTCATAATATAACACAGAAAAGTAAATAAATAAGTAAAAAAAGAAATGTGGAGGGAATCTACTGCCAAAGATCTTTGACAGTACTGACATAGTTTCGTTCAGGATAATAATAGCGTCTTTGACCGTATATGTCGTAGGCAGGTTGGGCATAAGGATAGGGCTGATAGGCAGGGTTTTGCGCAGCATAATATGGATCATAAGGATTAGGAGACATGGGATATGCCTGTGGTATCTGGATTGGTATTCCCATTGGCTGTGGCTGTGGTTGTGGTTGTGGTTGTGCCATCATCTGGACAGGTTGATTATATTGAGGCCCATATCCAGGAATCATTCCATATTGTGGCTGGTAGGACGGTTGTTGATAAATTCCTCCGTACGGCTGTCCCATTGGCTGCATCGGTGTCATTAGTGGCTGCATTAGTGGCTGACCAGTAGAATACATTTGATATGCTGCTTGCTGCTGCTGTTGTTGTTGCTGATGTTGTAGCTGTAGTTGTTGCGCTTGGGCCTGAGCTTGTGCTTGTGCTTGTGCGTGTGCTTGAGCCTGAAATTGAGCTTGCGCCTGAAATTGAGCCTGTGCCTGAGCCTGTGCCTGTGCTTGTGCCTGAGCCTGTGCTTGTACTTGTGCTTGTTGTGCTTGTTGTGCTTGTTGTGCTTGTTGTGCCTGTTGTGCCTGTTGTGCCTGTTGTGCTTGAGCTTGAGCCTGTGCCTGTGCCTGTGCTTGAACCTGTTGTGCTTGCTGCTGATAACTACCGGATATTTGTACGTTCTCTGGGACTGGCATCCTCGTCTGCCCATATTGATCATCCCTTGGGACTGCTTGGGGATGTCCAGAAGGGCTATACCAGGTCTGATGATAAGGATCTCCGGTATTGTAGATACCAGCAGCTTCTCTCATCTTCCGTCGTATTGTACTCATCAATCCTATATTCTGGGTTTCCATCGCTGCAAGCTGTGGTGGTTGTGGCATTTGTTGTGGGTCAACTATGGCTGTCTGTGGTGTTGGGGTAGGCATTCCGGATTGATTATATGTTGAAGTGTTGAACATGATATTTTGTCGATTGTTGATAAGTGTGTGTTAAAAAAAAATATACAGGTGATTATGATTATGATTATTATCTATTGATTTTTTTTTGTTTTTGGTCTATAAGCCGTAAATCCAATTAATTGATTGATCTATGGGCGAGGCGTCGAATAAAAAGAAGTATAAAAAGAAGAGTAAGAGTAAAGAAGAGGGGGAGGAGGAAGAAGGAAAAAAACAACAACAAGACAAGAAGAGGTTGTTTCCGGAAACCTCATTTGTCTCATACTTACCATTGAACAGATACTAAATAAGGAAACAACAATAATAACGTGTCCTTGGTCACCTTGGAGATCATAATTCACTTTTTCTTTTGGTTACTTTTCTTTGGCTTGAGGGTCATCCCTACAGTGAGGCATTGTACATTATTTCTTTGCTGCTTTTAAATAATTGAGTTACACTTCTTGATCTTCTTCTTGATCTTAATTTATATATATATGTATGTATATTTTACGCCTTTGTGTGTACGTATATACAATTTCTTTAACTATCTGTGAGTCATTTTTAGTAGTGAAAAACAATGCTTTATATAGAAATTATACAGTAAAACACACTATACAGGGCGCACGATTTGAAAGTACAAGTCGCACTTTTAAGAGTTATAACTGTTACGAATAGATCTTTTCCAGTAAACGGTACAAAAAAAAGTATTAAGTTATAAAGTAACACCTTAAATATTTTTACCATTATTCCTTTATATAATATTCAGCCTACACTTCGTTTAAATGTAAAATACTATTGGACATCTTCTTTTATTCCAAATATGCGACCTACATTTTGAAATTATACGCCTTACAAATGCATTTCACTATATTTGGTGCAAAAAGTCCTTTTTGTTAGTTGTCTTTTATTGTGGGTTTTCTTCCGCTCTTTTTCATTTGTCTTAGAAGATCAAGTCTTTGGATATTTCTATTGATATTGATATTGATATGTATGTATGTATGCACGTTTATGTATGTATCTGTGCGTATGCAAGGAGGTATAGAGAAGCAAATAAAAATAAAGATAAGTATAAAATAAACTACAAGATTGTGAGGGAGACTAGATCAAATCAAGTAAAAAAATATAAAGATAAACATTTTGCCCTTTCTTGGGATGTATGGTTCTTGCTTGTACTTCACTGTCAGATAGGCAAAAAGAAGGAATGGCTATATTATAGGCCTGTTGTGTCACACAAGAACACAGAAAGTAGCTCCTAATACTACCGCCTCTTTACTTATTAATAGGTTACTCACGGCTTTTATATATAAATTTATATATACATACATACATATATACATAATCTCTAGTCCCCACGATCAGATGATTGTATATTCAAGATGTTGTACATACAGGGAGCAACACGTATTCTGTCTTCAAAAAATAAACAGTAGAACAAAACCAAAAAGAAAAAAAAAGAAATGACAGAATAAAAGTCATTATTTTATTTTCAAAATACGAGTATCAGATCAGAAACCTCATAATAGTAATATATATATATATATATATATATATATAAAATATAGAGAAACAAAGGAATAATCCAACAAGACCTCTTTCAATTGTATATTTTACTTTCTTCCCCTTTCTTATTTATCTCCTATTTGTCTTTTTTCTTTCTTTTATCAATTCACGCACGCTCTTTCTTATTGACCTATTGATCTATTGACCTATTTCTTCCTTTCATATTTTTTGTCCATTAAATAAAAGCATGAGCACAAGCAGTCAATTGACGGTTCCAAAGAAACCCTTGGCTCAATGGACAGAATCAGCCATTGCGTCCTGTATTGCTGGTTCATTAATCCTTTGGGCTTCAACCGGTATCCGCCAAACGTTTGGTCTCTTCTTGATTCCAGTAACCCGAGAGACAGGCTGGGATCGCACATCTTTCTCCATAGCCGCGGCCCTTTTACAACTGTTTTTTGGATTTGCTCAACCATTTCTGGTTTATCTAGCCGAACGAAAATTTGGATTCGGAATGACAATTTTCGTAGGAAGCGTATTTTATGGTGTGGGGTGTTTCATAATGTACGGCTCGTCCGGTTCTTCGGGCTTGTTTATCTTCAGTATGGGCGTTGTTGTGGGAGTTTCTGCTGGCATGAACTCCTTCCCAATCGTTCTTGGAGCCATTGGACGCCGTCTCCCTCTCCATAGCAAACGACAAAAGATGGCTTTTGGTATCGTATCAAGTTTCGGCAGTTTCGGTCAATGCTGTTTCTTACCAATTGCAAGAGCAATGATCGAAAGCATCGGCTGGAAGAACACTTCACTAGTACTTGGTAAGTACGACAAAAGATCAACAGCAGCAGAAGTAGTAGCAGTAACAGTAACATTAGCAGTAGCAGCAACAATATATATATATACTCATATACATATAAATAGATAGATAAATAGATAAATATATAGATAAAATAACTAGAATAAAATTCAGTGTAATACAATACGAAAAGTCTTTTTATATATATAAATACAAATAGAAAAAATAGACTAGATTACTTGAAATAACCATGTATTTTGTGTTATTATTCCGGGGTTAGGCGCCATAATGGTTGGACTAGCTCCTCTTAGCATTTTTCTTAAAACAATGCCTCGCGTACTTGCCGAACCCGAGGTTGACTCAATCGAAACCCCTAAAGAAGTCGTCTGTACTACAGAAGATATCAGCGAAAAAGAAAAGGCGGGAAGAGAACACGTTGAGAAACCAGCGTCTTCTGAAGAATCGGAAGCAGAGGATTCTAATGGGGTTATGGCAGTTATCGCTAAGGCTATGACGAACTCATCCTTCTTACTCATCTCAGCAGCCTTCTTTGTCTGTGGTTTCCACGTTTCATTTATATCTACGCATTTTCCTGCTTATTTGGTAGGTTCTGCATTCATTCAATTAGAGGTGTATTTATATTTCTATTTGTATGTGCGTGCATTTGCACATCATGTTTCAAAGAAATGTCATCTTAATTTTTACTTATAATTTACATCATTTTTGCTTTGTCTTAAAAAAAAACTATGTAAAATAGGAAGATCATGGTATTAGTTCTTCAATTGGAGGTAAATATTATTATTTTTTTATATAGAGTCTATTAAAATCCAAAACAAAACAAACAAAAGAAAACTTAAATATAAACCCTTATTTTCTTTATGTTTTTTTTTATAAAAAAATCATTGTGTTAGCATGGACTATCTCTGTCATTGGTTTGGGTTCCATGCTTGGTACAATTCTGACTGGATATCTTAATACTATCATCAGACCAAAGTATACTCTTGCTGGTCTCTTCTTTGGAAGAGTCATTATGACCGTTGTTCTGCTGTGGACACCATTATCTATTGGAACAGCTTTTGTGTTTTCAGTCTTTGTTGGAGTAAGTTGATTGAATTGACTAACTTAGATAATCAAAACCCTTTTTATTTTCTATTTTGCTTATTTTTATATTTAATTTTACATAGATTTGTTGGCTGTCAACTGTACCGCCAATGACTCAATTTATCAGTGACATCTTTGGACATGAGTATATTGGTACCTTGTTTTCTTTATCTTTTGTTGGCAAGTATTTTTATATTTACATGCATATATATATGTAATGTTCAATTTCTTTCTATTGGCTCGTAAAACTAATGTATTTGACGAATAGGTCATCAAGTTGGTGGCTTCATCGGTGCATATGTTGCTGGTAGAGTCTATGACACTACTGGGAGCTATTTGCGTATGTGGTATGTCACACTTGCTTTGACAGGCTTTGCGACAATATGTGTTCTGTTGGCTCCAAATGGCGAGAAGGCAAGACCTTTAAGGACCAAGAATCAACCAGAAAAAGCATGATAGAATACAACAACAAAAATTATATTTAAATCAAAGTATTCTAAAATAAATCAATACAAAGTACATAATACATTTCTATCTCTCTATCTCTCTATCTCAAGTGGCTTTGAACGCATTACCCACACATGTACCTATATATCCATATAAATATTCTATTAATTCTGAATTTTTATTACTAAGAGTAATAAGGATTGTATATTTTGAATATACTTGTTTATCAAGGCAAATAAAGTAATAGCTACATATATAACTCTCGTTGTTATTTTTCTCTTGTAGAAATCAAATCTCTTTCATATGTATGGGTATTTTTCAGATACCGACGCAAAACCGCAAACCCCGCCGGAACTCTACAAAATTGATGTGGGCCTCGGTGCAATAAAGTCTTCCCTTTTCACCAAGCCTTCGACACAGCAATATGACTGTAAGTATGGATTACTCGTCGTTTTTGTTGGGTTTTTGGATGGATGGATGTATTAGAAGGGTAGATGGATAAAGAAGTACCCCAATTTTTTTTGATGGAAGACAAAAGAAAATTATATATATATATATATATACATACACATACCACACATCATGCTACCATGTTGACTTCCAATAAAATAATCGCACAACAAATGGAATCACCTTTTTTTTTTGAACCCATAAACAAGAAAAAGAAAAGAAAACATACAAATATGCCTTATCAAATACCTTCAACAAATCACAATTCATTATTGTTTTTTTTAATACGATTTATACACCAACCAAACCCATCCAAAAAAGCCAAACTCGACTTTTTCTTTATGATTATACATTGATAATTGTGGAATAAATAAAGAAATGAACGTTTATTAATCAATAACTTTTATTATACTTTTCTATACATGTATATACATATACACGCATGCCTACCTACAAATACCTACCTTCCTACCTACCTACCTACCTACATATTGTTCTTGTAAACAATCACTCTACTTTGAACTACGGATAATAATAGTTGGCCGTCGATCTCCTGAACCCCTCCATCGAGCATGAGAAGCGCTCTCACAAGCTTAAGAGACTCGTACAGTCTCCCAACTCCTACTTCATGGATGTCAAGTGCCCCGGATGTTTGAACATCAGCACTGTCTTCTCCCACGCCCAGACTGTTGTCTTGTGCTCGTCCTGCGGTACTGTCCTCTGCCAGCCCACTGGTGGTAAAGCCCGTTTGACCGAAGGTAAATATATTGTTTGTTTATTTGTTTTTATTGGAAAACAGGCAAAGTGGAAGGGGGTAATAGTTTTTTTTTTAGAGAAGACGCGTATTTGTGCATATATGAAGAAAGAATTTTTGGTGTCTAATGTATACTTTCTGAAATTATTTTTGTTATAGGTTCTTCTTTCCGCAGAAAGAACAACTAAAGAAACAAACTATAGTTCTTTAATGATTTTACCAAATTCTTTATAAAAAAACTAGTACGAAGGACTTATTGTCCTAAGTTCCTTTATATTTTTTTTAATATATATTTCTTTAAATATCACGGTAAATATCTCTATTGTATCTATTTTGATGGATCTTCTTTGCGGATACATTCATAAACTGGGTTGGGTTTTTTATAAACTGTGATAAGGATATTCTCTTACTCTTTATTATTGAGTATGTATACGAAAAGGAGAGAGGTAGAAGGAGTGTATGTATGTGTGTATAAGTATATAAATGTACATTCGGATTTGTGTACTTTCATGAGACAGTCACTGGGCACAGTCATGTTGTGCTTGGTCAATTTTGTTTATGTGTTGATAAGAGAAATGAATTGATTTTCAAACATAAATATACTCATATACACATGAGTATATTCGTTTAATGGTCTATAATTCAGTCCCCAACCAACCCCCAAAAAACAATAATAATAGTAACCCTATATAAACAGCTACAAATATATATTTATATTTATATGTACATTATATATGTAACTGTGTTTCTAGGCAATACAGTCTGTTCTCCCTCAGCCCTGACTCTCAAAAGTAAAAAAAAAAAAAAAAAAAAAAATTGTGCCCAAAGCTTGACACTATTAAGAAAAAAAAAAAGTCCAAAGCAAGACAAGATAAGACAAGATTTAATAAGAACGTTGCAGAACACTCTCGTTAGACCCAATCAATTGGTTCTCTCCCTCCTTCCTTCCTTTTTTTTCCCTTTTCTTTTGCTTTCTTTCTTTCTCTATTATTTATTTATTTATATATTATTTATATATTATATATATCTTTAAACAATTAAAGAAAGAAAGCATTTTGTGTAAAGGAATCTCTTTTAATGGTACTCGATTGGGTGGATCGCACGATTCCTCAGAAAAAACGGTGGATCCTGTCTGTCTGTCTTGGCCAAGTTCTCTCATTGTGCATCACTGCCACAAGTTCAGCTTCATCAGCATTATGGCAGCATCATTCTGTCAGCATTCCATTCACACAAAACTTTTGTAATTATCTTTTACTGGCTATTGTCTATGGTGTTTTCAAAACGTCAATTAAACGAGACCAAGACCAAGACCGAGAACGAGACCAGGAACATGGACATGAGAATGAAGATGAACATGAACATGAACATGAACATGAACATGAACTAGAGCAGCACTCGGTGGGAGGCTGGAAATGTAAATTATTAAATCGAGCACAAATATCATAGATAACATAATACACAGATAGATATAGATATAGTTATCCAAATTGTAAATTATCTATATATCTATCTGTATATATGTATATATGCTGTGTATCAAATTATACATTATTCACCCCTTTCTCTTTTTTTATATTCTAGTCCTTGGATACTCATTTGCAGATGTTCAAGGTAAAAAAAGAAGAAGAAGAAGCAAGAAATAATGGTATCAGTTTCAAATTAAACACTTCTTTATATATTAATTCAAATACCAATTTTTATTTTATTTTAACATTAATAATATACTTCTTCTTCTACTACTTCTTTTTTTTCTTTAAAAAAATGTAATATCATAATAATAATCATAATCATAATCATATATTTATACATATGTATATATAAATGTGCATACATGTGTATGGATGTATGGGTGTATGGGTGTGTGTAGCCAATGTTCTGGCAGTATTGGCTTTTAAAAGTACATCAGTATTGTCTGCCCTTATTCTATCATCATGGACACTTCCTTGTATCATGTTGCTGTCTATAGCATTTCTGGGTGCTCGTTACAATTTGACCCACTTTGCAGGAGTTTTTCTTTGCCTGGCTGGGTTGGGGATGCTGATTTGGTCAGATGTGGCAGGTCAGCAAGGATCCACAGGTATAATACATCTATAAATATTTAAGTATGAGAAATAGAAAGAGAGGAGAAAAGTCTAATGGTTGTAGTTGGAACGAATAATGGGATTTCTTGATCCGAACGGTCGGGACATCCTCTTATATTCATGCCTTGATTCATTGATTCATTGATTTGTAAAATGTATTTAGATAATCACAGCTGGATAGGGGATATTGTGTGCGTAAGTTTGATTATCTGATATGATATGATATGATATAATATGATTTTTTCAAGATTATTGACCAATTAACAAAATTATGCGTACTTATACATATATATATATGCGTATTGTAGCTGTTAAGTGCCACACTTTATGCCGTTAGCAATGTAACCGAAGAGTATCTTGTGGTGCATTATCCAGCTCAGGAGTTCCTCAGTAGAGCTGGTTTTTGGGGTTCAATTATCTGTGGATTTCAAGCGTGAGTAACACAATCGGTCTTTGAGAGTAACACTAATTAAAGGGTCCAATTTATATACAAATTCATACATATTTTAGATTTTATTATGAGCACGAAAAATTGGTTTCTATTGAGTGGACTTGGACAATAGGTATATTATTATTATTATTATTATTATTATTGTATGTGACTAATGAGTGGTTGTGTAAATAAGCTGGTCTTGTTGGAGTCTATGTGTTTTGCCTGTTCAGCATGTACTCGCTTGCTCCTACTCTTTATCGTCTTTCGAGTGCAACTTTTATGAGCATGAGTTTAATGACAAGTAACTTTTATTCTCTGGTGGCAGGTCTTGTATTTTTAGGTGCAAAGGTAAATACAAATACACACACACATATATATATATATATATATATATATATACATTTGGTAGTATTTCTAAAATTCGTTTCATTAGATGCCATCGTTTTATCCACTAGCCTATGCTCTTGTGCTTTGTGGAGTAACGACCTATAACATGTCACCGTATATATCTAGTGATTCGGTTCTAGAAGAGCAGATCATTAAGACATCTGGAGGATCATACAGATCTATTTCACCGTCTGAATCTGTTTAATGATTAAATTAATATACATATATCTCTTTTCTTTTCTTTTTTTTTGTTTTTGTTTTCTAGAATTTAATATAATTTTCAATATATAAAGACATTTTATAATATTTTGTGCCAATAGATTACTTTGAGATAGGTCTTACAAATATGTGCCATAAACCAGTATATAGGTACTTATACCTACTCCATTAAATAAATAAATAAAATGTAGATTATTGTTATTTTTTTTAAAGCCGCTTCTAAAGAAGAAAACAAAGAAGGATTCTTTCTGTTAAACATGAACGTGTGTATATATATAAAGAGATGAGGCATTTATTGTTTTTAGCGGACAAGGAACAAAAGAAGATCCTATCAATACAAATGTTTCAATTCTTAAAAGAAGAAATCTTTTGAATGAATAAAAATCCCCAATAATACGGTTGTATATACGTACATAGTAGATATAGATATATAGGTACATAGGTACATAGGTACAAGTGATTAGTAAACATATTTGCTTTAATGAGATTATTCGTGTTTAATATATATACAAAGGAATCGAGATGTCGCTATGTTATACAAATGTATATGATATGTTACAGCCTTTCTTTTTTAATTTCTAATATTATTTTTCATTTTATTTTATCTGATAAATATATGAATCCAACGCGTGTTTCAAAATTTTGGACAGAAAACACAAATTGTTCATTTTAAAATATATATAATATAACTACTAAAAAGTGAGTAAGAACGGACCCTACATTAAATATGTATTCATCTCACGTGCACAAGATGTTGCAATCCAATCTCAGTCTACTGTATCACCAAGGAAGAATAAATAAAATAAATAAAAACATCTATCTAAGCGCGGGTTGAACAAAAACATTTGTCCCAATTTGACAGCATTTTTATTTTATATATGTATTTATATATTGTGTGTATAAATAATTTTTATTTTATTTTATTTTATTATATATATTATATTATATTATATTTTTGTTATATATATATATATATTAAAGAGCAGCAATGACAGCCTTTGTGAATTCAGTAGTAGAGCTCTTTCCACCCATGTCGCGAGTGTTGGACTATAAAGAACAGCAAATTAATACATATATAAAATACAAGCACCAAAAGGTAAGAAAGAGAATGAAGGTGAAAAAATAAAGGAATATAAAGGAATATGCCCCTTTTCTCCCCCGCGCTCCGTTCCTCCCCGCTCCTAGAGATTAAATGTTAGATTGACTTATAACTTACATGACCAGACTGGACAGTGGTGTAGACAGCATTAGAGATAGTGTTGGCATGTTCAGCCAATCCAAGGTGTCTCAACATCATGACAGAGCTGAGCAACATGGCGGTAGGGTTAGCGATGTTACTTCCTCCGATGTCAGCACCAACATGACGACATCCCTAAGTAATTAGACAACAACAATAGATAGATATACGTTTGTGTGTTTGTGAGAAACATTGTACAATATTGTGTTGTAACATAAATGCATGGTCGTGCAACAAAAAAGAAAGGAGAGAAAAAGAAAAAAAACTTACGGGCTCAAAGACAGCATATTCACGACCAAAGTTGGATCCAGGAATGATACCAGGACCACCAACCAAACCAGCTCCAATGTTGGAGAGAATGCTGCCGTACAAGTTAGGCATAACCATCACGTCGAATTGCTGAGGGCGAGAGACCAATTGCATAGAGGCGTTATCGACAATCATGTCATTGAACTCAATACCATTCAGGCTGTATTCCTTGGCAACCTCACGACAGGTGTTGAGGAAGAGACCATCACCGAGTTTCCTTACAGACGCAAACACAATCACAAATGCAGAAAAAGAAGAAGAAAAAAGAAGAGTATATTCTAAGTTTAGAAAGCCACTCCCCATATATCTATGCAACACAAAAGGCTAAATAGAAGTGATACTAAAGATGCCTTACATGATGTTTGCCTTGTGGATACAAGTAACCTTCTTACGGTTGTTCTTGAGTGCGAAGTCGAAAGCGAAACGAGCAATACGCTCGGTTTTGGTGCGGGTCACGATCTTTAAGGATTCTACGATACCTGGGATTGACTAGAATAGAAACTGATGAGTAACAATTTATTGATACAGAGTTTATCCAACAATGTGTGTGTGTGCACATATGCATATTTATATATATATATATTACCTGGTGCTCGAGTCCCGAGTATTCTCCCTCTGTGTTTTCACGAATGATAGCGAGATCAATGTTCTTGAAGCGCGAAGGAACACCTGGCATGTTACGAACCAAGGATGTTGAAGCATAAATATCCAAATCCTAAATTTATAGTTATAATTAATAATTCAAGTATATGTACAAGAAACCTGCATTATTTCTTATTATCATTTTACCTTTCTCATGGAAACGTTGAATGAAGCATGGCCGAGTCTAGAGACAGGTGTGTACAAGATACCCTTGAGACCGACCTTGTTGCGGCGAAGAGATGCCAAGGTTTCCTTCATGAGCTTGTCGTTCAAATCAACATGACCCGAGAGGTCAAACTGTTCCCATTCAACTGGAACATTTGCAGCAGAAAATACAGCCTTGACAGACTCTGCGAGTTCCTTTCCAACACCATCACCAGGAATAAGAGTAACCAAGGTCTTTGTCTGGTCTCTAACCTGAGCCTAAAGATTTATAGATACACAGCACAGCACAGCACAGCACAGCACAAATTTATTGGAGAATAGAAAAGAGGTTTAATTGTTAGGTTTCCGTCGGTTTTTTCCCCTCTTTTCTTCCTTTCGTTCTTTTGTGTACAGACAAGCGTTTATACACAGTTATTTTTTTTTTACTCACTGCTTGCTCACCAGGCGAAACTGCTAAAGTGGCATTTGTGGAAGCAAAGCTGCGCGTGATAATAGACTACAACAATAGATATATAAATAAATTGAACCTTGCTTAATGAGTATACTGAGATTCCACACCAGAAAAAAAAACCAAAAACCAAAAACCAAAAACATATAAACATATAAACACACACATATATATACACTTTTTCGTGTGCTATTCTTATTCCTATTGTATATCTAATATAAAACTGTTCCCAATTTTTCTGGCTTTATTTCATTTGCTTACTCTAGGAGTGGTGGCAATCAAGGGTCTGGCAAGTGTTCTCAACATTGTTCTTTAGTGATTTGGATGATTCCTTTTTTTTTTATGTATAGAGAAAAGAAATAATAAAAAAAAATTAAAAAAAGGGACCCCCTTCCATTCATTCAAAAGGATATTTTGTGACGTAGAATATTTTTAGTAGTAGTAGTAGTAGTAGTAGTAGTAGTAATAGCAGCACCAGCAACCAGTAGTAGTAATAGTAATAATGTAGTAGTAGGCCGTTATTAGTGTACTGTGTGTATATCTGTATTAAAAATAAAAAAATCTCTCTCCTAATCTTTTATACATATAAATATACATATATATATATATATATATATATATTATTTCTTTAATTATATTGGCTCTGATTCATAAAAGATATAAATATTGGTAACAAAATTTCATAAAGATTTAAGCACGAGCAAATTTCTTTTATACACACACATAGCCTACAAGATATATCAGATTGAGCCTCTAATTAATATTTCATTTTATTTTTATATATATAAAAAAATTCAAATATTTTGTGTAGCTTGGATTTTGAAATACATTCATTTTTGTGGTTGAATTTCAATAGAAAGCAAGATATACACAGTAGGACAAGGTCATAATATATATTATATTTAATCGAAATTGAAACATATTAATATGAAGATCTATTGTTGATTTTTTATTTTATTTTTTTACTAAAATAAAATAAATTCATATGTTGCACTGTTCAATAAAAATATCCTTTTTGCTAGCTTTTTCTTCTTTTCTTTCTGATTAAGATGATTAAGCTCAGACCCGAAATTACCTATAGAAACTCAGGTCAATGAATGAATGAATGAATGAATGGTGAAATAACAGTAGTAATAATCAAGTTATTTATATGACATGTGTATATGTATTATAATTAATTCCATATATTTGGTTGCCATGCGATCGAAATGTACCAGTAACAACAAATTATTATTATATTTTGTGTATTTTTGGGATATATATATATTTTTTTGGGATTTTTATATATTTGTATTTATCTACAGTTTCTTATTTTTCTTCTTCTTCTTTTCTTCTTTTTTTTCATTTTTTCCCCATATTTTTCTTCTCTTTCTCCCTCTATTTATATTCATATTTTACATACACACTCACATAGCTACATATTACATATTTCATTTCATATTATATATACATTGCATTCTGTAGTTTCAATCCTCATTCTCATCCTCATTTTCATAATAATAATAATAATTGTCATCACTGTTTCAATTATCATTATACACTCAAAAGAAATAGAATCAATATACACACCTACGCACACACACACACAGAGAAAGAAACATAATGGACCGTTCTATTCCATTAATTCAGCATTTTGATGGAGGCATTATATTCCTTAGTTACCTTATATCAGTTGTTGGAGCACAGACAACTCTTGAACTATTTACCAGACGTACACACTTCAGTGGCCTTTACAACTGGTTAGAATAATATTGAATATACAAAACATTCATTTTCTGTTTTTTTTAATAACAATTTTAATTATTTGTAAATGTAAACCTACACTTTTATATGTATATATATAATCACAAGCCTGATTACAATTATGATCACAATCTTAATAATAATCTAAATGTCTTATAAATGTATCCAGGTTTTTACTCACAGTAGCTGCCTTTGTTATGGGCGGTGTGAGCATTTGGTCGATGCATTTTATTGGAAACCAAAGTCTGACAATCATTCTCCCAGACGGTGAACAATATCAACTATCGTATGCAGTTGGCTACACCGTTAGCAGTCTTGTTGTCGTGATAGCCACTATGTTTATTGCCTTTGCATTCATTGGAACAACCGAAGACGCCAGACTGGCTCGAATCATTCCAAGCGGTATCTTTGCTGGTGTAAGTATAACCAATTTTTTTTATTAGTACTCTAATGATTATCATCATTACTGTGATTTAATGTATATATTTAGGCTGGTATCGCTACAATGCATTATCTTGGTAAGGCGCATTTACCATTAGAAATAATAGGCAAATATAGTGTAGTCCAATAATCGAGTAGTCCAGCAGATCGGTTACTTTATACTAGCTCCCCGATCAAGATGACTTTGCCCTTACGCTTTCATTTTTACTGGCTTCTTTGATTTTCTTTTCGTTCCATTTCACTCTACTCCACCCCACTCCACCCTACTATACTTTACTCCGATTTATAACCCTTATACCTGACGACCTTTTATATATATATATATTTCTAAAAAAAATTGAATTTTCTATTATCATTATAGGTCAATTTGCTATACAATATTTTAGAATCGTCTACAAAGTAGGGTTCGTTGTTGGGGCCATTATCATTGCCTGTGTAGCAATCACCGTAGCTCTCTATATCTTTTTCAAATTGAGAGAGCAGTGGGCAAATCAATGGTACATGCGTTTCGTCTGTTCCTTAATAATGGCCTTGGCTGTTTGTGGTAATAAACTTTTTTTTAATTTTTTTTATTTATATGTAAATATTTAGGTATTTATTATAAAAAAAAATATCTAAATTACCAATCTATTAGGAATGCACTACACAGGATTAGCCGGAACAGATTATTATCTCCCAGACCTTCCAAAAGAAGAATTACCTCCAACCCCCTCTCTCAGCACAGGCGGCCTGATTGGCATCATTGCCTCTGTCGTCGTCACAGGTTGTGCTTTCCTTTTTTATGTCGTCTTTAAGAACGCTATCAATACCTTGCCGTCCATACAAAAGAGAAATGCCAATACGCGTCTTATGCTGGGCATCGTCTTATTCGACAGTGCTGACAAAATTCTGGTCAAGATTGATGGTGTAGTACCAACAAAAGAAGTGTCAGATAATTTTGAAATAGGTGTAAGTACAAATAAAGATATATACATATATACATATAAATTATTTTATTTTCAAACATTTAAATGTTATTTTTTATTTTATTTTTCCCTTGTTTGTAGGAGATCACTACAAAGCATCCTCTATTTGTTCGTCTCTTTGAAGTCGCGACTCGTTGGGCCAATCGAGGAGGACTCGACAGTGAACGTCCATCAGTTCAATCTTCAGCTGGCACCGTAAGTGCATTTGACGTAACTGAACGTCAATTTTGTGACGCCGCCAGAGACCTTCAGGATGAACTTAGGCTACCACTTCTTGCCGATCTGGGACTTTTATTCGACACAGTCGTACAGACAAACACTATTGTCACGAAACCTGGCTTATTCAAATACAAATACAAAAACAAAAACAACAAAAACAACCATAATAGCAAGACAGATACAGATACAGAAACAGATACTCGAGCCTTTCGTCCATACAGTGCCAAAAATTGGTTGTTATGGAGACCTCAACCGTTTTCAAGATCCCAATCAAACCAACAAAGAGACGAAGAGGAAGAGCTGGACGTCTATCCAAAATACAACCAATACAATCCTCAAAAGGAGTGGCAAACACAAGCCGGAAATAGTCAGCATCAGATCGGCTCACAAAATATTTGTACCATTAGATCTTTTGAGGAACTTGGGCCAAAGGAATCTAAAAAAAGCAAAAATCGATATAGTGATCCCAACAGTAAATGTAGTCATACCAGCGACTCAAGAACAATTGTTCAGCAGAGCTCAGAAGCTAATACTAATAGCAATAATGATCAGTACATATTTTTGGTCAAGAAACTTGTCCGAACAAAAGATCTCCAACGACTACTGGCACAAGGTTACAGATTTGCAGATCCAATCTACATTTCAAAAACAATGGGCGCCCAACTCCAAGTACCAGTTGAGCACATGTTGTTTTATTTCAAGGACATGAAACTTGTGGCAGACTCTCTCTCGAGCCTGGTCAGGCACAACTTTTCGTCGTCTATTCCACGCCAATTAGAACCACCGCAAACATTGCAACAGCAGCAACGACGACCATCATCGTCATCGTCGCCAGGACAAGAAGTACCAACCGATCAGCAACAACAACAACAAAAGGACGAAGAAACACAAGTAGTAGAACACCTGTTTGGAAAAGAAACCACAAAACCAGGTGTCTATGTTGGTCTGTTTGTCCTTTTGGATGAAGACAGAAGTATGGAAAACACCCACATTCTGGTCGACAAAACCCGTCGTTTTGCATTCCCAATGGTTCAACTCAAATACACCGACACAGGCGAGGCTCCGGGACAACTAACCCTAGAAGAAAAGACCTGCCTGAACAATCTCGGTGGCATATCTCTCATGGATATCGCTCGCCTTGACTCTCAGAGATCGAGTTCGAATCCAAGTGGCAGTGGCGGTATGTCACAAAATAGCCAATATGAGCTTGGTAGAGTAAAGTCAAGCAATGAAACTCTTGTTGAACGGAATTGTATGTACTCTACAGATACCAAAACTCTAGGTTCAGAGAACATATTTTCTTCTCCGCCTGGTTCGCCAACCTCTCCAATCTCTCCTTTCCAATCATCCACTTACAGCAATAGCTTGGAAAACTCTTCACCATCGGTCAGTGCTCGGTTCACAAGTGCTCTAGAGGCCGCGACTAGAAAACTAGCCAGTACATCTCGTTACAGCAAACCCCTGGGTTTCAGTGCCAAGCTCCACCGTGAGGTTGTCGACACCCCTCCGTTCTCACTCGTGGTTGGGCCTTGCCAGGTCATTCTGTTCAAAGCCCATATCACCACCCCGGGTATCATTTCCGCAATCAACCAGACCTTTTCGGAACCAATCAAATGCGTGCCCTTGCCCATCTTCCACAGTATAGCCTTACGGATCACTGACCAGGCCGTCGATCTCTACCGCCAGAACCACCAAATCAATCTTCCCGAGACGAGTTACCTGGATCAGCAGCGAATGTACATTTCGTCAGCCCGACCTGATCAGCACGACAACAGCAAGTACGCAAGACAGCAAAAGATGATGGCTACCGAAAATAATAGTGGGATTGGTGAAGTCATTCCTTTGGAAGAGCGCAAGTCAACAACGATTCTAGTGGTCAATACCGCACCTGCCGACCCTTCGGACACTTTGGCTTCCTTCTCTCCCCTCCCTCCTCCTCCACGTGCAAAAAAGTCTAGGTTTGCTTTACCAAAGTTTGAATTCGAGTCTTTAAGAGACTCTCGTTCTGGTAGCAGTGAAAGTGGCGGACCATCTCTTCGTGATCTTGCTGCCAAACCAGACACACCTCCTGCCATGCTAAACCTATTGCCATCCCAAGATCGGTTCTGGTGGCTTAATACTATCATCGAAGAAACTTTGCACGACGACTGAACTTTCTTTTTGTTCTATCTTTGACATAGCTTAGATCTATATTATTCTTATTACTATTATTATCAATCTGTATATTACTTGTATATATAAATATATAAATATATATATATATAAAAGGACTCTTCCTCTTTCTCATCTCCCCATAATTTTCATCCTCCAATAGAATATAAATATATCCATTTTACTCATTTTACCCATTTACTCATCTATTGTGCATATATATATATCTATTACTCTATTCTATTCTTGCAAAAAAAAGGAGTCGTAATTTATGAAATCTGTTGTTATGTTTTTTTTTCTTTGTGTTATTTAATATGTTGTCATGGTAACATTGCTATGTAAACCAAAAAAAAAATGAACAATTAAGGTTCTTTTTGTGGACCCTGTCAAATAAAACACAGCCAGAAGTTATATATTAAAGTACTAGTCAAATTGAATTTGGGTGTTTAATCTCATCCAATAAACACACACATACATATACAAAAAGAAGTTTACACTCTTTGGATAAAATCAATAGCTATTGCATCCATACATATTTTTTTATAGAGGAATGAAAAGAGGTTTAATAATAATTTTTTGTTTACCACAATCTATTTCACAATTCATATTAATTTTTTTTTAATATTAAAAATAATAAAGACCAGCCTTGTAAACTCATGGTATAATTTTGTACACGCATACATATATACATACATATGTGTATATGTGTATATGTGTATATGTATATATGTATATAAATATTTAGTGTAGTTGCCAAGACAACAATATATATTATCCACCCAGTAAATGAACAAAGTTTGGGTTTTTCTTTTGCCGATTTGTGCAAGTGTGGGTAAGTTTTTTCAGATCTAATCACAAGTCTGAGTTTACTATGGAAAAAAAAGAAGTACGGTGAGTAACAAAAATATATTTATGATTTATGAAGTTTTCTTTTTTTTTTTTTGCTTTGTATAAGAAAAGACTAGAACTGACTATCATGTAATAAATGAATAGCCTCTATAGTAACATAGAGAATGTACTTTTACTTGTACATTTACAACAATAACAACAACAAAAAAATATTAAAATGAATATGATATATTTAGGCAGCTATATAATCTAAAATGTAGGTTTCCATGACCCCCTCCTTTTTGTTTAATGATATAGTTTTGGTTTTGAACTTTTTTTTTTTAGTTTGAATGATTTTAAATTTGGAAATTTTGTTACTGTATTAGAAAGAAAGACAGACAGACAGAGAAAAAAAAGGTACTAGTTCTGTATCTTATCTGTGTTATTTCTTGTACTAATTGAGATATAAAAACGAGCTGTTCCTTTACCATTAAACTTACAGCCGATATTCAAGATATTATAGCCAATCTTTTCTTTTGGTTTCTGTAAAATAAAAAGAAAAAATATGTGACGGAACATATATGTTCCATAAGTTGGGTATTATGAGAAGAAGAAAAATGATGATAGAAATATTGAAATTATAGGTTCAAAGGGTGCTTAAAGACCATACTTGGACTCAACCACCTGTATATAAGAATTATATATATATATATAGTTAATTTAGTTTGTTAGTAATTCGAATTGGTAAAGAATTTTAGGTTAGTATATTCTTTGGGTACTGAAATTAGAAAACCTCGATATGTTTTAACATTTTATTTTATTTTTATTTTGAAAGTAACCAAATCGAAAGTGATCCACACACTCACGCACGCATGTACGCACACCCACGCATTTTGCACTCTACGACATCAAAAAAAAACAACAACAAAAAACTCAAACATAAGTTTGTAGTATTCAAAGATAATACCAAGTGAATGACTGCTTGTAAGTTTACCATAGCTTCTGAGGTATTCTTATAAAATAATAGAATAGAATAAAATAAAAATTTCAACCCATTTAAGGTTTTCCGGTAAGTTCAACCTTTTTTAAGACAATATTAAATATAAATATATTTTCATTTGTACTTGTACTTGTGTTTGTACTTATATATAGAAAAAACCATCATTACACGCGTGTTGAAAGTTTGTAATCGACAGTTGTTGGCTAAAGAAGTGCTGGTAAGAATGTATACCAAATACTATTGGTTCATTTTACTAGATACCTTGCTTTAATTCTCCTTTTTTCTGATTCTATATTGTATCTTTTATCTTTTATATATATATATATATTACTTTACTTGGTTTACAGTCTTCTATAACGGTAGTTTATCCGTTTTAAATATAAAGGGCCCGAGTAGATGCCGTACTGTTTTTTTAATACAAAGTTTTAACTGGTGTCACTCTATTACTGTCTGTGTACTTACTTATCTTAAAAATAATAATTAAAAACATTCTCAGTATCCAACAAAAATACTAAATCCATATAGTTTAAACACCTGCAACCCTCTCTCTCTTTTTCTCTTTCTAGATAGTGGTATTGCTATTATCAAGTCCAAATTATTTATAAAAGACCTATCAAATTATACGCCTTTGATTTAGTTATCCTTTTTAAAAAAGGCTGTATTATTTTATACATTACAAATACAAGTATGTTATAAATGGTGGTTAGCCAAGATTGCTCATATTCAAATTGCGCACAGACCTCTTTTCTCTCTCTCTCTTTCCCAGGATATTATATATAATATCGATTGGAATACATCAATTTACTTGGAAAGACGTGTGTGATGGTTCTTGTGAAACTTTATCAAATCTTCTTGTTCTACTTTTGGCCTTTTATGTATACATATTTTCTTCTTTTAATGTTTTGGGTCCAACCACACTTTTGGGTCTGCTTCCACAAACTTTCTACAATATTACACGACCTTATTGATAGTGCTATAATCTTAATCTTCAGTATTGCATGAGTCACACACTCTTAATTCCAAGGAATTATTGGGGACAAATTTTGGTCGGTTCTTCTTGGTTGGAACCTGTAATTTGTTTTTTTTATTGTATCCTTTATATTTGCCACTGTTGCCATTGTTTTTGTAGCATCTAAAAAGGAGATTACTGTGCACGATTAGGATCACAAAATCAAGCGACACCTTTTTATAGGAATTAATATTTCCTTTTTTTTTGTCTCTACCTGTCTTTAACTTTGAATTTGACTTAAAGTTTGAGTTTCAACACGTCGGTACACCACAAAGTCTGTGTATCTTTTCTCCTGGTCTGCACTACTGCAGTCTTTTGTTCTTTATTCCAAAAGTTACTGACTTAAATTTTCTTGCTGTTGTTATATCCACTTCTTTTGATGCAAGTCTAAATAATAAATATGCTATATAAAAAACAAGGCGAGTTTACAAAATTTCGACTTTTACTTGGGATTTCTAATTTTTTAAAGGCAAGAAAATATACTTTTCTTTTTAATCACCTCCCAAGAACACTAATAAATGCACCCCTAAATCCACATTTTTATCCTTATTATTATAGTCATCATTATCTTTCTTTCTTTCTTTCTTTCTTTTCTTCTTCTTTTGGCTGTAGATTTACACCAAAAAAGGACTATTCCGATAATAAGAAAAGAACAAAAGGCAAAAACAAAAGCCACAAATGTAATACAATAAATCAAATCACATACTCTTTCCAGAAAGTAAATTCGCCTTTGAAAACAAATTCACCCAATGGCGAAAATAAAAGGCATGTTGTGTGAAGAATAAATTCGTTAGGGCAACTTTACGGACAGGCTAACGAGGCATAATGTAAAATAAGCGCTACAGCACCCATAATTACTTCCTTCTATGTTACATACACTTTTTTTTGGGGGTAATATTTTGATATTTGTTCAATGTTTCAAAAAAAAACACTAATATCAATAGTCAACTATGCAGAAGATTATAAGGAGTTGCTGTCATTAAAGTGTGTCTTAATCTTGTTTGAAATTTTACTCTTTATTGGCCTTCTTTCGCGTATGGTGGCTTCCTCTTTCTTTCCCTTATTGTGCTCAGATTACCAGAAAGTGGCGCAAGGTTTTTCATTGAAGAAAATTAGAAGCAAAACTGCTTACCCTTTCTTCCAAAGGTATTAAGACATACCATGTTGTTCCAAGCAAAGTCGTATTAAAATGGACACAACTTGTGGTCCAGGAGAATCAAAATGTTGTATGCCTAGGATTAGCGTTTTTTTTGAAACATTGAACAAATATCAAAATATTACCCCCAAAAAAAAGTGTATGTAACATAGAAGGAAGTAATTATGGGTGCTGTAGCGCTTATTTTACATTATGCCTCGTTAGCCTGTCCGTAAAGTTGCCCTAACGAATTTATTCTTCACACAACATGCCTTTTATTTTCGCCATTGGGCGAATTTGTTTTTTGGAATGAGTGTATGTTCAATATGTAACTCAATTGTGAACGCCAATACACAAATTATTCCTTGCATATTAAACAAAAAACACTACTGTTAATAGTAATATTAACTCACTCATTCACAAGTACACTCATTTTAAAAGGCTAATGCTAATCAAATTATTTATATAAAACATAATTATATTTGTCATCAACTCATAGATTGTATACTGAGCAACATAAGCCGTAAATTTAAATTTAGAATATATTGCTACTAATTAGTTTGTGTGCATGAAAAAAAAAAGAAATGTCCCACAAAATGTCCCACACTCAGAATGTTGAATATTGCTTTGTTGAACCTAGTCTCGGCAGGTCTTCTAGACACGCTCGATAGAGTTCAAATCTAGAGCTTGGGCCGAGAAAGTACTAAAATACATTTTACTTAACGGGTTAATACTACTATTACTTTTTTTATAGTATATTATAAGAGATACAATACCGTAGTATTTTAAATTCTAAGATATATACATATGTACCAAAACCCAAATGCTTGAGATGATGATAGTTATAATGATAAAGTTCACGAATATTTGATCTTTAATTCCAATTTCAGATAATTGTAATACACACATGAACCTTTCTTCCTTTTTTCATTTTCTTTATATTTTCACACAGCCGAATCAATATAAAGATTCCAGCCCTTTCCGCTTTATATTATTATTGATTTTGATTTGTTCAAATAATTGTCTAT